ATACGCCTCCTAACTAGCTCTGTATTAATTCGAGTCGTCTTATATTAAAGTCGCACGTTTTCGTATTAGCCTACGTATCTTACACGAACCTAACAAGTTAAGACGCTATAGTATTTCTTTCTACTAATAATATATCCTAGTCTCTAAGCTTAGTTATTAGAGCTTAGTTTCTAAATACATTTAATATCTAACTACTAATATACTTTATAGTAGTAAGTAGTTAAGACGCCGTAGTATCTTTTTCTACTAATAGATTTTAGATTTTAATACTTAGTTCTTAGATCTTAGCCTTATAATTAATATAATACTATTTAATATTATATTTTATATAATTTATTAATCGAGACGCTATATTATTTACTTCTAATAGTATATCTAAGTCTTAAGCTCTTAATTTATAGCTTAGGCTTAAATAGATTTAATATTATTAACTACTCTATTCTAGTAGTAAGTAATTAAAATACTATAGTATTTCTTTTTAAACTTAGCTTTAGAATGTTAATTTATATCTAAACGCCTTATGTATTATAATATTAGTATTCTTTACTTCTAATTTACTTATAACTTTTATATTTTAGGCGCGTATATTAAATAATCTAGTAGTAGGGGTAGTACTTTTTTAGTAAGGTTAATTTCCTTCTTAAAAATCTAGAAGTAAGTAGTAAAGACGCTATAGTAGTATTTCTTCTTACTAATAGATCTTAAATAGAACTTAGCCTTAGAGTATATCTAATATTTCTAATACGTCTTATAGTAGTTTATAGATAAGACGTAATAGTATTCTTTTCTACTAATAGATTTTAGTCTTTAATAATACTTAGTTCTTAGACTTAATCTTAGAACCTAATTAATACTTCTAATTAATATATCCTATAGCTATAAGTATTTAAGACGTAATAGTATTTCTTTTTACTAATAGATCTTAGTCTTTACTCTCTACCGCTTAATTAATCTTATTAGAATAAGTCTAATACTTCTATTAAATTCGTTCTATAATAGTAAGTAGTTAAGAAGCTAATACTTCTAGTTATTAATAGATCTTAGTCTTTAGTATTTAGTTATTAGAAATTAGCCTTAATACTATTTACTAATACGTTCTATAGAATATCTTTTTATTTTAATCGTATATCTAAGCCTTAAGCTCTTATATTAGCTATTTAATGTTTATTATAGCTACTCTACTATTTGACTTATAGTTTTCGAATATAGAGTAAATTCTAAGGGTCTAGGTAAGRTAAGGTACCTTAGGTAACCTAAGGGAAAAAGAACTTGTGGTTTTCGAATGTGGGGTAAATTCTAAGGGTCCAACCTTCGAAACAACCCGTGGACAGGATCCAAAAGAACTCGTGGTATCACGTGTAGCTGCTCACGTGACGTTACTTTTTCAACTTTGGCTGTGAGCCAATCAAACCTTATTTCGGATTCCAACTGTCCAGTATTATAGGCCTTAGGGCCAATCACACCTCCAATAAACTAAAGCTAGATTTCCGTCCCCATTTCTCTCGAGTCTCTCGCTGCTCGATCTTTGCATCTTGGGATACATTATCAAGCGCCATCCCTAGCCAAAAATACCTCCGGCAGCTAGAGATAGATGGATATCATGAAGCGGTCGATTCTCACTCAGTCACCATCTTTTTAGAACTACGCAATCGACTCCAATCTTTTGATGCTGTATACTTCGCTGCCCTTCTCAAATGTACTCCTAGTTTTCGAGGACTTCAACCAATGAGTTATCCTCCTTGACTTTACAAATTGGTGGTAGCCACCAGGACCACGACGGCCACTCTGACCATTCCAAAGTATCTCTCTGCGTAGTAGTGACGTCCTCACGCAAACTTACCGATAAATCCTCCTACTCTAAGCAGGAAGGTTCTCAATACCCTAATCCTCTATGTGGCCGTTCTCTCAAAAAAAAAAAACATCTCTCCCATTCCCCCCTCACCCTTACCCACGAGCGAGAAACTCCACACTTGTACGGAATCAGAAGCCCTACAATCCACGAGGAGAGTCCCCTTCAACTTGCAAAGTACCAAGCAGCTTCCTCCTCCAAACCTTCACCTCGAGAAGCAATTGAACATCTGATATGAAGACTTTCTTGGTCCCTTTCAAGTCCCACACCCTAGTTCCACATCACTCGTTCCCAGCGACCGGAACTCTGATGAGAGACTCATAAAAGCCAGATTATGTTCTGGTATGGAAGTTACTAGGAACTATCGGCCAAGTCCCCATCTAGGAATTGAGAGAGGATAACGAGGAGATCTGTAATTCCGGAAACTCGGGAGGATGATGATATGGAATGTATTGTGATGGTTGCTTTACAGGCTTCGAGTTTTTTCTGGACGGGGGGAAAGAGTAGAGGGGAGTTTTGGAGCTGTGTTGCCGCCCGCTAGGGATGAGGAGAGGAAGATGGATTGAGAGGAGTGTGAAAAGGAAAGACCTCTGTTCTGAGGATTCATCAAAGACCGCGAGAAGAGCCTTTTCTCATTTTCTCGGCTGTGTTGTGAAATTGTATCGTATCGTATCTACGCTGGCTGTGTAAGTATGGTGTGCTTCACTGTTGATCATGCGTCTCAAAAGGCAAGGGTTGTATTCGGGTTGCAAGTCGGTTTTTCACTCACTCACTTGTCCACCATTGAGGGCTAGTTGCAAGCCATAGATCCGCTCAACGAGCGTCAATGTGTCGATTCTCTGGACGAGAGCAGTGATTCCAAGCTCCTGGTTGTCGTGTCGTATGTCGACTACTTTACAATGTACATTTAATGTCCATGCACACCCTCTTCGTGGGTGGCTTGATCTCGTCTCGGATTGGCAGGGTCTCAACACTTTCCACAGACTCCAAACCGATGAGAATTGCTGTCATCGCTCGGCCTTTACAGCCTACTCCGTAGGTTTCTCAATCGCTCTCCGCTCCCCCGCCTGAATACTCGCTTGTCTCCTCACCTCCAATCCCGGACTAAACTTCTCCACCCTCCGGTTCGCATTGGGGACACTGGGAGCAGCACTCAGCGGCGAATGTGCTCCATAGGCTCCCTTGAACACCTCATCAAACAGAGTCTTGGAAATCTTCTTCGGTGCATTCTTGAGCAGAATCTCCAATTCTCCCTTCTCGCCCATCATCCCTCGTATCCTCTCCGCCTCTCCATCCATCTCCGCCACAGTATCAACACTCCCATTCTCCCACACATCCGCCTTCAATCCCACTCCATAGTATTGAAACTTCCTCAAAAACGCCAGCCAGATCGCCACCGTCTCCGGATGACCATCCACAATTCGAATCCATCTCCGAAGCGTAATGCGCTCGAAATTCTCCTGCGATTTCTTGTGCACGAAATTGGAGCGCGGCACGGTCCAGCGTTCCGTCTTCTTGGGCAGAGGCATGGGGCCTTTGGCGGGGAGATTTAGGTAGTAGGCGGCGCGCATGGCGAAGTCGGTGAAGAGGTCGAGGTTACGCACGCTGTACGATCGGAGTTGCAGGTCGGCCGAGGTGATGTTGTGCGTGGGTTGGCGTTTTAATGGCGCGAGATATGTCGCTTGCACTGCGAGGGGCAGACGGATGGATGCCAGACCGCCCTGCTTGCTGCCGGCGGAGGGAGAGGGGGTGGCGGAGGTCCGGGCGGACTGGTGGAGGGAGCGCGGGGCGACGGTGGGGATTGAAATTGATGGAGAGAGCTTCAATCGCTTCATGGAATGGCTCAGCGAGCGGGAGCAGGATGGGGAGGCCATGATGCGTGGATGGCGCTTCGTCTAATGTCTGCTGGAGTTGTCGAGATGTTGGACCATTCATGGCTGACTAAGCAGGCCGTGGTTTCGCCGACGATATACCTAACCTCCCTTCTACAAGAAACACCTCCCTTTCTCCTTCCATCCAGCAATGGCCATTTTCAATACGAAGCATGAAAAGGTCCTATGCGCCGCCTGAGTCTTGAAATTGAAGCTCATGACTCTAGTGGCTTCGGTCACAAAAACAAGACTATGTGAATCATTCACGGCCGAAAGGCTTAGGACCCAAGGCGGGAGCGAATACATTCGTTGCCTGACCGAATGCACCTCAGCGTCCTAATAAAGATCTTCTATGCATCTTTGGAATTATTCTTGGTGGTACACCGCGTAAGGAGCCCAACGGACGAGGCCACAATGACAACAAGCGTCTTGGGAGGAAACTCCATAAACCCATGCATCTAGGTAGGATGGCTTGTTGCTTGAGCCATGGGTTGCTTACCTTTCTTACGCAGGAAGGGAGCATACTAGCAATGTGAGATGAAGTCTCCAATTGAGCTGCGTCGAGTTGTGGTGGCGGTGCATATGCATGCAGCTTTTAGCGAATACGGCTGCGCCGCAATGTACAGCAGTCCCGACCTCTGCGATCCTCGTCAACTATCTCGACGCTTTCGTCGACAACCATGCCTGTCACCAGGTCACAAAGACAAAGTAAGGCCCACAGCCGGGGAAAGCACTACAAGCAGGCAAACATCGTACCAGAGCCATTCCAACACGATTCTCTCGAGGACGATTCGGCTTATATTCGCCTCCTCAAAGTGCCTCCTTTCGGACCAGCCGGGTTGAAGCGGTCGTTTCTGCTATCAACATGGCCGAWCGAGGGTGCTCCTGGATATAACGCAATCTCGTATACCTGGGGCGAGGAGACCATCACCACCACGATCCTCGTCAACGGCTTTCCACTGAATGTCAGGCAGACTTGCTACGATGCCCTGATTCAAGCTCATAGTTTCGATGGTGATGCTCTACTGTGGATCGATGCCGTATGCATAAATCAGAATAACAATGTCGAGAAGGCCTGTCAGATCAAAAGAATGTTTGATATTTACAGAAATGCCGAAAAAGTGATTGCATGCGTCGGCGAGAGCAATGCAGATAGCACATGGCTTTTCGCTGCCTGTAGATCACTTGCCGGCCTGTCCAGCAGCTCAAATCTGGATGTGAACAGTATCAACGCGGAGAAACGGATGATTTACAGACTAGCAGAGCATCACTCAACCTCATCCGATGAGCAGCCTGTATTCCTCGCACGGCTTCGACAAACGTATGCCGAGTTCGGCTATCGGAAATACTGGAACCGCACATGGATCATACCGGAAATCTGGGCCGGTGGCGAGGAGGTGACTTTGTTATGTGGAAGTGATGCCTTGAAATTGAACGAGTTGCGAGACATGGATTCCATTCTCAACTCCCCAAATCCAGGCGAACGTACCGAACACGAAACCCCTCTGACACATCTCTTTTTTGTCCTCCTGTATACAAGAACCACAAGAGGATATCTGGGAGATCTATTAGATTTGACTATTCGGACGGATTGTCAGGATCCTCGGGATCGAATCTACTCGCTTTTGGCTCTCATCGATTGGGAATTCAATGGGATGGAACCTACATCTCCGGACTACACGATTACGGCGCAGGAGCTGGCAAGGAAACTCTCGATAAGCTGGGACGACAGTGGTAATCGACGTATATTGAGGGCGCTGAGGATTGACTACACTTCTCTTGAGATGCGTGCCTTGGTTGCGGAAAGTACTTTGGCACCCTCCCGCGCTGAATTATGAGGAGCAGGCCTTGCGAGTGAGGGTCGAATTGTCGTTGCTCGGCTTTGATTCWAATCATTGAGCTCGCTTACCTTTCCGTGTGCTACACAGCTCATTCCAATGGAGGAAGCGAGTTCCCAGATTGGAATGGTGCAGCTTCTCGAGCAATTCATTGGAAGCTCCATTTCCTCCTCTATGCCGTGAAACAACAAGGATGTTGGAGGAAGAGACCCACTGAGATGCAWGCATAAGAACTCCTTCCACCTCCTACATTTCTGGCAATTCTCTTCCGCTCAAAATTTCCATTCAACAACGACGTCAACCATGCTTCCCGCCCTGCCCACCGAAATATGGCAGAAAATCATTCAAATCGCTGCACTCACATCTGATCCCGACAGACCCAACTCGTGGCTGCACACCTACCTCACCCTCCGTCAAGTTTCAAATTTTTTTCGAGCAAACACAGCTCGAACATATCTGGACACCTTTCTAGCATATCGGGACCGATGTATCATAGATTCCTTAAGCGCAAAACTCGAAATACTGGCTGTCACCAATCATACCGTCCTGGAAATGAGATTCCACAGCAGAGATCCAAACGACGAAGCCAGAGTCATCTTCAAAGCGTCAACGGAGCTGAATGATGGTCCAGCCATGTATGAGGAATGGAAGGCCAAGATGGAAGCGTTTGCGGAGAAGCCCGACCTCACGCTATACATCATCTCCATCTATGGCTGTTCGCTGGATATTCAGCTTCCAGGTCTGCGGTATGATTTGGAGGAGCGGGAAATGAGTTTCGAATGGGAAGATATGCTGCACCAATTCATTTTGCAATGTGTGGAGGTCAGTCGTAGAATGCTGGCCATTGGCGCATTTGAAGAGAAACGGCCTGGTGATCTATGGGCATCATGTTGTTGATAGAGAGGTGGCGCAGATTGCTGCCAAGGTTACCATCAGAATTTGTATTCGATACGGCGATTGTGGAGAGGGATGGACGTTGCTTGACATTAGACACGGCAATAATAGACGGAATAAATTACGAAGGCAAATCATGTGGTAGTTTGTGACATTGAAGTCGAATTGCAGCTTCGAAATCTTACGAGCAAGGAATGTACAAGAGTAGAGGAGAGTTGCCAAATCTTCTGGACCTGGACAATCTGAATTCAAGACCCCTATGAAGATTGATATTTTCAAGGCACAGACTCTATTCAAGTTTTTATGTTGACAGAACCGGATAAAAGAATGAGGCTGCCTTTCTCAGAAGAGTTGTCTCATTTGCGGAAGCATGTGCACTAGCCGCCAGCAATTGCAGAGCTTTAAGTTAACTATTTCGAACCTGATCTTATCACATTCACTATGGCATCTATGAACGCACCGCAGTCGGCTTTGGCTATTTGTCGCCAGCATTTTCCACTTGGAAATCAAAGAAATCATACTCAGCTGTGCCCATACCCGACGTCTTCCAACGATGAGACGCCTAACAGACATGAGATGACAACCATGGTGCACACTCCACTCAACCCCCTAAAGTGAAAGTAATCTTCTTCTAATTGATGCGATCGCTGATCTTGCTCAATGCAGTTGATGAACCTTTTGTTTGAAGGAAAAGTCGAAGTTGCTCGTGAACGCCAAGACGGATTTGAGCGAAAAGGGGTAAACTCCAGAAATCGCCTTTATCCATGCCACTCATTCTCAAATGTCACTTTCAATACACAAAAAGCCTTTGGCATAATCATAGCCGCATTGAGCGGTACGATGAAGAAAATCACATCGTCGGTAATATCATGATCAATCTATTGTATGCTCGTAGTTTCTCACTTCACGCATCTATACCCATCAATACCTACAGAGCCATCACATAAACAGCACACAACACACCAATCAACCCAGACTACCACAATCATGGCCGATCATACCCTCGCCCGAGAAAACGGTACCGTAATGGAGGAATACTGTGTATTCCCCCCCAACGCCAACAAATAGTAAGAATCAGACAATCTAGCCAACAATACTAACAACTGGCCTTCCTGGGCAATCAATATAGAATTACGGCAACGACCTGCCCATTCCCAACCTTCAGCCGCTCAACTAATCCTAGAGACTTTACCAGCAGCCAGAACCCTCAATCCACCCACATCCCGCGCTCCTAGACCTCATCTCTAATAAACGACCGAATCACGCTACATCCTCCACATTCTAGTAGAAGATAGTACATATGACTCATTCACACCCTATAGAACTATAATCCGCGGCGAAGAAGGAAATCTTCGTCGTTTATATAGTCTTTTATGAAATGTTTCAACAAGGAATATACTAATGCGGGATTTACGGAGATGCCTAGTTTCGAGCGTCTAGGGGCTCAGGCTAGGGAACGGTTCTAGAGAACTAGGAGGCCGGTGCCGCAGCATTGAGTCGAGGCGTTAAGGGATCGGAGGACTCTTACACCGGGGGAAGATGTGATGCGAACGGGATGGGAGGCTCGAATTAGGGTTGCTAGAGATAGAGTTCTATGATTGATATAAAGGACACATTTCTCGTAGGAAATGAGGTCTCTTACATGGTTGAGATACAAGTAGGAGAGGGGTTTCAACGTGTCATGTCGTTCAAAATCTGAGGTCTGCGATGAATTTTCTACTTCGGACTCTCATGCCAGGGTCTGGTCATCGACATGGAGATATACTTCGATGTATTAGGCTGTTTGATACTGTGAGTTCCCGTCTTGAAGAGTAAGGTATGACCTCAGAACCAGATCTATGCAAGACTTCAATGGAAATTGATATAGGAAGCTTCGTGAGAGGACATCAAATCGGAATGCACGGGAGACACTTTCCGTACGAATTTTGCAAAAAAGGCCTTCCACAACATTACCTACAAATTAGGCTTGCATCCGAAACTTTGATACAAAGTRGCCACGTCAAGCTTTGGGAAAAAACAATCACAAACGCAAAGAAGTACCATRGATGACTCGGCTTGGCAGATATTTCCGAGCTCGGCTTCACATAAAAATTACATGGATATCCACTCCCTCGTTACTTCCAACCAACGACTCCAAACCATGTGACTCCACCATCGACATACCCTCCGTCGGTCACTGCGCAAAGCGATAAGTGCCGGTGATGCGGTATCATGGCTCGGTGTCGTCACCGGCGAGCATGGGTTTGCGATGGTAGTGAGATGCTGTCAGCGCTTCGGAGTCCAGACGGAAGGAAGAAATACTTGGCACACTCGCAGAAGAGGAACGCCGGTGATGTAGATGCCCGGGCCCCGATGGGGATTCTCGAGGCATCGATGCTGAGGCTGATGGATCGTCGGGCTGAAGATGTCGTGAGGAGAGACTGAGGTTGGTCGAAATCTGCTTATTTGTTCGACACCCGTCAGCTAATGCGCTGACAGGTGGCACGTGCGCCTCAGGGGGGTGCTTGTGAAAATGTTGTCGTCTCGCATGCACACCGCGACCATCGAAAAGGCCGGATGTGATTTGAGCTGAGGGCGACTATATTTGATCTTGGGTGGCCTCGGAACCGCCGTTCCATGGGAAAGGWTCGTCGGCAGGGTGTCGTGTTTATCCGGTGAAGGAAAGGTCCGCCCGTGAAGCACCGCCGGGCCTTAAAAGGGAGCACCATTGGCCTTGGGAGGGAGCGAATGCGAGGACGCACCTTGTATGACCGGCCAGTGATGAGACAGAATCATCGGTTTGGCTGTGAGGTGCCGGGCAACTGGTGCCTACAGACCGCCGCACGTAAATGTCTGAGGCCGGTCGATCGTTGGGCTTGATGGAAGAGATGGTCGACGGGTTGGTCGTAGAGGGGTGAAGGTTTGGAAGAGTGGCAAGGTGGTGTATGAGAGACAATGAGTTGAGATTGAGAATGAGAGTGAGAGTGAGAGTGAGAGTGAGAGATGAGGGAGATTCGGCAGGTTATGTGGATAACAACAGAGCGGCAGCTCAGGCAAGCGTCTCCCATGTCTGAGAAAGAACACTGACGTGCTGAACAGGTTATGGAAGCTACTACAGCAAGTAAAGCAGCAGCGACGATATCAGTAAGGCGAGAGCGTTGTAGAAGTGGGAAGGAGAAGGCCACCTTTGGCAACGACGAAGAACGATGGAGTCAAACTTGGGAGGTCCGAACGCATGGTCAATATTCAGGTGAGCAGTTCGTGTCAGCGTTGTTCAGTGGGAAGCGTCTTTGTTGTATTCCCCGGTCAATCTTTTCTGTATGCTGTTCGAAATTCGGGATTTGAGAGAGGTATTTGCACCAAGAGAGGTTCTCGCCAGTCGCTCCTACATTGAGGGACTAGAATAGACAGCTCTGAATCGGCAAGTGTGTTCAAAGTGTATACGCATGCAGGTGCAAGCGCCGACAGAAGCTTCCTACTGTACAGAACACGATTGCGCGTGTGGAAGTCTCACGGCGGAGCTATTTGAAAATCGCGAAAGGACATGTACCCTACATGTAGTATGGAAAGTATACAGAATTCACGACATGCTGAGACCATCATTTCCAGAACGGCGAACATATTCAGCTGCGAGGTCGTGTATCATCCTGATGGCTTGGCAGCACATTCTAATGTCTCACGCATTTCAATTTCAACTTGCTTGCATCTGATGATCGATGTCTTGCCTAGAGGCTTGCAAGGAAGCTAGTCTACTGCGTCATGGGCTGAGTGTGACGAAAATGATGCCTCGTTGCCTGCCGCAATGATAGGAGCAGGAACTGAGTATAGAATCTGCGTACATGTATCAGGTATAGATCAACCATATGTGGGTGATTGCATACATGTACTACTCAAGCACCGCCTTGGTTCAACACCAAGCACAAGAGCGTCCTCCAAAGGGTAGTTTTGGAAGGGTGTGAGGTAATTCATATTATAGATGGAATATAGACACTGGCATCGAAATCTCGTACCAGCCAAGTCATGAGAAAGGCGGTACATGTGCCACTTCTTGACTCACAGCATTTTCATCTTGCGTCGCTAGCAAGTCAATCAAAACTTCCCATTTCTCCGGCAAGGCTTACAACAGGTGAAGCGGCAGCGACGAGAAGCCGAGATTTCCTGAGCAGTTTCCAAGCTGTTGGACAGCGTGCTAGGTATGCGTACGTATTGCGACGTTTAGACTGAGTCGGATCGATCGAATCATGCCACGAGAGTGCCAGAGACCTTAGCAAGAACAACTTGTCTTGAAATGTGAACATACTAAGTCACGACGTCGTCTATGTCTTACTGAATTCCATGCTGCTTGAAGATCCCACCTTATGGAAGTTGTCGTACGATGTAAAGCATATTGTCTTTCGTATTGATAGAGACATAAGACCCTGGGCCTCTTTCCTAGTTCAGGCAGACTTGAAGGGCCCCTACCCAGCCTCCCGGGAAGGTAATCGTTACCTCCTTTCGTTCGTGAGGCGTCTAGAAAAGGACAACCTGAGCAGCACAGCACGACAACAAGTTTGACTCTCCGTTGAGCTTTTTCATGTTGTGCTAATAGCTGACCGTTGGCGAGCGTTGTTGTCGAATCACTGAAGGAGGGCTAGAGATCTTCACGTCCACGCCGCAGATCAAACGCCACAGGATACATGTAGTCCCATTCTTTTATGGCAGCACGCACAACACAAACCATAGGATAAGAGTGTATCGTAGCTCGGAGCAAGACATGTTCGCGGAATTATATGGCGATGCCCGAGAGTTTCTAGCCTGGGCTAGACGGCGTATGGTACTGCACAATTAAGCATTTGAGGACAGAGCGAGAAATCACGTCCAAGGTACAAACACTACTTGCTACTTTTTGCACCAGATATGATTTTACTTCTCCATTCCATTCTTCATTCTCCCTTTGAGGTTCCGCGCCTCCTTCTTTTGATATCCTCAGCATAGACACCGCCAATCATCATCAGCTTTACCGATCGCGATGGATGAACTTTCACCATATCCAACTGCTTCTTGCGATGGAGAGCTGCGTGAAGAAGACTTCGCCAGCCCAGAGTGCCTCGAAGACGTAAGTTCACTGCCTTTCGCCTACAATTCCTTGCACCGATGTCAAACACCCGACTCCTGCAATTCATTGCTGCATTTGAACTCACTCGCTTTCACTCACGGCTGCACACAACCACTTCCCCATACATGTCAATCACTCCTACGATTCGTTTTTGCGTCTGCATTCCCTCGCTTCTACTCACGGCTACACAAATCCATTACCCTAGGCCTACAAGCTGACTTGMTCTCGCAATAGATCAAAGCCTACTCTTCCCTCCTCCAGCAGTGTGATGCCATACTTCCGCAAGGTCCCGACGCAGTGTTGTCTGTTACCAGCAAAGCGGCAAAACGCACCCACCGTGATGCTTTCAGTGGGATGCAGAACAAAGTCAACATGCTTGTTCGCAACCATGAAGTTCTGGCCATCACGCACACTGATGCTGCGGGAAGTAAGCAAGGTCAGATAGTCGTGATCAACAGCGAGAATGTCATCCATGGGATCAAAGCTGCCAAAGACGCCCACCTCAAGGAGAAAGTCCATCCCCTCAAAGTTTACGTCCAGCAGGCTCATGTTTCGAACTTTGGTCAGTCAACCCTATCAACGGATGTCGAGCCAGTGGATTATCTTCTCAACAGGTATGGCKAGATTGCCGCCAGTCACTCTGGAAATTCTGCCACGCCTGACGTATCACTCGCAGAGCATATCGACATTGTCAAGGGCTTGTTGATTGCTTGTCACAACTCAACAACAGGTGCATTGCTTGAAGCAGCCAGGGAAAGACTCAGGGACTACATCATACTCAGCAGTCATCGAAAGATGTACAGAAGGTTGGAGATGGGCCAGAAGACGCGTGGCCGCGACTTCTACGACATTTTAACTCTCAGCACAAAGCTCCCACAGTTTGACGCCAATGACATTGCAGATCACGAAGTTCTCCGGAGACATCCAACGGCCGCGCAACTTGCCCAATTCAAGAGATTCGCCGATTCTGCAGGTAGTCCTTCGTGGACAGATGGGAAAGCAGATTTACCCATCTACACGAAAAAGAACCGCAAGATGCTGCAAAAAATGCTTCGTGTCTATCTGAGAAAGACCCAACAGGCACTCATGGCGTTGAAGAACTCCATCAGGCGCGATAAGCTTGCCAAAGCCTCAAGAGAGGCCGTTGAAATCAAGTCGCTTGTTGCGGCGGCGCATCTTGAGGTCCAGAATCTCAATTATTTCGTCATGGCCTTTGAGCCTGTTCTCGTGGAGCACTTCAAGTGGCTTGAGCAATTCAGACGCAACAGTGCGACAAAATTCACTGATGTGGCTTCCCTTGATGCTGAAATGTCTGTATTCAACGATCCGACTATCGGAACAGGTCACCCAACCCAGAGGTCCCCGAGTGACCTGTCAAAGGCCAGCGTTGGCGACAATGACGACGTCGAGATGGGCGGAATCGACCTGGATYCAGACGACGACGATAACGATGAAGGCTCCGAGATGGAGATGCTGGAGGACATTAAGCAGCTCGCTAAGATGGAGGGGAGCGAGAAAGGTTGGGCAATAGGCGCGATGAGATACTTGAAGCTGATCTGCCTTCACGAGTTCGCTATTCTCTGCGCAACAAACTTGAAGCCGCCTRGACAGAATCAGAGCGCAGCGCAACAGCGAGAGTATCGCCTACTCACCGAATCTTGCTTCACAGTCGTCGATATCCAGCAAGACAAACTCGACCTTCAACGCAAGGCATTCACTCAATGTATGGATGAAATCGTCCAGCGGAAGACTGGTTTGGACAAGGCCGGCATTTTGAAGTTCCTGGCAAGACAGCGCAAGAATGGGAAATTGGAAGAAGCCAACTGGATCGTCATCTCCACCGCATTCTCTGGGACTTTCCACTGTGAAACCATTCTGCTCGTACTTGCGGTCCTCGCCACCAAGCCGGAAATCTCCTCAGAGCTCACACAAGATTGGCTCAACCGCAACGGTATTTTTGCAGCCAAATCCGACCTGAACAATATGTTCCGCAGCATGCTACCACATGTCTCCATATCGAAGCAGGACTGCCCCGTGTGTAACAAAGTCTATCAGCTCGTCGCAGAATCGAAAGCATTGCAAGGTTCCAAACGCCTTCTCACACCCGGCCATCACACCCCAACAAGTGCAGTCGCGCTTCCGCCTTTCACTCCACGAGAAATTGCCGAAAGCTGTCTCCAAGACATCATGAAGAAAGTGGATGATCGAATGGAGAAGATCCAATGGGCCGTGGAGGTAAGCAAGGAACTATCGAGCTATAGCCCTATTGGAGTTGGCTCTTACCCTGGAATCGATCGTGAGACACTCGCCCGCGTTCAAAGCCCTCCTGCTTGGAGTGAAGACGAAGATTCGTCTCCATGGGACAGTGGTGATGATGAGCCCGCTCCTGTAACGCCTGCGCGGTTTGCGGGATCGTCTCTTGTGAAGAGTCGTAAGGTTGAAGCAGATTAGCAAGGAAATGTTGATGAGGAGGAACGGGCACGTCGCCGGGGTTTTGGTGTGATGAGTACTGGGGAGCGAATGGATAGGTGGTGAATGAGACGAGGTGATTGATGGGTGGAACAAGGTGATGAGTGAATGGAACATGGTGATGAGTGAAAGGAACAAGGTGAAGAGAGAATGATCTAAGAGGAGATAAATAGTAGAATCAAAGCAGATGAATGAATGAATGAATGAATGAAATCAAATGCACCGCATCATCACGTACACAGTATCTGTCAACTTTTGCATGGTCAAATCCAGCAATCATGTCCCTACGTGCAAGTCCTCCCAATGGCGCTTGAAGCTCTGCACTCTCCAGTCCGACATCAAGAAATGTTTGCCACATCTTCCAGGAAGGTAGCGAGAGCATCAATCAAGCATCACACCAGCTGCACCACTAGGTAGCGAACGGCGCAACGCGCGTGTTCGACCTTTCAATCCACCYGGCGTCACTTCCCTGACCGCGCCACTTGACCGCGCACGCGACACCTCAACTTCACCAACCACGCGTGCGACTGCGACACCTTGATTTCAAATACCCCACACCGAACCGAACCGTTACCACGATGCCGTTCGTCAAGTACTTATACCAAGGACCGCAGCTGGCCCAAGGGTAAGTAAGGTAAGAGCAACCTAGGAGGCCAACCTAGGAAGACAAGAAGAGGACCGCGCGGGTGCGCCCGAAAATGATGATCTGCAAGCTTTCCGATCTCTGTCTGAGTGTTTAAAAGTTCAGGGATACCTCCCTCCGAAACCAACAACGAGGATCTAATAGCACTCCTGGGTATGCAGGAGTCCATCTACTAGAAGACCATTGGTGGAACGTTCCGTGCCGAGTTGGCTCAGTCGGTGCCGAACCTGCCAGGAGGGTAGAGAGATGGCCTTGGGCACCTTTCTGGAGCACTTCGTCAACTACATCCTCCGTAATATCAACGATCCGTTCCCTAAGGGAGTAGGTACCGGGAAGAAGACAACCGCGGCGACCTCGATAACGGCGACGTTCACGAACAAGATGGCGACCTCAGTTAAGGCTAAGGGTAAGGGCAAGAAGGCTCTCACTGAGGCGGAACCGTAGGATCACGCTGAATGGCGCCTGGAGCACCGCACTCTCCAGTCCGATATTAAGAAGGGGTTGTTAGAGTCTACTAAGCGTGAGCTCGTTAAGGAACTTTTCAATAACCGCGGACCGCGCGTAGGCCCGCCAGCTATAGATTGGTCTGGAGAGAGAGACAGCTACATAGTGTACCATCACGGAACTTATCTGGCGGAAGCGAAACTGTCTAACGCTGTCCTCGGAATCAAGGAGGAACCTCACGACAGTGAGGATGAGGGTGGCAACAATAGTGGTTCGAATGTCTTTCGCCAGCCCTAGGGCTTGAAGATATCTACCAGCCATAGTGAAGAAGACGTCGCGACACTTCTTACGGAGATCGAGAAACCTTGAAACATCTAGGAAAAGAATGCTGATCTTAAGCGTCGGTTATGAAATGGCCTGAGAACTGGTTTGATCTTCGGAGAAGGTTCTATTCTTTGAGCTACGAGCTGGAATCTATCTGGACAAGAAATTCGTCTGCGCACTCCGTCTACTTTGATAGTGGTGGGTATTCGACACAAACAAGAAGATCATCTTGACCTCTTTGGGAAGTGTTTTTTTTTTTTTTGAATGTCTCAGTGACAGTTTCAAGCCAAAGGTGACGAGTTTGTATGAAGAGAACACCGTGAAAGCTCTTGCAATGGAACGTGAGGGTTGGGGGAGAGGGATGAAAGCTGAATGGGCTTCTACACCGAAGACATTCTCGAGCAGGTGTCTTCTGGTGAAGATGTACTACATATCCTCTAGTGAAACTTAACTATGGAACCAGGTGTCAAGGAAGCATGAGATTCTTCATCATGGGATCTCTGCCAGACCAGCAGATCTGTAATGAGATTTCCAACAGCAAAGTCTTGAGTGATCCTGAGCGGTCRACATAAGCAGAGCAGACGATGATACATGGAGTTTCCCTTCACGTCCGCTCAGTTCCTGACAACGAGCTCGACATAGTTTCTACAGTGCAGCAAGATCTTCGCTAACAGGATCAAGAATCGATTAAGTATTAGGAATCGCCGCCCGACATGTAAATCGCAGCTGAGCTGAAATCTACGAAGTATCAACAAGGCCTAGTGAATACCATTGAAGGTCGCACAGCGCACTCCAGTACACTCTACTCCCATCGTTTTAGCCGCTTTAGTATATCCACATTGACCCTTCGATATACATGTCGCGTTTTGATCCAGTTTCTTCCCTAGCAATGTGAAACCTCAACGCCCTTTCTGGAACCTTGTGTCGAAACGTCGAGCAAGCAGCTCTTTCACGATAAGCAAATGCCGATGGATGCCATAGAGAGTAGAGTCGAAGGAAAAGGTATTTTGGAAAGCTTTCATAGATATCGCTCATATGCCTGGCCGCGCTCGTATGTACCTTGATAGCTTCGATCTTCGTAGCCTAGTTCTGATCATGACTAGATTGCTCGTGAATCAGGAGATATTTCGAAAGAAACCACTGACTACCACAGTCACATGGCCGGCGATACCATACCACTCTATCTCGTGGCCTTGATTGTGGTAATCAGAGCTTAGACATGTGATCAACACCACGACCACAAGCCGCCAAGACCCAAGTGAATGACACTCCTCCATCTTCCCATACCCCGAAATATACGACGAATGAGACAGCCTTGACGTATTCATAGACTGAAAATGCAGCTGATGGACAATATACATAAACGAGGTTGAGAAGGAGGCCCCATGCCCGCCTAAGAGAAAAAGGGGTTGAGAGGGAGGCAGGAGATCTGTAGCTTGGACAAACCACGTGCGAGTTCGAGTGAATACTGCTGATTGTGCAACGTGACGTTGGAATTCAGAGTTGGGTATTCACTCTTGATGCACTCGTGCAAAACACTCCGTTTCTAAGGACTAGGAATCGAGGGATTCGAGGTAGACAACATCCACCACCACCACAACCATCGCTCCATCACAGCCTTCGCGCACAAGAACCGACTACAACATATCTCATACACATACACCCCGTACAGCAACCCCCCTATCACGACCAGTCCGCGCAGGACCCTCCACTGAAGATGTCCATAACCCTCCACCGCATCCGCAACGCGCGCGACACAACAATGGTCCCCATGAACTCGATCCGCAGCGGCCCCTGGAGCTCCTCCCTCCAATATCTCACAACGGAAGAACTCAACGGCTGCACCGCCGTAGCTATAACTTCCCCTTACGGCGGCCTCCTAGCACACATCGCCCCTCGATCATCCTTCACCAACGATGGGGACACGAATGTGCGGAATTTAATGCAACAGGTCATTACGCATTTCAATCGAGGTCGAGGTCAAGGGTTTTTTATCCCTGCGACTTCTTCGGCGGTGATTTTGGCGGCGAATTATCGTGGCGAACTTGCCCTTCCGGATGCTGTGGGGATTGTTAGGTATGTTTTGGGGGAATTGGGGGTGCGGGTGGAGGTTGGGGAGTATCAGGTTCGAGGAGTGGAGGAGTCGAGGGTGRGGGGGTATACTTCGGTGATTATTCAGGGGAGAGTGGGGAGGACGGTGAGGATTTATATTAATGATCGTCCGACTGAGTTTGGAGGGGGAGGGGGAAGTGGGAGGATGAGCGGGTTGAGGAGTGGGATTGGAGGTGGGTTGTCGTCGTATGGACATGGGAGCGGACTGGTGCAGGGATCGAGGAGTGGGATGGTGAATGAAATGGGAGGAGGGATTACCGGACGTGGACCTACCCGATCGATGGCAGAACACAGTCGCTCGAGTATGGGTGCTAACCGCTCAGCCATCCCTCAAGACCGTCCAACAATGGGCTATCGCTCGAACGCCGCATCCGACCCGCGGAGCACAACCATTGCAGCTCGCGTCCGGCAGGCACGAGATATTGGTGGCTCCCTCGTGAGACAAGGTCATTCAGCGGCACGAGCTGCGCAGTACGTTGAACAGGCTCTTACGCGGAGTTTGGGGATCAGTCAGCAGCAGGCTTGTCAGTTGCTGTTTGAGGATGTCAATCGTCGCTGAGGTTGCGATGAATGCAATGTCATGTTCGCTGTGGGAAAAGGAGTGGATATGCAGGCTGGTGGGCTGTGCAGACATTGGCGGTCAAGGGATATTTTCCATCTAGCATCTTTTGATGGGCCATTCCCAAACACAATATGGTGTGTGATTGACTAGCCTGGCGCCACTCTCTAGCATCAGGGCAATGGTCGAATTGCAGGTCCTTGTTCCCCATCATAACCAGTTACCGGTCTGAACTTTTAACACGAGTTTTGCTCCCTCTCAATCCATCGTGCAGAAGTAGAGAATACTCAGGAGACGAAATGGCATGTAAATGTTGTAGGCATTGACGATTAGACTCTAGAAATGAAGGGACGAAAAAGAGATTGATGCAATTGACTGCTTGACGAATGAAAGGTCATTGCTTGTCTTGTCTTGTGCGATGATAAGCAGGATTGTCATGTTGGACCTGCATGTCCGAGTGGTCGGATGTTGAGCCGCCATCGCGGTAGATTTGCCAAGAAGTCGGAGGTCGGGCCGGAAAAGCCGATCAATGGGGAAGGAGAAGCGAGCAAGTTGATGGAGGTGTTGAAGGTGTCTCTTTTGATCGGTGGGAAGTTGACAAGACAAGAGGACGATGCGTGCTAAAGAACACGGTCGGACAATATGGAGCACGTGGGCTATCGCACCAACCATAGAAGGCGATGATGTGCGACGCGAGCTCTAGAATGTTGAATAGAGTTGGTGACGAGGACGCACAGACGCCTCGGCGTGCAACGGGCGGCAAGTGCAGGCGCAGGCCAACGTTACAGCATTGTTTAGGCTGGGAGATTTGTGGGAGAGCTCCCCGTACTTTTTGCAAAGCTAACCAAGCTTGTCGAGTCTCAACCAACATCTGCCGTGGTACTGTAGGAGTCGGGAGGTCTGCCTTCTCCTCCTTCTACCTTACCTTTTATCCCTCGATATTCTGCATCATGTCGAAACGATAGGTGGCATCGCGAAACTGCTGTCTTTGTCTCTCCAAGCCATTCCCGACCGGATCTCGATCTAGATCTCACCATGGATCGGCCGAAGAGCATGCCGCCGCAGAGCAGCGGACAAGGTTTATTCCACTTCCTGCCTCTGAACTCGGAAGTGTCCGTACCCGCCGTCGTGCCCAACAGTCGATGGAGCGTCGATGTCGCCAATCCCCGTCCGCACTGGCAGCGCTCCWCGGCCAGCATTTCCGCCGCAGAATTCCTCGGCATGAAACGAAGCAGCAGCAACGATCCCGACGACAAACATGTGGGGGGAGGAAGAGGAGGAGGAGCAGAAGATGCGGCCAATGCCCGACGCATGAGCCATGCCGCCAGCATCCTCAACACGCCGCAAGTTCGCAGCCAGCGGTTGATCGGGAACAGCAATCCGCGATACCGCTGGGATCGATACTTCAAGAGCGAGGACGAGTTGAAGCCCATGTCCAAGAAGTTGCGGAAATACTACGAGAGGAACAACTATCTCATCCAGCATTACATGTACATTGATCGCTTGCTGGACAGTAGTCTGCCCCACGATCTCATCCAGGAATATCAACACATTGAAATGTCGGCCATCAAGAATCTGCGGCAGGAAAACCTGCCCGAACCGATTGAGGAGGAGGAGGGAGCACGACATGCAAGTATGAATGGAAATGGATATGGCAGTATGAATGGGAATGGACATGAAAATGGACAGGGCGGCATGAATGGGAATGGATATGAAAATGGCATGGTAGACTCGCACCATCGCGTCTATCCCGAACGACACGGCTCATTTGACAGCATCGACGCTGATGGAGGCTTCTGGGCCAATGGCAATGAAGAATCCCACCCGCCTCCCCCTAAAGTCAAGCGGACACCCAAGGACATTTATTCCTACAAGGCATCCAACAACAACAGCGAAACCGCCCTCAGCAATGAAAACGAAGACGGCGAACAGGAACCTCTCCTCTCCTCCCGCTTCTCCCACACCGCCGATGGAGAGGTAGAAGACGGGCCGGCCTCCATCCCCGAACTAGAGTACGAGGAAGAAGCTTCCTCCCAGTCCCGCATCGTCACCATCGCCATTATCATCAACGTCGTCGCCAACACCGCCCTCCTCATCATGAAACTCATCGTTGTCCTCCTCTCCTCCTCCGTCTCCGTCCTGGCCTCCCTCGTCGACGCCGCTCTGGACTTCCTCTCCACCGTCATCGTCTCCGTTACCACTCGTCTCATCTCCCGAACAGATCAATACGCCTTCCCCATCGGTCGTCGACGCCTCGAACCCGTCGGGGTCCTGGTCTTCAGCGTCATCATGATCACCGCCTTCATCCAAGTCCTCTGGCAAGCCATCGCCGCTCTAACCAGTGGAAAACAAGAAATCGTAGAGCTCACCATCCCAGCCATCGCCATCATGTCAGCCACTGTGGTCATCAAAGGAGCCTGCTGGTTCTGGTGCCGCATGATCAAAAACTCCTCCGTGCAAGCTCTCGCTCAAGACGCCGCCACCGACGTCGTCTTCAACACCTTTTCCATCATTTTCCCTTTAATCGGATACTACGCTTCCATCTGGTGGCTGGATCCTCTAGGCGGAGTCTTCCTCTCCCTCTACGTCATCATCAATTGGAGTCGCACCGCAAACGAACACATCATGAACCTCACCGGCGCCTCGGCCAGCGCAGACGAGCGCAACATTTTATTATATCTCACCATGCGATTTGCGCGCACGATCAAACAAATCCAGGGCTTGCAAGCCTATCATTCAGGGGATAAATTGAATGTCGAAGTGGATATCGTGTTGGAAGAGACGATTAGTCTACGGGATAGTCATGATTTGGGCGAGAGTTTGCAGTATGTGATTGAGAGCGTGCCGAATGTCGATCGCGCGTTTGTGCATATGGATTATACGGGGTATAATCTGCCGACGCATTTGCAGCAGGATAATTGATGATGATGAGGAGGAGGGCAAGAGAGGAGATTTTCATTGTTGTAAGTTTGGCTGGGTACTTGCATCTTCTGTTTTTTTGGAGGAAAGCTCGATATGTCGTGGAGTGTGTCGCTGATGGTTATGCGACATAACAGGCCTATTTCTTTGTGTGTGTTATTATCACTTGGGCTGTACAAGACTATGTTCCCAATTGTGGGACGATATGGGCGGTGGAGGAGGATGTACCGAAAAAAGCACGACAACGACGACAGGAACATTGTACTCATCTTTTACTTTTTCTGGTTTCATTGTTGTTATCACCCGCTCAATCAAATCGATACATTCGTGAAAGTTCATCATGAAACTAGGAGGGAACATCTTCACTCGTGTCGTAGAGTAGGTAGGAAGGGAAGGTATGGAGGTGATCCCGAAAACAAGGTACAGTTTGTCGGGAAAAAGGCTAGCCGACCTCACCTCACGTCTCACGTGTTGAACGCCGCGAACACCTCATCTCATCACATCACATCATATGACCTCCTCGGCGTCTACTTCTGCTTTGGCACGATACCGACAGCTCTGGGTAAACTTCTCCTCTTCAATACATGGCATAAAGTCCACGGCTTGATGGAAAGATTGTTTGTTGTTCCAAAAATTGTTTTCGGGATCAAGACGCCTAAGCATCCCGACCCTGGAAGMTCAGTGAGAAGACTGGGCTGCTTGAGCAAACAGCTGTCTTCCCAGAGACTTCTAGACTTTGCCTCGGAAGAATCCTCATTGGCGTCGTCAGTGTTTTTTTCCGAAAATTTGTCAAGAAGACCGAGTTGCGACCTCGGATCTTCTCATTGTATGCAGACCATGCCTCGGAAAAATTCCTCATTGGCGGCCTCAAGACAGAGCCTGAACTGCGTCGACACAAAGAGTCATAGCGCACCTGAAAGAGCCTGAACTGCGTCCATCGGGAGGATTTCAGTGCACCTAACAGAGCCTGATCTGCGTCCACGAGGAGGAGCTCAGCGCGCCTGGTAGAGCCTGATCTGCGTCGACGAGGAGGAGCTCAGCGCGCCTGGTAGAGCCTGATCTGCGTCGACGAGGAGGAGCTCAGCGCGCCTGATAGAGCCTGAACTGCGTCCGTCGGGAGGAGTTCAGCGCGCCTGACAGAGCCTGAACTGCGTCCGTAAGGAGGAGTTCAGCGCGCCTACCAGAGCCTGAACTGCGTCCGTCAGGAGGAGTTCAGCGCGCCTATCAGAGCCTGATCTGCGTCCACGARGAGGAGCTCAGCGCGCCTACCAGAGCCTGATCTGCGTCCTCGAGGAGGAGCTCAGCGCGCCTACCAGAGCCTGATCTGCGTCCGTCGGGAGGAGCTCAGCGCGCCTGTTAGAGCCTGAACTGCGCATTTGTGGGGTGGAGTTCAGTACGCCTACCAGCGCCTGGTGTATGGGTCCTTCAGGAGGAGTTCAGCGCCAGTTCAGAGCTTCGGACTCGTAAGTGGGGAGGAGTTCAGCGCGCCTGTCGAGGCTTGGTGTGTGTTATGGGAAGAACAAGAGCAAGTTTCAAATTTCAGAAAGTTCTCATCTCAAGCGGGGCTGAGCTGACTAAAACTACGGCAGGGCACGAGCTTCAACGGGATGACGAGCAGATGTTGTTTCAGCATGTGTTCCGCCAAGACTTTGGTGGCTCCAGCATCCCACCGAAAGATTTCCTAACCACCTGCGGGTTCAAGTGCCAATTCTTCAACACATCACTGAATCTCGAATTCCCCAGAAAGCGGCCATGGTCAACGACAAGGGACGCTCTGCGGCGAAGAAGGAGAGAAACCGTGCGGAGAGAGCCGACAACAGCAGGAGTAAGAGCGCCCAGGCGCAATCCCGCACGCCCAGTTCYCAAGGCGATCAGCATGGCGTCTCGCATGCTACCAATCCTGTGCGCAAGATTGCCCCGTTTTCTCCTCGCATGACTGCAACACGCCCTGCCTCGCGCACATCAGTCAACGCCGCCGGCTTGGCGCAGAGACCGCCTGGCACGGCTCTAGCATCACGCTCGAACTATCAGGGCTCCGCTATCGCGAGCAGCACTCGAGCAGTGCCGTCAAGCGACGGCTCGGAGTCGAGCAGCGGCGCAAATGTCTCCAAGAAGCGTAATGCTGCTGCGCCAGTCACGCAGCAGGGAGAGCCGACAGAGCCTCCCAAGAAGCGCAACAAGACCGAGCAAGGCTCACCCACTGCGCCTAACAGGGCCGCACAGAGTGTCAATCACACTCGAGTGAACGCCACTCAAGCCTTCCCGCCGCCGCCTACCGTCACCACGTCTAGGTTCGAGGCATTCGCTGCCTCGCTTGGCAGTGGCCTCTCTCGAGCAGGCACCTCCGTCAGTACCAATGCTTTGCCACTGGTTCGAATGACTGGAGCTATGGTGCTCGAGCTTCTTCGCCGGTCAATGCGCGCGTTCTGTGCATTTTTGGCGCACGATGCGGATTACGTCGCACCCCCTGAAGCTGTGGATGCCGCAATCGCCAACCATGACGGCGGCATTGATACTACGATGGCTGACCCTGTCCAAAATGTCGCACCTACATTCGTCAATGCGCCTGTCGCCACAGCTCCTGTATCGTGGGGCATCGACATGCCAGCTCGCGAGGCATGGCCGCGAATTCCGACTGCCTCGCCTGAACCATCTTCCCAGGGCACTGATCGTGGTGCTGGGCCAGAAAATCCCGTACTTGTCAGATTGCGTCAACCTCCGAATGTGCAAGAAGACCGCTGGCATAGCGTTGAATTGCCAAACTTGGCTCCTCCCAAGTCCCACGCGCATGTCGACTCGCCGGAACTATCCATCTTTTCTACTCTACACGGTATCCCCAGCCCAACTTTCCCCCCTCAAAGCCGACAAGACAGGTCGCCGATTGCGTTCCAGACCACTTCACAGAATAGCAAGCGGTACAACGCGCCACAAACAGTCTTCAAGGGATGCAGAAGCGACATGAGTTTGGATGGTGAAGAATATAACGCCTGTCACAGCCCGATGGAACTATCTGAGCCTGGGTACAGTTTCTCCTTCTCTCGTAGTGCGCCGGTGGGTCGCTCGGTGCAGCATCGCAAACATGAGAAGCTCTCACCGAGCCAGGAGGATACCCCAGACCGTGCATCAGGCGCCGCGTCACACCAGAACAAAGTCGAGCTGCAATTGCCGACTTTGCCCGATGCAATGGATTTTGAACTCACTCAGCCACCACCTCGGGTTCTGCGACAGACCCTGCTTCAGCAGCCGGCTCAGGCTCAACCGCAAGCTCAACAGCAAGTTCAACCTCAGCAGCCARTTCAGACTCTGCTACAAGCTCAAGCTCAACAGCCAGCTCAGACCGGTCAAGCCGACAACCATGTTGACCCGTCAATTGCCCAAGGAAATCTCACCGACGACGTTCAGCCGTATCCGAGCGATAATATCATGGATGTGGACGAGATGGATGTTGGAGGTGAGGAGACTGTGGTCAAGGACGCGGGCGGGGAGGAGACGAGTGGCAACGGGCAGCCCGAGGACATGGGCGAGAATCAGAACCATAACGGCCAAGGTCGGATTGGAGATAAGGTGGACGAGCAACAGGGTAAGGGTGAAGCACAAGAGCAGCAAGGCGAAGATAAAGGCGAGGATGGAAGTGAGGATGGAAGCTGGGATACAGACCAGGACGCAGGTGATGGTGAAGAGGACGCGCAAGGTGACGATGAGGGCCAGAGAGATGGCGAAGAGGGCGAGGAAGGTGACAACCAGGACCAGAGCGAGGAAGAAGAGGGCGAGGATGGTGAGAGTGACGAGCAGAGCGAGAATGAAGAAGACAAGGATGGTGAGAGTGACGAACAGAGCGAGGATGAAGAAAACGAGGAGCAGGACGACAATCAGACCGAGACTGTCACCAAAAATAACGAGGGCGAGGGTGAGGCTGGTGACGACGAGAATGGAGATGACGATGCAGAGGCGTGGCACGATGAAGATGAAGACCAGGAAGAAGATACCGCGGCCGATCCGACAATGCTACAGCGGATCCTCGACAAGGCGCGCTCCACATCCAGCACTGCGCCTTCTTTCGGAGGATATGGTGCCGGCACCTCTGCTACCAACAGCGAGGTCAGCGTGGGAAGTGCGACCTGGAGTGCCGCGGGTGAGGACATGTCTCGTTTCAGTCTCTGAAGGAGTGACTGGGGGATGTCAAGCTATGTGTTTTTGTAAAAGTACCAGCGGCATGATTGAGCGGTAGATAGATGGTTTTGTGTTTAATTTTCTTCAAAAGTTTACTTTGTATATGTTACTGCTGTATCATCTTCCACTGTTAATGTTCTTATGCATGAAATGATTGTATGCGTTGTAGCTACACTCGACTGCCCTCTTGCTATTGATTGCTCGATTTCCGGACGATACAAGCGTGCGAATCATCCAGAAGCACATGGAAGGTTGGTAGGCAAGGCATAGAACTCGACTTCCATGGGAGAGAGAGCGACGTTAGAGTGGACAGGTAGGCACTTGGGAAATTCGGAATCATGCAGGCAGGAGCTTCAATCTGATCGTAGGTCGATTGCTAAAGGCCAGGGATGTCGAGCGAAAAGGACATTGCCAGTTTTCCACGAAGCACACACAGATTTCCTCTTCTCCAACTCCGGCACAGAGGCCAAGACGATGGTGAAAAGATAATGTCTGCAAAAGTTGCTCGAGAAGAAGTCGCATGAGCTTGTCGCACCTCCATGAGAGTATCTCAAAAGATACCCATGTGTGTTTGCACGAGGTCGAGTTGTGTAGGAATCTCTGGTCCTCCGAAGTCAGGGCAGATATGCTAGGAAGGGGAGCCTATTTTATCTTTCCATGGAAGTAAAGAAGTGCTCATACGCGAAAGACGCGTTGGGGTGGGGAAGAATGCACAAAACACGTTATCCTCAGCTTCCAGTTCAAATTGGAGCGAAGCAATCATGATGTCAGGCGATCTGGAAGCATGTGATTGCCAAGCTTTACCGAGCCGGGTTCCGAGATCTTCTTCAGACGCTGGTCATACGAAGCTGCCACCCGAACATCACGCATCATCTTGATAGTTTCAAATCCGGTGAACTTGCATGATGTCGCGCGATGAGGATGGCGTGCGGCGAAAGTGGCAATTGCCTGTTGTGGTGTGACAAAATCGCAAATGATGGGAAGAGGAGGCTTACTCTGATCCAATTATTCCTAGTACCGATCGAGCCGAGGTATGGGGTTGAATACCGCATGTCTAGTAGCGTTTCGCTGATAGATCGTAGCTGTACTAGCACAATATATCGCCTTACCGGTCAGAAGGAAGCAGAGAACGGACGGGACTAGGGCTCGGACTGTTAAGGTCAGCGACGCAGCTTAACGGCCTCCGGCTGACGTAAGGCAAGAACTGGCCACTAGAAACAGTAAAGATAGATCGAGTTCCCTGGCGCTGTTGTCCTAATACACAGTGTACAGAAGAGTGCGATTCGGAACCAAAGCTGATTGTCGACCTAATTACGAACAGCAGGACGCACACCAGAAGGCGAGCCACACGCCAAGCATATCCGCGAGATCGAGCGTATCAGGGTCGAGACCGCGATGTCTAATGGACAGCAAGTCCTTCCACCTCGTCGAAGTGGTCGTGAGGCAAGATCCGACAGAAAACGCAACGCCAAGCGTCGACCAGAGCACCGCAATATAAAGATCATTTGATCTTGAGCTACCCAGATTTCTCCCAGCGTTCATGCAGGCATCTACCTCTGCGACTTTAAAGTATCAGAAGAAGAGTAAACGAGGTCATTGAGATGCTAGTCGTGAGACTGGTCTGGAACACACCATACAGGGGGGGTTCTGGCGTCTCATCGAGCGAAGTATAGGACGGAGCGACACACGAGGCTATCGCGCATTGACAAGAGCCTTCTATCAGCCGGAAGATACATCACCAAGCTGCCGTTTCCTCGGCCAATACCGATGATAACTTGATGGTAAGTAGTGTGCCTTGCATGCCGCACAGAGCGACTGATGTGAGGATTGATCATCGAGACAAGGATCTCTCGGGCATCCTCATATCATCTGGAAGCCTACCTCTCGGCAAAGTCGTCAATTCTGGAGCTTCTAAAACCGTCTCTGCTAGCAAGCTTGCCCTTTAGAAGATGAAGAGTGCTACCAAAGACGTTAATCCTTTTAACAACTTCTCGTATCGACCACTCTGATGCTGCATAACCAGTTTCCACATCGTGCTAACACTTTCTACCACAGGACCACGAGTACCACACTAAATATCATGATTGGCAAACCATTGAGCTTCGCGGCCAGAAGACTGCTACTTGCTGATTCGAGGACACAAAAATGCCAGCGCAGCTGGCAAAAGCCAGCAAACTGATACACAAGGATTGAGAGCGACGTGAAAGATGCAGCTGAGACTTTGACAGGTTTGGCGTTTCAGTTTAATCGACGGTAGATCGCTAACACATTGATCAACCAACCTGAGACTACACACACTGCGGCAAACTTTCGTAGTTTACAATCGCTCACAATCGACTCTTTGATTTCTAAAAAATTCGGAACCCTTATCTTGCCAATGTCGACGGTCGTGGGAGTAGATACAATCTACAGCTCAAACGACTGCCATCTTCAGAAGAAACATTATCATAATGAGCAGTCGAGTATTGGTCTGAAAGCTATAGAAAAGCGTCATACTTGGTCCATGCCGAATAGTTAACTATCTTGCGTCTTACGACTCAACGTTACGCTATCGAGATCTAGCTCCACGCTTCGAGCACTACGTCTTACATCAAACGAAACACTAATGGAGCAATCAAAAGAATTTCCGGGGTCCCCGCATAGTAATTACTCCGGTCGCTTAGTATACGCGAGCTTCCAAGACCAGCCAAGGTATAGGCGGCCGGGGTTGAGCGGAGTCTCCGCACTTTCGGTCCTAGGCATAGTCAGCAGGCACGACACAGGAACGAGCCGTTTTTAACAGTATCTCCTCCCTCCTTTTTTTCTTTCTTGTTTTGCTGTTCTTTTTGCAAGATACGTCTTTTAGCTTTTTTTTTTTCAAGCACAGCATGGCTCCTATAGATGCACTGAATGCCAAGCAGGTCTTTACACTACTAGCTGGCACATATAGTCTGCTCAACACATCGAGGTAAGACTACAAACACTAATATACTGTTCCTGTTCCATTCTTTCTAACCTTCTTCTAGCTCCCTCAATGGTACATCAATTCCAGACAGACCATATGGAAAAAATCCCGTCGGCATCCTCACATACAGCGAGTCTGGCTACATGTCCGCCACAATCACAGCTACTGAGCCGGAGTTCCGTCCCGAGAGCTTGAGTTTCCCATTTTTGGATTCCCAATCGGACGCCGATTGGGCACTGGTTGGGAAGCACGGAATCGCCTATGCCGGTCCCCTCCAATTAAGCGATGCTATTCCGGCCACTGAGACTCACGGACAGATCTTTCATGGGCCTTTGATCGTTGCAAATGTGCCTGCTTGGGTTGGTGATGAGCAGAGGAGGAATTATACACTTTTCGATTGTGGGAAACTGTTGAAGATTGACTCTGAGAGAGGCGGTGGTTATCGAGGAGTTTTGTGGTGGGAGAAGCTGGATTGAGTGAGATGACCATGATTCTGATCAAATAGAAGAGATACATCGAACTACTCGATTTTTGTGGTCGAAATGTTTTTCTCTTTGCTGATGCTTGAGGACCGTGATTCGGAAAGCATTTAATTAGCGGCCATTCATCAACAGCTCGATGGGATTGAGCAAGCCATAGAACATCCCCTTTGGTGGAGTCAAGAGCGAAGTGGAGGAGAGAGGCCCACTGAAGTGATCCCAGGATCTGATTTTAAGGGGATTTTACGTCCAAGATGATGACAAAGACAGTTTCATTCACTCGACCGCGGAGACATTCGCAACACCTGCAAGCTTACTTCGAGCAGACAAGCAAACATCACTTGGTCCGAGACACCGACAAAACTCCATCCAGTATACGCCTCCGATAATCAATCTGCTTCTTCCCCTCGAAGCCATCATCTCCACCCATCATGCATTCCTCCTACGAACAAGCGATGGAGTCGCTCCGCATCAGTGATCCGGACCTTCATCAGAAGCTCACAGCCGCCCTCAACCAGATCACTGATCTTCCGGTCGGCATCGTCCAGCAGCTTGCTGATTCATTCACTCGAAAGCATCACGGAGACCAGCGACTATCGTGAAAAGCTTGTCTCCGGCCTCAACGACATTCGACAAGCCGCCGAGGATCCATGGGAGGAGGCTTTCGAGAAAGAGGAATCGTGGGTGACGCAGCAGCTATGCGGAGTGAAGGGTCATGCGGTCGAGGCGTTGAACGACATTGCCATCATCTTGCAGGAGCAAGTTCACAATGTGCGCGCCTCACTTGGTCAGTACGGAGCGACTATTTCCGACTCCGCCTTTCTGATCACGTGCTTCTTTCTCGACGGCCTACTTCCACATCGAAGACATCTCCCCACGTCCGGCTTCTCCAAGCTTTCATGAAACTCCAAGATGTTTGCCTTCTTCATAGCTCTTGCTATTCTCTGGCTTATATGCCCAGGAATCAGCGAGCAAGCAACTATTCTCATGTATCCAGTGGTGTGTTTGGGATCACTCATTGGAAAGCTACTGGGCTTGGGTCCACCTTCTCGATTCTGGCCAGGACGGAGCGAGCGATTGGAGACGAACCAGGGTTGGCTGGGGACGTTGGGCTGCACACTTGGGTTTCTGCTTAGCAGTGGCTTCTTTGCTTGGGTGGTTCTCATGATGCAAGACGCATCCATCACTACGACGGAACAATGCTGCTGCTGGAGAATCGCTGCTGGGGATATTTCAATGGATAATCATCAAGGGGCTTGAAGGTCCAGGGCTCAACTGGTGCTCTTGCTGAGGTAGCAGATCTGTATGAGAAGCTCAAACATTCAATGTGCTTGCTTGAGTCCAAGCTAGCTATGAAAAGTCCTGGGAGAAGACTCGAACCACGTAGAACAGAAACTGCACGAAGAATTACCAGGCGAGACTGATGATCTACTGTTTTCTTGAAATCTCCTAAACCAACATACTCTGTCGATACGAGATTTCTGGTCGTAGCCACTAGTCCAAACTTTCATCATCGCGAAAGAACCGCAGAATATTTCACAAACAATAAAAGCCGTACAAGTAAGAAGTCTCTTCCACCATCATACAGCATTCGCCCTCACCCATTCGCTCCACCAATGGAAACCGAGATCCCCAGACCCCAGAGAATTCTGAGGCCAGCGATGGCCTCCAGAGACCCATTAATCGACCATCCCAAACTCCGTCAACTCTTGGATACAACTTACCTCTCGACACATTTCCTCCTTGCTACAATCTCGGCCTACACACGCCATCACGATCCCAGTCCCTTCATACCCCTACTCACAGACGCCGTCATCTTTAGATTTCTCGTGGCACACACACTACTCTCTGGCCGCTGCTATTCGGTATCTCAGAGACGACATCCAAGAGAATTCTTCCGACTTCGCTGTTTGGATCGCTGCTTGGTGCTATGTTATCTCGGTAAGCTCGATGCAAATTTCATTCATCGTTGCAATAGAAGGGTGGTGATTGAGGTGCTRATTTTGATGCCGGGTAGATACTTGATCATGACATCTGATGGTATTGTGTGGAGTGCGWCTTGGACGTTGGTTGGGTGGGTATTGCCGCTGATCTTGACTGGGCTTTTGATAGTTAGTATCGAGTGATGGGTTTGAAGGGCTGATTCCGGTGAGAAGATGTCGTGGTGATCATTCGGCTATCACGATTACCATGCCCACCATCACATGGCAGCCCTTGCACATCAGCTTATTTATGCTGGGTCTTCACGTGCATCGATTAGTCGAGTGTCACAGATTGTGGGATGTCGCCCTGTGAGGTCTCTTGGTCATCGTATGGAGAGCCTTCTTCTACTGTTCCACATCTCAAGCCACTCTGCTGTTATCCGTTTATACTACCAAGTACTCTGTGCCCTGTGTCTATGAAATTGGAACTTACAGCAATCCCTAGCGCACCCGAAGTCATCCAACGCAAGGTCGACTTGTCCGCGTCACATATAGAGTGGCAGAGTTCTTTTCCGATGKGGCCGAATAGTCATCGGCTTTCAATTTCAGGGTAGACTATCTCAGTCCTAGTAGATGGCGTACCCTCACCATCAAGCTATGGATCGACCTTAGAAAAGAAGTGATTCCCTACCTCCTTTTCAGAGCCTTAATCCATCGCCCGGTCGCTTAATAATCGTCTTTCCTTCCTTAGCTTTCTGACAACAGTTCCGCATACGACATGAAAGGGGTTAGCTGCCCTTGTTGCGCGGGGTAAGCACAATATGCAGGGAAGAAATGAATACAGAATCGTCTTAGAAGGAAGCAGGTAAATCCCTCATCTCGCTACTACATGTAAGGGCGCCTCGAAGTTTCGGACTACCAAATCATGAAATTGGGCGATGTATCAAAAACGCTCAACATACCAGCCGATCATTCAAAAATGCCAAACAAGACTAGATGCATAAATTTGTCCTCGCAGAGTGATCTGAATCTCTTGTAGGACCACGAGAATCCTCCCGGAACTCTCTAGCAATAGTAAGACATTCTAGCCTTTTCTAGGGATCGTGAAGAGTCTAAAAAATCAGCACCGAAAACTGTGGGAAATGACTTGCTTGGCATGTGACAGCAAGTCCGTGCACGCGCGCGGCTCCGTCACATAAATCATTGTCTCATCGACTTGAAATTCTTTCGAGCGACAAGTTCAATACACATCAACAACTACCACAGACGTCTCGAAGTCCTAATGAATCGCGAGGTATATAGATAATAATAGATATGATTCCCCCAAATATAACAAGATACTGACATTACAACAGCTACTAAAATCACTCGAGTAACGCCCCTGTCATTCCTATTGCCCCGAAATCCATGATTCATTCTCTATCGGATACAATGTCTGCTAAGGAAAGCCTTTTCATTTCTACCTATAGTGAATGTCGAGAAATAGAAGAAGCGAGAGGAACGAGAGGGAAGGGAGGATTGGGAGGTGTATGCGAAGGAGAAGAACGAGGCCATTAGAACAAGACCTCTTCCGCTGGGGAAGAGGTTCAAATACGCCTTCAAAGATCTCTTTGGAAAGTAACCGGGTAATGGGAGTATATGAGAGGGTTGATGTTGATCGGCATTGAACGGATGAATGATTGAATGATTGAACGATTGAACGATTAAATTGGTCGATGGTTGAATGATTGAATGATTGAATCTACAATTGAAGGAATGAATGAATATCTGATCGATCATCATCATCATCATCAAAGAGGGTAGGTGATGAGGGAAGGTTCCAATGGGGCAGGGCAGTCAGGGCGGGCCGTCCGCAACACTTCTTCCCCGTCAAACATACCCTCACTCCTCATTCTCCCTCTGATCAGTAGCCCTCTCCAACATATCCAAAAGCTCCAAACGGATCGCCAAGAAAGCTTGCAACATTTGCTCGCTAATAGCATCTACATCATCGCCAGAATTGCCCCTCCGAAGAGCCTCGCTCCTCTTGATCCTCCTCTGTTCGATTTCATGCTCGACACCTGCTAGTATTGCGGCAGCAGGACGAGGTCTCACCACCCTTAATCGAGGCCAAATCTGAGTGTTGCGGCACGTGGGACACGTTTGGGCGACTCGYATCCATACTCTAAAGCATTCTCGGCAGAAGAAATGGTTGCAGGTGGTTGATATGCCGGAGGAGACGTGTCGAAAGCAAATGGGACATTCTTGTTCTGTCGGGAGATATATGCGGCGAGCCTCCGTCGTGGTTGGTGATGTTGCTGAACCCTCCTCCTCTAAGTCTTCCTCCTCCTCAGTGCTCTCATCCGCAGTGATGGTTTCCAGAGGTTCAGCTGCAAGATGATCATCGAGACCGCGGGAAGGATCTTCGAGCTGCTGGTTTGGGGTGGCGGTCACAGGCGAGATGATGGGGCTTGAGCCGGGTGACATTTGCCTATCTTCCTGGACCTCTGGGAGCGGAACTTCGGGACTTGGCGCCAGGGAGCTGGACGATGTGGGTTAGAGTCGAGAGGTTTCAACTCTTGAAAGGTTACGATACCGGTCAGCGCGGTGTGCTGGAGGTGTGGAACTCAGCGTTAGGGAAGCTAAGGCTTCGTCGGGGATCGAGCATTGGGAAGGCGTGCGTGGTGACATGTTGATTGTTGCGATTTGGTGAAAGCTTTGGTCTTGTCTGGTCGTCTTTCTCGTTCTTTAGTAATGGTTTTGAACGTGAGGAGGATATGTGAAGTTTTTGGAAAGTCAATTGTAAAGCGAGACGAAGCTGGTGTTTACAGACTTGTGAGCGGGTAGTTACGAAATGACTCGAGGACAGTACGTGTGGACAGGTTCGTATCGTACCTACTACAGTTAGTTTCCGGCAGCTGTAGCGTCGGGTCTCTTCCGCGCCAGAGGCAGGATCGAAGACCTAGACTGGCAAGACCTCTGTTCGAATTGTAGCTACATCTTTCCCAGAACCTTGGATTGCCGCCCGGTCGCCGCCTATTAATTGGCTTGTCTTCCTTAGCTTGCCCAAAGAAAGATCTCTGGATATGATGTACATACGAAAAGCAGAGCACCTCTAGTGAGTAGGTAAGGTAGTCACGTTCCCAAGGGTAGGTACAACGTGCACGGAAGGAATTCAAGAATGTCGGAGAAGGAGGCAGGATTGTAGAAGTTTCCAGCACGGGAATGCGCCTTTGCATATTATTCGGCAACTAGAACTCTACTGGCGCCTTCAAACTTACATTCATAGACTTTTAGCAGATCTTAGTATTGAGCCATAACATGCACCAAGCCTTGGTGTCATTCAGATATCCAACCGAAAGATTGCCACTACCACTTTCGACAAAGTCATCACATTCTGACCCAAAAGACACTCCGGTCCCTACTATCAGGTTCAGTCCAATATAATAGAGATTCGTTTCTTGGCAATTATAGGTTCAGTCTACCGAATTCTGACCGCGTCGCACAGCGCCAAGATATATCTGTCCTCAATCCGGTACCATACGGAGGTAAATCCAACCAAGCTCATGATCTCAAAAGCCAGAGTGAACCATACGCAAATTCTCCCGAATATTCATCTATATAGACACCTTCCTCCTCCAGCTTTTACCATCAACACGATCCTCACAAACCCCAATCCCAATTCTGCCAAGACTTTCACAAGCCGCGATTCACACAACATCACACAACGACAGCAATAACAGCGACCACAAAACAAACATTACCCCTCTCTCACGCAGAAAAATGCCTTCCCCACCCACCGACCCTCATCCGCCCAACACCCCCATCCCCACAACCGGACCCCCCCGCCCCTTGATCCCAGGATCCCTAACCTCCACAACCCCCTCCACCCCACAAGAATGTCCAATCTGCACGCTCACCATCTCAAACGGCAAAACGACCGCCTGCTCCCACTTTTTCTGCGCGAGCTGTATCGACACGTGGATCCAAGAACACGACAATTGTCCCATGTGTCGTTTCACTTTGCGCGCTTTGCGGGAAGAAGAGGCGGGATCTTTCGAGTACTACGGGATAGATTTCTCAGAGTGTGTGGAACTTTTACTTGAGGTGGGTGTTTGAAGTCGCTTCTATAGCTGGGCTTACATCTGGAACAAGAACAGTATGAAAGCGGCGTTTGAGAAGCTTGCGCGCACGACTGCGTGGCGCTGTCGCAAGGATGGTGAAAGGCTMAGACATCGATTCTGGAGCATTCGCTCCTGTGGGACTCATCGACGCGAAATTTCTACCAGCGCTAAAAGGCGAGATGCGTGAGTTGACTATCGAGCTCGACTGCTACGGTAACAGTGATCTAGAAGTCACAACTATGATATGCGATAAGAGGTGAATCCTCGGGGCGATAGTATCTTTCTTTTAACAGGAAGAAGAACGGTGATCTGCCCAATACCATACCATATATATAAAAAATCAAACCAAGTATATCATATCATATTCTCATAACCCATATCCACGCATCCATGCATACATCCATAAATCGCCAGTAGATAATTCCCACCCCCGAAAAACCACCCCATCATCCCATCGCCCCATCACACCATCAAGTCCAAAACCACCCCCGACTCTTCCTCGTCTTATCCTCTTCGACCCCCTCCCCCTCCCTCCTCAATTCCTTCCCAACAACAGCAGCCTCATGAATAGTATGCACGCTCTCCGAACACTCCTCCCTCCCATCCACAAATCTCTTCTTCAACACGACTTTCGTAGTAACAGTACCATCCGGAAGGCGCGTGGTGTGAGTAGTAGTAAGAGCAGAAAGGACATCCGGTCTCGGTGAAGGAATATTCCGCGCTGGTACCTCTTCTGTCTTCAACACCTGCTTCCCGCCGAGGAGACTCTCCTTTTGCTGCTGTTCCAGCGCCTGGAGATTCTCCTCTAATTCCTCCAGCGGCATAAACGCATACCTCAACCAACCCACCCCTCTCTTCTCATCACTCCCCTCCAAAACCCTCGCCAATCGTCGATACAATTCCCCCCTTAACCCCTCATCCCTTCCCAAACCCTCGCCTTCAAAACATCCCAATGTCCTCATCAATTCCTCAATACTACCCGTTCCTTCCAAACTAGGAATGCGAGTCCAATCCATCGCCTTACGTACGCTGTCCCAGTCGACATGAGGAGTGGCATCGACGATCCCCGGAGCGACGATTTTGAGGTCTTGGTAGTGTTCATACCACGTGTTCAAGATTTTGGCAGCGTCGTTGGCGTCGGAACGCTGCAGCGCGGCGCCGAGAGCGGAGACGGCGGATTCAAAGTCCGAGGTGCGGTCGCCTGTGAGGAGGAATCCGGCGGATTGGCGGAGCATGTCCCATTGGTGAGCTTCGAGGGCGTGGACGCGGTATTCGTTGGCAAAGGGGCACGAATTGTCATCATCGTCGTCGTCGTCGTCGTCGTCGTCGTCGTCGTCGTCGTCGTCGAGGTCATCGTATTCCTCGCAAGCATCATCATCATCGTCGTGATTCCCCAAAGCCCTTTTTTCAGCTCGGGCCATGAGTAACCTCCTGTTATTCTGTTCTTGAAGCAGCTCGAGCTGTTGCTGATACTCCTCCTCTAATGCGGAGTTCCCCTGGTAGGAGTACATGTCCAGCTCGGTATCCCCCGCATACTCATCCAACGCATCCTCCACAATTTCCCTCGTAGCAAAAGCACGCCTCAATTCGGTGAAATCATGCGTCATGGGATCCGACATGAATCCATCCCTCTCCTTCCTCCACGAAGAAGAAGTACTCCACGGACCATGACACATTTTAATAATCTCCCCCAACGACATGCCTTCGCACTCCCTCCTCCCCAAGACAGAATCATACAGCATCGGCAACAAAGGCGGCAAAACCCCCCGATCCTGCAAACTCAACATCCAATGCACTCCCGACCTACAATCCACCTCGCGATGCTGCTGCTGCGCAACCATTTCCTTGCCCAAACTAGCAGCCATCAAATCCTCAAACSCCGCCCTCCACTTCTTCTTCCCCTCCCACTGCAAATCCTCATGCATTTCCAACCGCAAAGGCGAATACGCACTCCGCGCAAACCAATCCACACTCAACCATCTCGGAGAAATCCTCTTCCCTCCCCCGAAACCATCCAACCAGCCCGCCTGCGCACTCTCGCCATCCGCATACAGCGCCGCAATTCGACTCCACGGAACCTCGGAATTCTCTCTCGCGGCATGCTCAATCATCCACCTCGTCGCAAGCGTGATGTCATCTTTCGCTCGGCTGGGAAGACGGTAGATTTCCCAATCCAACGCTTCCGCCGTCTCCGCACTTGCCGTCCATCGGGTATGGAATTCCCGCTCGAGAGCTGCATTCTCGGCCTGAATGTCGGATCGTAGGGAGGAGATGTTGGAGGGGAGATTGACGAGGTGGGAGGTCAGGGTGGAGATGTGGTCGTCGATGAAGCGTTTAAAAGCCGCCAAGGGTGTGGCGATGTTGTTGTTGTTGGAGCTGTTGTTGTGGCGGTCTTCCATTTCGCGGAGCCGAGTGGTGTAGTCGTCGTGTGATTTCTTGATGCGTGACGAAAGATGGTGAGCGTTGGGATCTTCGGAGGAAGGCATGATGGGTGTAAGGTATGATGTAGTTCGGGGGGAGAGAGAAGGGAAGGAATGGCCGGACGAGTGTCGATGATAGCTTGATAGCTGCCTCTCAGATCGGAGCTCGGCGGATCGATTGATTGGCTGAGAGGGCATCGCGAGTGTGGGGAAGAGGGGTCCCTTGGCGCCATCTTCACATGAAGCCATCCCAACCTATCTATCCATAATTCTCCCGGAATATCTTCAAGAATCCCTGATCCATATGGACACTCTCTCCCCCGAGCTCTTGGAACATGTCCTCGGACTCTTGCCCCCTCTCGACCTCTTACTCGCTCAACGAGTATGTCGAGACTGGAAATATCTAATCTCCAGCAGCCCCACACTACAGCAGGCATTATTCCTCCGTCCCTCCAACGGTCCCTTTCCAGGCTGGAAAAGAACCTACACCGCCCCAAAAGACAGAAATGCTAAGGGAAACTTCACCATGGAGTCCAAGCCCCTTCACGGCATCTCTCAAGGTCTCGCCACCATCAACGGCGTCACAAAACCTCTGATTGGCCCCCACGGACGAGACGAGGTGGCCTGGCGCTTCATTGAAGGAGTTCTCGCAAATACCATCCCAAAACTCGAATACGCCGAAAAGTGCTTCGTACGAGGGACATTGAATCCTTTCTTCTGGAGCCCCTACGACAAAGGCTACCGCGACCGCAGGGGCGATGAAGGCGTTGCGGGATTCCTGTTCGACGCATCCGTATTTCAACTCCGTGAACGACGTCTCCCTCTACGTCCAGGCGAAAAATATCGAGAATGGGAAGCTTGGAAGCATTTAAAATCGCGACATCAAGAATCCCCGTCGTGTGCGTCGTGGAGGCGCATGTTCATCTCTCAGCCTCCGGTGGAAAGAATTAGCATTCATATACCGCTTGAAAGTTGGGATAACGATTTCGATGGGGAGAGGTATAGCTATTCTCTCCCTGATGGCAAACCTATCACCATGCAGGATATGGTGAGAGATGTCCCGGACGAAGAGGAGGGGAGTCAGAATCGCCACCTATTCCGCATGGAAAGCGTTATTGATCCGCTGCCAGTTCATGATTTCTATTTGATGTATACGATGGAGGGAAGTCGAGGGGCGAGGAATTGGGCGCTTGCGAAGGGGTTTGATTGGAAGGGACGGAATATCGAGCTTGTTGATGACGAGGATGATAGTGACATGATTCAACGGGCGAGAACGAGTGCTGGAGATTTGCAGATGGCTGGGGAGCAAGATCATAACTCTACTTCTGATATACTGGGATATGAAGAGCTTATTCAAGCAAGGAACAGAAGATTTCATGCGACAAATTATCCCGGTTTCAGACGATCAATTTGATTACACATCCCCAACCTCAAGGCACGAGTAAATATACATTGAAAGCGCACAGACTTATTAGCGCTCATTCTTAYTATATACATAATGTACACTTAGACATGAAAACATCAAAATCCAGCTAAAAGTCACATTCCATACAATGAATTCCCCCATGGAACAAATTCATCCCATCGAACAAGAATCAATCCCTTCCCTGGCATCCCGCACTACTATATCCTTCGAACAGGAATCATTCTATCGAATGGAACTAATTCTATTGAACGAAACCAATCATATCTAACAACAAAAAAACTTACACCTACACGTATAACCTCATTTCTATTCCTCCTTGGCATAAAACTCCCTAGGGCTACCTCCAAGAACCCAAACCCCCACACCTACCCCTACCCCTTAAGATATACYCACCTACTACCTTCTCCAAACTAACAACGTTAGAATTAACAACAACAACAATAACACGAGCCTGACATTTCCCATCCGATCTCATCACGTCTTATAAAATCAAACGATTAAGATTACATAACTAGATCTTTTCTATTGTTAAAGAGCTCGCCATGAGTCATTCAGGCAGCTTAGGCAGTCATACATGCATACATACATACATACATACATTCAAGGCTTAAATCTTCTCCTTTCTTTTCAATCTCACTGAACCTAACCTCCGTCCAAGATTTCACTCTCTTCTCCTCTCCTCTCCTCTTTAACGAAGAACGAACATATCCTAGCGTAGCATGCGCATAGGGCAAGTATTTCCTCCTCGTACTTGAATTCTTGCTGGCTGGCTGGCTATCTCTCTTCTTTGCACATAGGTAGACGGAGAGATGACGAAACATGAGAGATCAGAACTTGAGCAAGTCTCGTTTAGAGAAAGAGACATGAAAAATTTAGTGTCTTGGACAAAGTCAGTATAACGCATTGAATAACTGATACATATCATGAACTCCAATCCTATATTTCATCCCTACATTCCTCCTTGTATATCGACACCATCTTCAATTCATCACACATACAACCCTTCAACACCACCCCCCCCATCCCCCCTCAACACCACCCCTACATCACCATCCCTCCCTCTTTCAATCACCGAAACTCCCCATCAACCCCCTCAAACCCCCCCAAAAACGCCCCAAACAAAATAACCCCCAAACCAGGATCCAACGCCCCAGTAGTAGCACGAATACTATGCATACTCAACTGCGGCAACCCCGCATCAATAGCCCTAACTCCCAAAGCACTACTCAACATAGGCCCAACAGTCCCACCACTCCGACTATCATTTCGAATCTGAAAGACCTGTAATTTCGCCCCCGCCAATTCCGCACAGCGTTGCAAAAGGGAAGTCGAGAGGGAATCGGTCGTCATATGCCCATTGGAATCCGCCGCCACGGCGACTCCGACGTTGAGGTGTGGGGCGTGGTTGGCGAGGTATGCGTTGAGGAAATTGGGATTCACGGCGTGGGTGACGTCTGAGGAGACGAGGAAGGAGTTGGCGTATGTGCGACCCATTACGTCAGAAGTGGGTTTGTGGTCCGCGAGAGAGCCGACGGCGCGCTCGAGGACTGTGGGGAGGAAGTTTCCTTTGGCGCCTTGGCGGAGGAGAGAACCGATTTCTTCATCGTCGAAGAGGCCGACGACTTTGATGATGGAGCTTTCGTCGTCGTGGGGTTGGGATTCTAGTAGAGCTTGGAGTGCGGCCCAGGAACATAGCTTATCGTCTATACGACCTGCGTAGATGAATTCCTTGTTCAAACCCCCGACGGTCGCGGGCTGCACGTCGAAGAGTTCGAGCTCCCAGTTTATGATGTTGGGGATGTTGCTTGCGGAAATGTCGAGTGCTTCGGCGATGACTTTGACCAGCGCGGGCGGTTGAGTGTGGATGAAGCTGCCCACTGAGCCATTCCCGCCTCCGAGTAGGGATGGTTGACTGAATGGCTCGATGATGTCTTGGTAGGGACCCGCGGACGTCGTGTCCAGGCCGATGATGGGCACCATTTGCGTCTCCGGGTTGAAGGGACCATTTGCAGCGGCGCCAAAGTGAGGAGCCAAAGTGGGGATCCTTGCAATCGGCCAGTCTAGCTTGACCAATTTCGTGACGATCTTGTTGCCTTCTTTGATGTGAACCCTACCACCGATCCCGAGATCGCGATCCCACCAGGTGCTGTTGAGTCCACCCGCATACGGAGCGACTCCCAATTGGAGGTATCCGGCTTTGTTGGGGACGGTTGAGACGGGCTTGAGTCGGGCGGTGAGGGCATCGACATGGCCGGMTAAGATCGCAGCGCCATTTCCCGACTCGTACTTGGCGCCGACGGAAAAGGCAATCAGGGAGGATCCATTGCGCTCCACGAAATAGCTCCCAGAAGGCTTGATGTTCCAGGAATCTCTCTCGGATAGCTCAGTCCAGCCGGCATCTTTCAAATCCTTCTTCATCGCGGATACAGCATGGAATACCGTGGGGTTGTCCGTCAAAAAGTCACAGAAAGGCTTCGTGTACTTTTCGGCATTCTGGCGGGTGGCCTTTTGAATCTTTGGCGGCGTAGATGATGGGGCGGGGCTGGAGAGGCGAGTACCAGAAGTCGATTGGTTCATGCCCATTCGCTGCATCTGTGCCATGTTCTGTACCATGGCTCGCTCGAGCATGTCCGAGACGAAGTTTGGCTGGCTTTTCTCCGTTGTTGTTGTTGGCTGAAGGAGATTCTGAATCGCCGGGGAAGATCTCGCCTCACGAACACGATCTTCAAACGCCGCCCTTTCAGCTGGCGTCGCCTTTCCCATGGCCATCTTGTTCATGATGTCCTTGGTGTATGCATCTTGACCACTGAGCTGAATCGCCGCGGGCCTGCTCAGCGTCTTGATTTCATCGTCCGAATTCTGCTTGGAGTTGTTGTCGGACGGTGCCCATGGATGTCTTGTGTTCGGCTCATCGATGTTGGTATATGGCTGGGGCATGGGAGTGTATGGGTTGGCCGGCTTGACCGGTTTCTGCGAAGCGGTGGACAGATCGGCGACGCTGGTGTTGGAGCGGAGGGATTGCATCGAAGGGGTGTTGCGGACCATTGTTCGTATGGTCGTTGATGGAGAGTAAGGGGGTTCGTTTGATGATTGTATTCGGGACGATTGTGATGATCTTATCGGAAGCGATGTCGTCGTTGCGGAGTCCGTGCCTAAGCTTTGGTGGAGCTGCGATGCTAGTGTGGCTGTGTTGTGTCCAAGTGAATGTTTAGGCCACTGCCACGCCACCCACCTCCACTTCCCACTTCCGACCTCACGTCTCATCATTCACCAATATTCACTTGTCACTCAGCATCACATGAGCGATCTCGCAAGCAAGTGTCGAGATCTGCTCTATTCACAGACGAGACCTTTTTTTGGTCTGCCAGGTCCTGCATAATCAGCCGCTCAAGGCCACTCAATGTAGGACGACTTCTTCAACGGATGCGATGAGGCGAGGGCAACTGTGGGAGAACTAACGCTCGGACATCTCAGGCAAACGCTCTTGAGAGCCCGAGAAGTAGAAAGTGGATGATGTTGCAGATGAAAGGGTAGTGGTGACATAGGCGAAGGAGTGGTGCGGTACGCGAGTCTGCTGTGCTTTGGGGGTGACAGGAGGCCCGTTCCATACGCTCCCACTCATGAGAACGAGCCAGCTGGTGTGCAGCGAAAGCGCTCTAAGACTGTAAAGTGATACTAACTAGCAGTGGTTCTCCAGCAGTGCACCACCCGGCAAGGGCCTCCCGCGAGCCGCGAGCGTATCCGCCTCGTTCGGGAAGTGGCCGAACGGCCCAAACCGAACTTTCGTCACTATAAAAACCTCGCGGCTTCTCCTCAAATCCTGCTATCAACATCAACATCAACATCAACATCGTCCATCATGGCGCGTAAGAAGAAGGGTAAGACGAAGGGGAAGTCCTCCAAAGCTATCCGCTCTGCACCTGCAGCAGCGGTTCCATCCTCCTCCTCGCCGCCAGAAACCACGTCAACCTCAACTGCGCCGCAAACCGGAATCCCGTTCTTCGACAAGTTTCCCCCGGAGGTAAGTGCTGTACATTGAAAGAGACATCCCGCGMAAACAACGAGAACAACAAAAAGTGAAGGGCCATAGGGCATCTGTGATCCGCAGTGGTCTTCGAGCGCGCGCTTCAAGATCTTGACCTCGATGTCTGAGATAATGCTGACGATCCTTCTAGGTTCGCATTCTCATCTACGAGTTGGCGTACACTGACGAAGAGCCGCTGAAAGTGAAGCCGAAGCGTAACACCCGCACTACGCGTCGCGACATCGCACCCGAGAAGACCAGCGCGCAGATGGTACGTGATTGCTACCTGTCTAGCAGACTCTCATTGCCACAATTTACTAAGACTCGTCTAGTGCATCCTCAACCGCTTGATGGTGTCCAAGACATGGTTCAACGAAGCCGTCAAGATCTTCGCAAGCTGCACCACCTTCGTGTTCCTCAAATTCGACGTGATGATTCAAATCATCATCGGCCTTCCCCCCTACTTCCACAACAACATCACCAAGCTCGAGTGGAGAAGCAACCATTGCTCCGCTTACATTAAGACCAACATGGCCGATATGGAGATGTTCTCGAGGGCGTTGCCAAGATTGAAGTCCATGGGCGTTCACCGCTCCCTGGACCTCCAATACCGCCGTCGGTGGAGCCCAAGTTGGCCCGTTGCCGATGTTCAGGATTTCGAATACGCAGCTCGGCGCCAGAAGTGGTGTCCATTACTTCGCACTCTGAGGGGGTTGAAGGAATTTCACTTTCTTCGCCTGGACTACAGCTTTCGCTTTGGGATCAAAGGTCAGAACGAGGTCGCTTGGGAGGCGTGGATGGCGGCGGAGGTGACGAAGCCAAAGGGAACTTGAGCCCAGCGCTCAGGATTTCCCTCGCAACTTTCACTCTCACCATCCGGGAGCGACAAGCTGACGCCTTTGGAGCCACTTGGCGTCTTCAACTAGCGTGAACACATCGAGAGCTCTTACAGCTCTACGATCTCGGCTTTTCAGCCCTCATGACCGTGACTTTGCATCTTTGTAAGACTTGGTCACTCCAGGTCATAGCAGAACAATGCAGTCTCGTTGTCAACTTTCCATCTCATCTTCACCGTGAAACATGAAGTTGTTTGCGTTCACGTGTAGAGCAAATTTGTACGGCATCGAACCACGCGGCCCACGCTGGAAGTTTCTACCTCCTTGTCATTCGCGCCTTCCGAGGCTTGCGTCTGCCTATCTATATTCCTGAGGCAGGCAGAATGCCCCTTTAGATAAACCAAGGAACTTGACTAGCGCGTTCAAGGGTCTGGGTAGGAGATGGGGAGGTTTCCGCTGATTTGAAAATTTCCGTCTACTCGGCGTGGACATTTAGTTCGTTCGCGACAACTTCTGAACGGAGATACACTACTAATGACTGCGCGAAGTCTTCATGTGTCAAATTTGCGGCGATGTGGCAGATTAATGTAGCAGTGCGATATTCACGCTTTTGGAATGCTCGAAAGAGGTGTTAACTCTATAGGCCTTCAAGTAGTGGGTTTGTTAATGGTAGAAACAAGAGCATCATGAATTCTCTCCGACTCCTCGTCCAAATACAATCCCACCTTGACTCAATTTTCATTGCCGTCATGATCATGCCGGCGCTTATGTAATATCTTGGCACCTGTAGAGGGGAGAAAATGGGGAAAAGGGGGAGTGCCAGATTTTATTTGTTATGGGTTCTCAAACTGGCAATTGTTTGTTTCAATTGAATTTGAGATTGCGTTTAGCTTGAGTTTTCATCGATGCGTTTTTTATAAGGGGGAAGTCGATTGACGTCGCTGTTCTCTGTGAAACGATGTATTTAGGAGTAAAGGAACGTCTAGTTAGTTGGTCGTACTTGGTCATTCTTATACGGACTATTACTGTCGGACTCTTCTAGGCTTGCTATACTAACTCGTGACCTTTGAGCTAGCAGCTATTAAAAACGATATACTGTATTTACAGGCAAGCTAGCTACAGGATGCCGCTGTTCACTCCTCAGCCTGATCTTCAGCTCCTTCCTATACTGTCCAAAATTACATAGCAAGCTTTTCTATCGATGTACTTGTGCGCCTCGGATAGAAGGAACGAAGGCTCGAGGAGTCCCTATAATCCTCCTCCTCGACTTTTCGTTAGCGCAAAGCTTCGCTCCGGCACCGGCCGTCAGCTCCACTTTTAATCTTGAAACACTACCTCCACTACCTCCATCTCTCTTCCATTAACAACATCCAACTTCCGATCCTCGTCGATCAACATTACACCATCCACAACACCAGGTCAAGATGGCCAAACGCCGCCAACTCACCGAGGCATCCAACCCACGCTCGAAGCGCAAGAAGTCCACGGCGAAAGGCTCCGCGCCGACCAACCTTCCTAAAACCTCATCAATCGGCGCGACTACCGCTCATGCAGTCTTACCGGTCTCTCGTGTATCAAACTTCTTCAACAAGTTCCCTGCAGAAATTCGCATTCAGATCTACGAGCTTGCATACCCTGAAGGGCAGCTGCTGAAGATCAAGCCGACGTATCCCGTTCGCGCGCGCAATGTAAGTAAGCCGTACACAGAGGCTCTAGTCATGTTGCTGACTCCGGCCTGAACAGTGTGCTCTCAACCACCTACTGGTCTCAAAACAGTGGTTTAACGAGACGATCGAAATCTTCGCGCGCGCGACCGAGTTCGAGTTCTCCGATTTCCGCGCCATGGAGGAGATTGTGCAGGGTCTTCCTGGATATTTGGCATCAGGCATCAGCCGTGTCTCTGTGCACTCTCTCGACGGCTCACCCGGCCTCAGATGGCCCACTTTCGATTCGGGGCCGTGTGAGCAGCGGATGCGGAAGCTTAGCGAGAGGACTCCTAAGCTCGAGTATCTACGACTTCATCTTCCGCGAGGTTTCTGCTGGCTCGAGGATAATACATCCGAGGATCTGGGAGTCGAACTGGCCTGGTCTTACAGCGAGATTACAGGGATTTGTACTTGGCGCGGGTTGAAGGACTTCAAGGTTGAGATTGGCCCGGGAGGAAATTCAACAGACAGCGCACAACTGGATGCCCTTCAGGTTGAAAAATACGTCAAGTCTCGGGTTTGCCAGTCTAGAGGCGATCAAGACTGATGTCCAGGACTGCGGGCGATTCGGAAGGTCGAACGAGGGGAAGTCATGTTGCGCAGGCGGTATGGTTTGAGGCTAGGTGTAGAACGAAGCAACGGGCTGCATGTATCCGATGGAGCAATGCGGGGAGCTACTTGTGGAAGAGTCTAGTACGGGCTCTGGCACCAGCTGCAAGGAAGGACGAAAGATGAATAATTGGGAGATGCCAAGAACGATACTGAGCATCCAGGCGACCTTAACTTGGCCAGTCGGTTGACTCTCCCGTCTGGACATCATCGTCGACCCCGGCAGTGGATAAGGAGCCAGGTCGCTGGACTTCCACGGGCACCTGGAATGATCAGGGTTTTGATAGGAATAACAATCGGTTCATCGAGCTTGTTTTCTTCGATGTTTCGAGTGCTGACGTAAGGAGTGCTGCCCAGAAGTGATGTTGCTGTTCCAAGTATATTCCCAGTGATGGAAAGGTGGTATCGGAGGTCCAACTATGGCTTAAAGATAGTCGAGTTTGAAGAATAGCTTGGAAAAGACTTGCGCGCGCCGCCGTCTAACTACGTCTTTGTCAACAAGCTAACTGAGAATCTAGGCAAAAGAAACTTTCATGGGTCACTCGCAGCGTCGAGCCTCCATATCGACAAGAAGAGGCCGCGCATAAGCCAACACAGCAGTAAAACTCAACGAGCCGATGGTATTCCAAGAGCAAGGCTTCCAAAGAAGTGGACCAAGCCCTGGATGCACATCCTCGAGTGTTATACATCCACTACGTACGTCCATCAAGTTCAGAGATCACTCCCACTGACGTTCTAATCCGGGTTCCCGTCGGCGGTGTAACCCACTTCAACCCTTTTCGCGCGGGCTCTAGAAATGTAAAGCTCATTCCTCTCAACTTTCATCTCGTCTTCGACTTCCATCTCAACCCTTGCCAAACCGCCATAATGGCCAAGCGCAAATTACATTCAGTCGATGGCACCATTCGACCACATCCCACGACTGGTGGTCGCAGACTGGGACCCAGTACCTCCGAGCCCAACAAGCCGAARCGCGTCAAGGTCAAGAAGAATGCAGTTGTCCTCAACATTCCTGCTCTTCTTCCCACTACCGCCGTCTCAACACCCATGACGTTCGAGAAGTTGCCAAACGAGATCAAGAATATGATCAATGAATYGGTATACGGCAAGGCCAAGGTGATCAAGGTCCTGCCCAAGCGATCGAGATCATTCAATCAAAAGGCGCACGCCGTACGTAATCCACAACAGTCTTTACAACACAACACTAACAAGCTCACCATAGTCCGTTCTCGACCCCATCCTCGTCAACAAGCAATGGTTCCACAATTCCGCCGTCATCTTCATCAGCTCCCTCGAGTTCCAATTCGAATGCTTCAACGACTTCCTGATCGCTTCGCAACGGGGCAGACTTGCACCCTGGATGCGCGAGAGCATCAAGTCGATTGCGTGGCACGAAGCAAAGGACTACTGCGGCATCCCGCCAGACGTCGCGCCGCTCACCACTCTCTACCCCAACCTCCAGAACCTGCGCATCTTCATCCGCGATGAGGCGCTTCGGTGGTGTGACTACAAGCTACCGAATGGTCGCTATACCTGGGCGGACAGATATCTCCTCGACGACGGGATGTTTCAGTACGCTTTTGGTAGGGGTGAGGCGGGTGGTCGCATGCGAGCATTGCGCTCACTGCGCGGGTTGAAATCTTTCAGTTGGGTTAATGAGAACCCGAGTCGGTTGGCGGGCAATGATCGATTCAATCCACTCACTCCTGGACGCACTATTTATGAGTGTAACTGGGCTGCGTGGTCGGAGTGGGTTCGAAAGGAGGTGACGAAGCCTGTGGGAACTTGAGTCACGCATGCTGTGGGCATGGTGAACGCGCGGTCATACCCCACGGGGATGGTCATGGGGGTACCTTCAGGAGATGGAGAGCTAACGTAGCTGGCGATGCTCATCTTGGAGGCACTGGCACCTTCCACTCGTGGGCGTCATGAAAATGAATTTCGATAGACTACAGAAAAGCGGATTTTGCGAATCTTGCGGTCTCCTCACTCGTGCGTGATTGTTGTATGTGCATGTATCGCTGCGTTGTCCCGAGCTTCCTGCGCTTTGCTTCRAGTGACTCAAAGCAAGTATTTTTTTCCCGATCCCAGTTGCATCAAGAATAGCATTACAGTCACGTAAAAGCCTCGAGATATACAACGTTCCAGATCCCGCTCGAAATGGTGGCATGACAGTTGGTGTGGCACTTGCCAGTCTCTGAGTCGATGCGGAATTTCCCGCGAGGCAGGAGCTCCTGAGGAACAGGCATCCCTCCACAGCATGACGACCTCCAACTTTTCTCAACACCTCGACGAACACCACGACATAACCCACACTTGACTCTACAAGATGCGTCGGCGTGTATTTTTCGGATGCGCACTGAGTCCGATGTCTTCGGCCAAAGTCAACAATCCTCCAGTTTGCTACTTCTGGAAGCTGCCTCTGGAACTGAGATTCGCAGTCTACGACTTCGCCTACGGTCGGAACAAGACAATCATACCGCGAGATTGCGGTATGCTGGTAGAATTAAATTAGGTCGAGGCAAAGTCCAGGAGCAAATCAGTGATGTAAACGAGCGCAAAGTAACCATCCTCCGTTTTTTCCTAGCGGACACGTGCTAACATTGACAGAAACGCAAGACCGTGGTCGGCAAACGCCTCGTCAGCAAGCAATTTCTCGCCGWGACAATGCAGCATCTAGCCGAGACCAACACATTCTGTGTCAAATGGGCGCACGGCGAGCTGGATCTAGTCTCCTCGGACTTTGCGCAGCATATCCGGTCTCTGAAGATCCAATGGAATGCCTACGACAGCGACAGTCACGCGAACATGGACCTCRTCAAAAGCTGTCCGAGATTGAGAGCACTTCGGGTCGTCATCCGGACCAGCACGCTGTTCTACAGTGAGTCCCACTCTGCGGATCGCTGGGAGGATATGGTGGGCCAGGATCTCAAGCACACGTCGATTGTAAGATCCTTGTCTCTGGTGCGCGGTATCGAGGATTTCTCCTTGGTCTACGAAGAACCACAAAAGCCGCCCTTGCACCAGGCCATCGACATCTCCGTATACGTTTCTTCGTGGCTTATGGCTAAGACGGATGCAAAAGCCAAGCGGCTCCGAGCAAGTTTGGAGGAGACCTTGCGCGAAACAGTGACAGGGCCGAAGCAGCTGATTGTGCGGAAGCCAGTCGGGCAGGAAGGCGATGCTTTAAATGCACGCTCCAGATTCCCTGGGGAAGCCAAGRAGGGTGTGAAGTATGGGTTTTAGGCGTTTGTGGCAACGGAGACGGAGTTGATGGCTGTCGCACAGGTGGAATGGCTGTAACAACGCTAGCTTATCATGATGAAGTCAAGCACATCTGATAGGCAGGTCGGGTCCTCTCGTCTCGTCTCTGCAGGGCAAATTGTGCATGGGTATCAAAATTCAAATCGTCACACGTCCGCTCCACCTCAAAACTCCATCTCCTCCACTTGCATCCCACACTCAATACACTTCCTCCTCGTCATCCCCGTCTCAGGATCCTCCACCGAACGTCCCCACTCATGCTCATGCTTTCCCTTCCCAATCGTATCACCAAACTCTCCTCCACCTCCACCTCTCGCCCGCTTATAAGCATCCACCCTCGTCCTCTTCTTCAACTCATTCAACTTATTCTTAAACTTCTTCTCCTTCCGCYCCTTGGCCTCCATCTTCCTCCTCTCAAACTCCACATCCAACGCCTCTGCACTCCCCCACTTCTGCTCCGAAAACGCATACTCTTCCACCTGATACCTCAAATACAACATCATAGGCGCAAAAGAAGCTTTATGCGGATTCGGCTTCTCCAAATGCGGCAGCAATTCCGTATCCTTCAACTCCGGATCCGTGAGGAGATAATCCTCCCTAGCCTCAGATTTCGTCAAAAGAGAATACTTATCCGGAAATTTATCCTTGCAAGAATGACAAATCTGACAATGTAACATCTCATCCCAAGCCCAATCGATCTCCAACGTTTTGCACTCCCTACACTTCTTCGCGGTAGCCTGATCAAAAACTGAGAGTCCCGGCTCATAAGGTCCCGCTCGCTGCTTCTGTAATTTCCTCTGTAGTTGAATGTATTCCCATTCTTTCAGACTCATATTCGGCGGCTTGCCATCTTCCCCTGCGTGTAAAGCGCGATTATGTGGATCATCTTCCTGCGTCATGAATCCACCTTTTGTATCGCTCATTTTACTGAAGTCGTACTCGACGAACTTTTGGAATTTGCGAGCCGCGCGGATGTCCGTATCTGCAGATTGGGCGAGGCCATTATTGCTGCTGGGAGATTTGATGCGGGCATCTCTGCTTGTGGCGGGGATGTCTTTTGTGTTTATTGCGGCGTGGGCTCGTTTTTGACCTGCGAGTTGACCTCCTGAGGATTGAAGGGTTGATGATGCTGCTGCTGCTCGTGAAGTGGTGGCGGCTGCTGCTTCTTGTTGGGTTCGGAGGGCTTTGGCTCGTAGGCGGGATTCTTCCATGCGGCGGACTTGTTCGGGCGTGATGGGGTTGCGGACTGGGGCCGCGGCTTTTGGTGTGGTGGGTCGGTTTGTGTCCGCCATCGTGTATGGTTGTGCATGAAGGGATCCCTTAGAGGACGTGGTTGTTGGGGAAGGAAAGATTATGTGCTGTGGCGAACAAAGGATGACGTGAAGTTGGTGAGGTATCGCTTGTAGCCGTTATCGATTAGGGCTCATGTATCGACGACAAATTTGATGGCTGCCAATCAAATATTGAAGATCCTAGCGTGTGAGGTAGGTATATAGGTAAGGTGCCTCTTCACTTCGCCTCACATTCCAATGAAAACTCACTTTGCCATCATTTGATGTCTATATGGCCATCCACATCTCGTTACAGTTGCGGCCAGGAGATCACTTTGCCCGAAGATACGCTGGTGATCGCTCGGGTGAGCTCGGTACGTGCGAGAGCAATACCAGGAATGATGCCACAGGACTTTATTGCTGCGAGAGCTGCATTCTTCCTTTGGCCACCATACACAGAATACCATGATCAGACGGGTCATCGATCTCATGACAAATACTACCGAGCATGAATCCTCGGTTCAGACATCTTCGCAAAACCCACAAGCTCCAGCTTCCCTGATTCTATATGATACGCTGGATATCAAGCACGACGTCCCTATATTTTAGAGACTGCCAAAGTCTCGCCGACATACGTCAGACATTTTCACGAAGGACGGTCTATTCTGTCCAACACCCAAGACTTCGTGCACTACCCCAACCTCAACCCCCAACCCTAGCGTCGTGCCAGCCCCTTCGAAGAAGAACTTGTCTTTTGTAGCGAGCCATTCGACGACGCATCTTTTCGTCGAAAGACTTCAACTTTGTGCAGCCTCCAGACGGTTATATTCCTGCTAGCTTTTATATTGGTGAAGCTCAATTGTCGATTCTGACAGTCAGTCTGACAAAAGGGGCTCCAGGAGCCAAGTGTCCACTGCACTGGAGTGTCTACAGCTATACCTTTGAACGGCGATCGATACAAAACACCAGAAGATCTGTTGAACGTCCCAATGGTAGATTTCTGGTTTGAACTTAGTCATCGTGGAAGTGCTGTGGTGCTTGGTTGTGGTGGCTGGAGATGGACATTGTTTTTCTTGGTCTGGAAACGATGCCCACGGTGAATCCATGCTCCAGTATGTAGAAACGACCAATATGCCGGATAACATAATGATGCAGGCATCGATTTTTCGACCAAGCACGCTATGAGGTCGCTCTTGCTGATGTCCTTCCGTATCTTGCTCAGCTCGGATGTTCACAGAAGCGACATAAAAGAATGGACCTGCTTACAAGAATGTCAACAAACCTATTCCAGAAGTCTCTCCAGCCAATGCGACGGAGCCCTACATTCTTACATGTTCACATCCATCCATACCCACAAATCCCCCATCCCGCAACCAACCATCACAACCCCCCAGCACAGGCACCCCATCTTACAAAGCCCTCCCCCTAACCCCCTCCCCTCTCCACAAAAGGTTCCCAAATCCTCCCCCCCAAAGACCTCTCCTCAGGAACAACAAACCACCTCCCAGCAACAACCCCTCCCCCAACCTCCTCCACGGAACACCTCTTAGAAATCATAGCAACCTCCCCACTCCAATGATCAACCACAAACCCCTGCGCCTCCCCATCAAAAACCACCCTCTTACAATCCTCCTGATCCTCCTCAACCCACTCCCGAATCCCCTCAACAACAAACCACCCCACCAATTTCCTCCACTTCCTCGAATCCTGACCCCATTGATCCGCATACATTTCCGGACAAACAACAATCACATCCCTACCTTTCTTAAGACTGGCGGCAGAGCCACAAAATCGTTTCAACAGTTCAACGATTAATTGTTGTAATTTCTCGCCTTCGGAGAATTGTGGCACGTGTGAGAAATTTGAACCGAGGGTGAGAATGTAGGGGTTGATGTGTGCGCAGAAACAACTGTTGTCTTCAAAGGCAAAGTATACTCCGACGCATGTCTGGCAGTCGTAGGTTCCGATGTGGGAGGGTTCGTGGGAGGGGAATGTGTATTTTCCTCCGCGGGATTCGGCGAGCCAGTGGTAATGGGTGAGGATTGCCATTTTGAATTTTTGTTTTCAACGAGTTGGTGATTTTTCGATGCTGTTGCTTTGTTATTTTTGTTGTTCGCGTTGAGGGAGGAGTTGTGAGGGAGAGGCTGGCAAGTAGTGATGATGATGGATAGATATCAGCTTCGCTTTGTTCGAGAAGAGACAGCGACATGTCTGGATCTTTCGTCGTTTCCTGGTCGTTTCTTGATTCACTTCTCAACTCTTGTCTTGAGGTGTCTTTTTTTTTCTCCCGTCAGATGAGGAGTCGATTACGAAGTGATAATAATGTGTTGGCATCGATCACATGTGGTTACAACACATCAGATCACGAGTCATGCTTGCATATGCATGCACATGCGCCTAGTCAGCCGAGCTGAGCTCCTGCAGTCGTGACGACAAGCGAGATTGAAGCTTTCATCCACGTTCTTACGTTGGAGCTTAGCTGAGGATGAACCAATACTGTTTTCAGTCGTAGCTGAATGTCACTTGGATGTCGTTGATAGCTTAAGCAATTCACTGGTTACTTTCTACAAAGCATGTATTGAGCCACCAAGGTATTTTGCAGATCTGTGAGTGATGTAGCACCTCAAACGCCACACCACATGAATAGACTAGAGTACTTTACCTAGAGCAAAGGAGCCGGAAAATCAAAGATCCGAGCCAATACCGTGTATGAAAAGCACCAGACTCCCAAAGGGAAATAATACTTCAACTTGAAGTCCGGACTCGCTAGCGAGACATCGAAGGTGAGCGCTTTTGTACAAGCGAATGCGATAGAGCGTGATGGAACAGGCACTGACAAAGCAATCAAAGGTTAGATGATTGATACTCAGGCCGCTCATGTAAAGACGAAGAAGACTGCGACCGAAGAATTTGTTTTGGGAGTTGGTAAGACATTCGAAAAAGGAGCACGAAGCACAAGTACATTGGAAAGAATATAAAGCGAGTTAGATGGCAATGATGCGCAATTAGAGTTGTGAAAGTACATTTTGAGTGTGTTCATCTAGATTTTATCAAAAGTCATATGTTGAACAGCTTGTGAGGAATGAGAAAGAAAAGAGGAATCAAAACTTACCGCCTCACCCCCTTCCCAAACTGAAACCACCTCCCCATAGTCTCCACATCGTCCCTGGGCGGCGCAACCATACCCCTAGCATACTCGACATAATTCCTCTTATGCTCCTCACAACTAGGAATCCAATCGAAATCCGCCGCATAAAGCGGCAAGACCTGAGTGGGAGGAACGATATATTCCTGCCCACCATTGGCAACGTGACTGTGAGCACCGGGGTAAAGATGATCTTTATTCCGGTAATTGTCGGGGAGAGTGATGAGAGCTGCACGACCGAGAACCGTGGCACAGATGATCATGCGTTTGCGGTTGACTCCTGGGAGACGCTCGATGGCGTTGATGGWGGTGAGAGAGGCGCGGTCCCATTCGGCGTAGGTGAGAGCTAGGTTGGCTTCTTCCGTTACGTAGACGCCGGGTCCGAAAGTGGATCCTACACGTCCTGGGATACGTTCGCCGGTGAGAGGGTTGATGTCGCCTGCTGCTAAAAGACCGACTTGTGCGATGCTTCCGACGTTCTCGGCTTTGGGGCCGTGAAAGGTGTATTGAGGTTCGAGAAGGTAGTCGGTCATCTGAGCTCGGCTTTTGGAGCGGGCTGCTTCAGGGACGCTGTCGATGAACTCGGAGGTGGGGAGTTTGTTGAGTTCGTCTCGCATTTCCTTGATACGGGTGATGAAGCGGGATTCCAGCTGCAAGTCGAGGATGGACTCTGCGCGGAGGAAGTGCCAACCGAAGCGAGCGACGTTGGCATAGTTGCAGATGTCCCGAGGGTGGCGTCGAAGCATATCCGAGAGGTGGGTAGAGTGTGGGGGGGCTAGGTTTTCCTTGATGCGTTGTGCGAGCTTTGCCTTGGCCACTGTGTACATTGAGTTGATGTAGCAGCCCACCAGCTCCAAGACCTCGACGGCTTGCATTACTGGATCAGTTTCGACACCAGCGACAGCCTGGGAACGTACTGCACCATCTCCGTTTGGAGGATGCAGATGATGCTCGAGAAAAATGCCGTCAGCAGGGATGACAATGTRCAGGATACCCGCTGGGAGTTGAAAGTCAAGCCTACCGCTCACCAAACTTCCACGGTACCAAGTGACTTCTCTGGGAAGGAGATTTTCGATGATCTGCTCGGCTTTCTCTTCAGGGCTTCCTCGACCTGCGGGGTGGCTGCGTGCGATTTCGCGAGATGTTAAAGACAGTGTGCTTGCGCTTGCGTTGCTTGGAGGGGACTTGCCTTCAAGTTCCATTTGTTCGCGATCGAGTCTGCGAATGTCTTTTCGGATGCCAGCATCCGGTACAAGTCCAAAATATTTGACGCGAACCATGTTTGTGTTGGGGGTGTGATTGAGAGAATGTGGTGAAGGGAGAATTCATGTTTAGTAGTCTGCGGGGTGAGGGATCGCCTTGTTGTTGTCACAATAGAGTTGATGGGAAACACAATAGCTTTGTGAAAGCCTCATACGGGGACATGAAAAGCGAACAGCGTTGACGCCTTGTTGTGGTAAGTCGAACAAACAAATAGCGAATGCTCAAAGCTCTTTGAAGTTGTCGTGCATTCTTTGATGTTGCCGATTCGCCATTGTGACAACAAAGCGCACAGAATTGGTTGGATTGGAGAAAGCTGTAACTTACCTGGTGGCTCCGACTTGTTCTTGACTCGGTAGAAAACATCGACTGGTATTGATTGATGCAGTGTTGTTGTGTGACAAAGCGCTGTTGATCTCGACGGTGCTCGATGGCTGAGATGAATGTCTCCCACCATACTCAGATGAGCTCATCTGCGGTCACAAGCCCATCAATGCAGCCACTCTCTCCTGGGACCAGTTCTGAGTCTTCTCTTCTACATCGAAGGACATCTCTTTCTCCCAGTATTCCTCTAGCGATCTCAAAGACCAAGTGCCTCACTCTCGCTATCCCTCACTGCATCTCCACCCCTCCATCCCACCCTACCCAGTCCACACACTCCCCTTAACAGCAACCCCACCCTCCGGAGTCTCGGCCCAAATCTCCCACTTTCCCTCCCCAGTCTTCTTTCCATTAAACTTGACCTTTYCATGACAATACAACGGCGCGACATTCCTATACTCCACCTTCTTAACCACCTCATTCCCTACCTTCTTCAGTTCTCCCTGCAACAACTCCACCAAAAACACAAAGCTCATCGGCCCATGGAACAAGAGATTCCGATGTCCTTCAATGGTGCGCGAGTATTCCGGATCCAGATGTATAGAATGCGCATTGAAAGTCAACGCACTGAATCGGAAAAGAAGTTTGGGGTCGGGGAGGATAGTATGCGTCCAATCCGGCTCATGTTGAGGTTTCAAAATCTTGCCAGGAGCCTTGTTCGCATCAATTTGTGCTTGTTCCGGCGTTCTGGCCCTCATAAAGACGATATTCCTCGTCTCCAAAATCGAACACTCGCCGAAATCCTCCTCGGAATCCCTCCACAATCTCTGCCGAACCAGATGATCCAATTCAGCCCTCTCCGCGCTCCCCTCGGCAACTTTACTCGCAAAAGCATTTTCCGCATCACTGCTTTTCGCCAAACGGCGTTCAATAGCGACGAATAACTTCTCCTCGCCTTCTTTACCTTTGATCGTGACCCCGCGAATAAACTCCGCACAGACTCCCCGCGTTCCATCCAATCTCAACGGATTGTCATGATTGTATAATAATCTTCCACCAGCCCACATCCTCCGCACAAAAGGTTCGCCGGGAGATTGATCGGGGTTCGTGCCATCAGGTAGCATTTCCGAGGCGCGTTTGCTCGGTTCGAAGTAGACGAGATGATGCGGGATGGGTAGTTCTTTGGCGAGACTTGCTGGGGGCAGGACTGCGGGTGGGGAAGAAGAGGGGAGATAATCGGCGAGAGTGGTGGAGAGGCGGAAGGAAGTCTGAGGGGAGAGATCTTCAAACGTTGGTTGGATTAGGCGTTTGGGGAGGGATTCTTGGAGGTGGGCGTAGGTCGAGTTGAAGCGGCATGTTGGGCGTTGGTAGCTTCGAGCTTGGAGAAGACTGCGTTTCAACCATTGGGTTGGGAGAGAGGTCGCCATGGATGTGGCTGGTGTTGGTGGGAGAGGATGGAGTGAGGCATTGGGAGCAACGTGGGTGAAGATGTCGCTGTACCTTAGCTTGGGGTGGGACGTGAGGAGCTGCTTCACCTCGGGAATGTTTCAAGCTTTCGGGGTCTAAGATTTTCCGTCTCCTTATTCCCGGTGACAAATCACATGTCATGACATGTTCAATCAAGACAGTAGATATGATCTGTCACTCAAAAACAGTGTTCAACAGCAAGAACTCATGCATACTTCTAAGAGAACGTAGCTACTTTCCCCTCCTCGACTCGGTCCTTTCTCCAAAAGAGTGAATGCCCTTGGCCTATCAAATCCATTGTCCTCTACCCGCTGACTTGCTCCATGCACAATAATAGGACGTGATGATGTTTTGCATGCAGATCATCCTGCGCAGAAATCGTCTCCACATTCTGATCTCAGCCGACAAGCTCGTGAACCGGCGTCTCGACATATTTCTTGTCTGGCATTCAAACCGCGATTCCGGCAGTCAGCGGCGAAGAGACCTGTAACGCCCTGTCAGTCATGACCTTGCGGTGCTTTTTCACTAATGCATACCTTTGGTCTGTGGCTCATGATCTTCATCGCTGGCATGGTCAATCCGGACGGGCCGGTTGCTTCCTTCTCGGGACCATCTTCGTCCTTCCCCTCAACCGCAGCTTTCGGCATTTCTGTCTCCTGGACTGCTGAGACAGTAGCAGTTGCAGTCGCATTCTTGGCGGACTGCTGAGGAAGCGCCTTCAGACCACTCGAAGCTGTTTGGTCTGGTCGTGGCGCCTCGCTCTTTGCGAGGTCATTTATTTGTCAATCTGCGTAGTCGTCAGTCTCACGTTCCGCCCTCCTGGACTTCCTCCAAACTCACCATCGTAAAACTCATCCTCGTCATCATCAACGTTAAGCTGCTCAAAGTTGAGAGCGTAGCGCAAAATCGCGCCAATACCACCAAAGCCGCGGACGAACTGGTTGCCCTCGGAAGAACGATCCGAGACAAACTCCAAAGTCGCGCCAAAGTCCTTGAACTTCTCGGCCAGCCATTCCAAAAAGGGCATCTGGTCGATGACTTCCATTTCCTGGCCAGTCTCCTTGTCCATGAAAAGACTTCGGTCCTGCTCTTGCTGCTTGGTGGTGTGCAAGATGACCTCGGTGCCCTCGCTGCTCTTCAGCTGCCAGCGGGTCATCTCCAAGTTCTCAAACACGATCAACGTCTCGGCAGCACCGGCTTCCATGGCCTTCAAGGTATCGTTAATACCATAGCAGACCTTTCCACTGTCTTGGCTGATTTCGTCAAAGTATTTGTTGATGAGCTTCTTCTCTTGGATGAACTTGACATTGGAGAGGGTCTCGGCGGACAACTCAATGGCCTGGTTGAATCCGTTCTCCCCACCATAAGACACATCCACAACCTTGATGACCTTGGTCTGCAGACGATTGTCAAACAGATCGGACTGGTTGAGGTCGTTCTTGAAATCGGCGGAACCGGCCAAGATGATACCGTTGACGTTGACCTTGTCGGCGGTGATGAAGACCTGCACGGCCATTTCGGCGACTTTGCGTACGTAGTTGTGACGCTTCTCCTCACGCAGACGGGCAAAACGGAGAGCAGACTGACCACCACGACCGTGCTTCTTCGGGAGATCAACGCCAAACTTGTGGACAATATCCCTCGTGTTGCCGGAGAGTGTGCCGAAGAGGGCACCGTTRCCATCCATGATGATGAAGCCAAACTTCTGGTCCGATTCCAGCAGCTCGCTCAGCGCTTCAGTGTGGAATTTGTTGTCGCACATGTAGAGCGAGGTGTTGATGGGTTTGAAGGGCTCAAAATCGATGTTGATCTTGCGCTCTTTTCCTTCGCTGGTGATGATTTCACCACAGTATACGACCAGTCCATTTGGTGGCACCTTGGAGTACAGCTTGAGACGCTGCTGTGTGGATGTAATGGCCGACAAGACCGAGAGTCTGTTGACTCGGGATTTGATGTTGCTGGCCGTTCCAAACTCTTCCGCCAACATCTTGGCCGCTCGTGAGACTTGATCCTTGGGTGGGATGATCAAGCTGATCATGGATGTGCCATTTCCACGTGCCGCTTCCATGCGCTTGATCAGCTTCTTGACCTTCCAGATCTCAATGTTCTTCTCCGCCTCGGTGCCCGGTGGTGCCGACATGATTGTGTGTGGTGGAGCGCGTCACGCTCGCTGGACGGGAGTATTTCAGTCAGCGGGGTGTTCCTGTCGCCAGTTGCGGTGAAAAGGTAGGTGGTAGTAGCGGTGAGATGTGTGGGTATGGAAGAGAGGGAGGGGAATGTCAAGAGTAAGGTGGCATGCAAAATTTGGGGTGGGTTGCCGCAGGAATTACGTAGCCGCCGCCTCCACAAGTGGTGGTCGAGTGCGGGAAGTGAAGTGAGGGAAGCGGGCAAGAATCTCACCCGCTCGCTCTCACCGGGGCTGACTCACCTGGAGGGTATGATAGGTGTCTGAGCTGCACAGTCCGACTGAGGTTCTCCGGGTCTGTGGATGTTATGTTGGGCGTGAGTGAGACGGGCGCAAAACAATTCTCCCTGAAATGTCGATGGATTGACCGGGCCTACAGAGAAGATCGGGAGAGTCGCAGGAGCCAAGGCCGGAGTCATTCAATCGGCCATCAATATTTGATTCAGCCCGCGGTATCTGTAATACCCGTGCACGGGTAATCGCATCTCCCGAAGGGCAGCTTCAGTCTACCTTCCCTTTGCTTGTCGCTACCTACACACAGACATCGATGGGTCGGAGAAACCAACATATACTCAGTCATGCCGACCTACATTGCTCAAACATACACTACCCGGATCGAAATAGCCCAGCAGCTTCACATTGGCCATGCCAGACATATATGGACCTTCACGATGCGCGAWTGCTTCACCCGACGAGAACCATGATTCTCCGCGCGGTCAACCCTTCGTGGCTTCATCCTCTGCTCCGCTCTCCTCCAAGAGAGTAGATACTGCAATGGCAGACATTGTGGATTAGCCGAGCCACTGACCAATGATGGGCTGCATGGTGGCACACTGAGATGGAGTCTTGACCTCGCCTTCAGCCTTACCTTGGCAGGCGCGTCCTCCTCCGCTCGCATCTCTTCCGCCTTCCTCGATTCGCATTTTTCCCCTTTCTCATCATCACATCTCTTCTTGTCCCACTTACAGGCCAGAAGGCGCCATCTTCAGGGTCGTTGAGTCATGGCGGAGTCGCTGTCCTCCTGGCACAACATACGAAGCAGCGGGCATGCGCAGGTACAGAACGGTCACATCTATGGCGATGTGCATAACACCTTCTACGATAGTTACAAGTCACTGGCTGGTGAGTATGCCTTTTGGTAAAACCTGTGGTATTGACTTGCTGAGGACGTAGAGCGACTTCTGGACAGTCTGAGCTTTTCTGGAATGTACCGCTACCAAGAAAGGCCACTCGAGAGCCGCAAGGGAACATATGAGTGGTTGTTTGACGATCGCCGAGTCGTTACACATTCATGTGAGCACTGCGCTCACGTCAAACACGGCACAGAGTGTCGCGAGTGTTGGAGAGAGCTGCCGACGCTGTGCTACAAGGCCGTCCACCACGCCAAATTCCTTGTCACAGAGGCTAGTAAGTTTCGCTCTTGGCTTGGAAACTCTCAGGACATCTTTTGGATCAGTGGCAAAGCTGGGGCCGGAAAGAGCTGCCTGATGAAGTTTCTGCTTGAACACGATTCCACAGCAGACCTGCTTCGTGAATGGGCGGGTCAGCCAGTGACTGTCGCGGGTTTCTTTTTCTGGGCTGCTGGCGGTGACCTAGAAAAATCCTACATCGGGCTTTTACGCAGTTTACTGTATCAAATCCTGGAATCTTTACCTCGGGTTCTCGGCAACTTCGTCCTTGGGAAGACCGTATCGGACATTGAGCAGCCATGGAGTATCAAACGACTGAACAAGGTTTTCAGTGAAGTCGTGGGGCATCTCGCTACCTGTGAGAGATTCATTTTCTTTATCGACGGGCTCGACGAATTCAAGGGCGACATCATGGACCTGACGGCCGCCTTAAATACATTGAACGGGTCACCCAACATCAAGCTCTGTGTTTCCAGTCGCCCATGGAACGTCTTCGAAAAGGCGTATGGCTCGAGACCATGMAAGCAGCATCTGCGACTCCACGAGATCAATGGGCCGGACATTGACGCCTACGTTAGAGGACGACTGATCGAGGACCTTGGCACGGATGAGAGCTCAGAAATAGTATCAAGTCCCCAACACTATCAACTTGTTACCGCAATCAGAAACAGATCGGAGGGCGTCTTTCTCTGGGTATACCTGGTTGTCAAACGTCTTCGCGAAGCATTCTCAGACTCCTGGAACGCCCCCGACATGCTGGCGTTGCTGGACGAAACACCGGCGGAGCTTGCAGACCTGATACAAGCCATCTTCAATAGCATCCACCCTATTCAGCGTCAAGCCGCCGCTCGCACATTTTTAATGATGCTAGAATGTGAGGATGCTAGGTACTGCTATCCTCATCTCCTGTGGCTGTCACACTCCGACCGTAGCCGGATTGGAGTCGTCCGAACCGGCAACTTGCCACCGTCATACGTTGATTTACACGAGATGGTTGATGATGCTGACAGGTCAATTCGAAAGTCCTGCAAGGACCTTGTAGACATTGTTCGCGGGCGCGGTCAACTTGTAGGCCCGTCCATTCCCGGCGATTCGACCGATTCCGTCGACGTTGTTGATGGTCCAGACTATGTCAACTTTCCGCACCGCACAATTAGAGACTTCATTGCGAAGCAGAAAGCCGACGGGATCTTGCAACGACTTGCGGGCGAGGATTTCTGTCCTGCTTTCGCCCTATGCTCATCCGTCACGCGAGTTGCAACATTTCTACGAACACCGGGAGCCCTCCTGGAAAAGTCATTGACTCTGACCATACTGCTCAGCTCAGAAATTCGTGCTAACAAGGAGGCACTGCTTGTAGATATGGCCAACAGTCTCATGGAATCAGGAGGGCTATATGTTCAATGCACTCTAACAAACGGTCACTTCCTCAAAAGTTTGGGATATGCAAATGCTGAAGACGTCCCAGATTTGTCGGACGAAACGGCCAAGTTTGCAATTTTCATGGCTTTCATTCTCTACAGGGGTGGCTTCAGACTCTTTCTGCTCATGTTCGCTTCGACATGTCAGCACCACAACTTGCAGTCGGTGCAACTTTGGCTAGGTGTGCTTCTGTCTCGACGTAACCAGCCTGATGATGTGGTCTTCGCGGCTCAACTGGTCGAAGCTTTGCCGAGGCTGCTTCAGCACGGTGCTGATCTGAACGAGCCAATCCGCAGGCAGGCTGGGACTTGCTCAGTTTGGCAGCAGTACTTGTATGACCTCCACGCCCTTTCCCACGTCTATCTCATCGGGATCAGGCCCAATGTGGTTTCAATACTACTCCATTATGGTGCGGATCCAGACGTTGATATCAATTCCGAAAAGCTGTACCGATTTTTGGAACTCGATGAGAGAACCAACCTTATTCCACAAAACATTCAGGAGCTTGATGCTTCTTCTGGGACAGATCTATCACCATCGATGCTTGGCACCCATGGATCTTCGGAATCAGACGGTAACAAAGTTGAGTCACGGCACGCCGGACGTCGCTGGGTGCCAGCGACGGCAGCGTTTGGAGTTCCTAGTCACAACGCCAAGTACCTTGCGTTGGAGCTCAAGTATCGCCCGGCAGTCGAAGAGTTCTTCCCGATAATCAAAGCGCAGTTGGTCGCTGCATCGGAAGAGAAGGCTCGAAAGCAGCGAATCAAAAACGGAGAAGCRACAGATGCAACAACCCGGAAGTGGTGGTGGTGGTAGCAGTCCCGAAGCGGAACCTGGCGAACAGCGCTCAAGCCGGAGTCGGAGAATGGCAATCGGCGCGATTTGTGATTGAGAGTCCTGTGGAATATGTGTCGACTGCGTGTCCGGTGTATATGTCCGACTTTCATGGAGGTTTGAGCTTTCCGCAAGTGTATACTTCGATTCCGCATGTCGAAGACGTGGTGGAACAGAGACAAATTTGTGGCAGATTTTGGTCGGACTTTAACAGCTCGACTCCGGGTGCCCTGTACCTCGCCAACTGGTTTGAAACTATTCACTTTTGGGCGTCCACCAGATAGGAAGTCCTGCTTTTGCCCTCTGCTCATCCATCACACGAGTGGGAACATTTCTACAGAATTGCCAGGCCAGCAAATGAAACTTCCGCTCACCCACCTTGCCTCCTTCCGTTCACATAACAAAAATGAACGGATTACACATTCAATGTTTGGGGTTATCCCCAATTGTTACCGACTTGATCGAACGATTATATGCTTCAATAGATACGCTCTACGCCCGAGCAGCTCAGTTGTCAATACCGCCTTCAAAAAGCCCAAATTACCGATGTTACAATTCAAGACCACCAAATAGCCGTTCGAAAGCCCTTTACATGTGTACAAACACTCCTGGACGAATCGCAGGGTTTCCAACTTCCCGCAACAGATTCCTTCAACTCAATTTCTGCAGAACCTCTTCCAGATCTCTGAAGTAACCAATCCTTCGGGGAGAGTTCGATTGCATCGCGCTCCTATACTCGACTGCGCCTGAAAGTGCAAATTTTGCCATGCCCTTGCTCTTGATACGCATCACAGTAGCAATACCTTGCACGAAGCGAGAGACCTCTTGCTCAATAATACAAGGCCTAGGACCTTCTGCATGTCCCCATATAACATGCAATGCATCTGGTATGTTGATGTCGAAGACGAATTTCTGGGGATTGCTGAGATCGAAAGGGAACGAGGAGCAAGCGGATCGCCAGCTTTTGAATAGAGGACTGAGGTCTAAGATTTCTTGGCTCGCGCCTTGTAACTCATCCGTTTGATCTGAAGCTTTGAAATAGCTAAGGCGGCTTCTGCTGTTCTCGCGGCAGGTCGCTAATGTAGTAGCGGAGCAGAGAGGCGTTAAAAGCTCGAGGCGGATCTCTGACGGTCTAGAGGAAGAATTCTCGTATTTCTTCGTTGCCAAATGGAGCAGATCAGAGGGGTTGCTGATATTGCAGGACTGTGCGGTGGAACTCATTGTGAGAAATCCTTTTTTTTCTTTTTTATGGTCTTTTCACGAGGGTCTGGCTTCTGTCCCGTTGGGACATCGTCTTCGACAGCTTGACTGTTGGAATCGAGATTCTCGGTAAATTTATCATTAATCTTCACGGAGTCGTCTGATATCGTTTTGGCGACAGAGAAGGTAARGCGAAGCGCGGTCCGACGCCTTCCACTTGCGAGATGTTGGGAAACGCAACGAGAAGTGGCTCACTAGGTATGTGGTATCGCCAATGTTAAGCTGATAGGGATTGAAACTCGAACAGCTATTGATGGCAAAGATTTGATATACCGTGGAAATGAAACATGGGCCTAGATTGATGAGTTGATATGTGCGTCGAGTCCAAGTTCAAGTCACTCGAACCCGTAAGTGTCCAAGTCCAAACTCGGACAACTCGGGCCGAGAGCCAAGACATTTCCCCAGCGTATTGAACATCGACTGCATCTCATGGCAGAGGGCATAACATCATGATACTTGGTGATATTTCATCTTGCAATCCGATGAAAGTCAAGTCATGTGCCTCAAGCATCACTTCATTCAGCTTCAAGGAGATTGAAAGCTGGTGGCGGTGGATATTGGCGCCTGAACTTCTTGCCCGCGGCTTCCTGCTTGGTAGTCCTGGCGCCTCTTCCCGGCGACATGCCTCTTGTTGGACGGCCAGAGAAGGGGGACAGAGCTGACAGCTACGTCGTATACATATCAGGCTCGAGGTGAGGTAAGTTGGAAAGGGTGGGACATATTACTGAGGGATCTTTTGCTGACCTTTGCTCCAACCAGGTGGCCATGATCACGACTTGATAGGTCTGTCCCAGATCAGACGAAGCAAGTCGGCGCATCTTTTTACACCTTACGGTATCTTCCTTTCACCTCTATTCTTGCTCAATCTTCTCACATTGGCATTCGAAGCCTTTCTCTTCCTACCTTATCTCAGGCCTCTTCCATTCTTTGCCGCTATGGCTTCACAGGCTTCGGGGGCCATTCTACACTGACCCAAACAACGAAACACTTTCCCAACATGGCAGCGCCCATTACTACTACATATTCCACCCCACAGTACTACTGACAATTCACAGACATTCCCGTAAGCCCAATGCCGCCATTGGTGCGACATGGCATACCAATTGGCCCTTCAGGTGCACGGTCCCAGGCGATTGTTGTTCCCCACTAAACCCATTCTAGACTCCTGGTCAGAACAAGCCCCCAAGGGCCCGCTTTGCCTTTTAGCTGCCGAAACGCGAACTTCCCTCCAGCACAACATCACGACTCGACAATCCGGAATTTCGCGCAAAACCATCAACGCCATCACCAAAATATMTCTCGACCGCAACTGTTACCACCGCGACACACACTCCCACCCAACCCACCACACAAAACACTTATCCGCAATGGCTGGCGGTAAGGGTACGCTTTGCGACCGCGACGCATCTGGGATATGACTGTGATCTGACGGGTGTGATGAATGACAGGAAAGACCGGAGGCAAGACGGGCGGCAAGGCCGGCGACAATACCGGCAAGAGTCAGAAGTCTCACTCGGCGAAGGCGGGTCTGCAGGTATGAATGTTCAGACGGGAATGAGTCGCGAAACTGGCAGCAAACTTGCGGCGGGAATGGGAATGGACGCGTCGCACGCAGAAATCTGCCCACCACCACTTGCACCCCATGCTTCACGTCCACCCCATGCCGTCCCAACGCGTCACCGCTTCCCTCAACGCGCCTCAACCAAACCTTTTCAATACTGACCCGACCATGACAGTTCCCCTGCGGTCGTGTCAAGCGCTTCCTCAAATCCCAAACCCAGAACAAGATGCGTGTAGGCGCCAAAGCCGCCGTCTACGTCACCGCCGTGCTCGAATACCTCACCGCCGAAGTCCTCGAACTGGCAGGCAACGCCGCCAAAGACTTGAAGGTCAAGCGTATTACCCCTCGTCACTTGCAGCTGGCAATTCGTGGAGATGAGGAACTGGACACGTTGATCAAGGCGACCATCGCCTTTGGTGGTGTGCTTCCACATATCAACCGTGCGCTGTTGTTGAAGGTGGAGCAGAAGAAGGGCAAGAAGATTGAGGCATAGGGTGGTGTGTGTGTGTGTGTGGATGGAGAAATACCCGGGAGAAGAAGACGATGTGCTGGAGCAGTGAGTTGGGATGGAGTTTACCCCGACTGGACATCTGCACTTCTGGCTTGGCTGGAGTTGAACGAACGGGACGGTCTGGCGTTGGTGATATCTTATTTGCTTTGTGTTCCGTTCTGTATGGCTTGGAGGTGTGTGTGGTTTGAATGTGCAGAAATGTGCAGAGATGCGGCGTCGTGGATTGAGCGAAGATGGGATGGATATCCATCGGCGGAGTATATTCAAAGTATACTCTCCGCTGCGGTGTGCATGGTGCGGGGTGGTAGTAGTACTTGCAGCGAATTGAAAGAAAACCAATTGAAATGTCTGAAACTTCTTCACTTGCCACATATCTATATGTCTTTACGCATGCTTTTCGAACAAGGAAATATTCAAGTCCTCTGATCAACCCAACTCCCCAACCATCTCCACCCTTCAACCACTCTCCCCAACTCCTCCAACGCCACATCAACCCGACTCCCCCTCTCCCTCCTCCTCCTCCCTTGCACCTCAACAAAAAACACATAATGCCACGCCGCCTCCCGACTAGGTCGACTCAAAATACTCGTCAAATTCACCCCATGTTTCGCAAAAACCCCCAAACTCTCCGCGAGAGCACCACTTTGTCGTCCCTGTTTCAAACGGAAAGATATCAAAGATTTCCACTCCTGTTCCTCTTCCGAAGGAGGTTGAGAATCATCATCATCATCTTTGGAAGGAGGAAATGTCAAGGGGGAATCCTCATGTCTCAAAACGAAAAATCTCGTAGTATTTCCCTTGATATCTTCAATCCCTTCCGCTAGAACGGGAACTTGATTCAATTCCGCTGCTAATTTTGAGGAAATTGCCGCTGAAGTTCCTGAAGTGTCTGCTGCGACGAGTTCTGCTCCGCGCGATGTGGAGGAGACGTCGATGCGTTCTGTTGTTGGGAAATGCGTGTCGAGGAAGTGGGAACATTGTGTCCAGGCTTGTGGGTGGGAGTAGAGTTTCGTGATTTTGTTGAAGTTGTCTGTGGGGACAGTGTGGCCTACGAGACAATGGTGCACTGGAAGGTATATTTCCGCTTCGATGAGAGGGGAGGGATAGAGGAGGTTGGGGTCCGCGAAGAGGTCGAGAGTGAAACCTACGGGACCGTTGGAGGAATTTTCAAAGGGGACTACGCCGTGGGGAACTTTTTTGGCTTGGATGGCTTGGAAGATGGAGGTTATGGTTGGGTGGGAGATGTGTGTGTATTTTGATGGGGGGAATTTTAGGAGGGCGGCCTGGTGGGTGGAGTGTTGTTAGTTAGGGGAGTTATTCTGGGATTGGAGGAAGTTTGGGGGGGAATGGGAAGAGGGGGTTGGTTTGGGAGATTGTTTCTCTTTCTTTCATTCGTCTTCCGTCTTGTCTTGCTTGAAGTGGTGTATACCTGTCCCAGCCGTGGGGAAGTTGTCCAACGTACCTGATGAGTATACGTAGCTTTTGGTCCCAGAAAAGCCACTTGGGGTTTCTCCTCTTCGTCGGCCATAATATCTTTCCGTGATGACTCTCACAATGTGAAAAGTCCTAGGTTCCGTGTATCCAAAGCTTAATGGAAATACTTGCGTGCTGTGATATCAGGACTTAATGTTCATGTCCAAACCTCAAATCCACAAACACTCTCCGATTCTCGGAGCCATTGAGCCGAAACCTGAGGGCTGAGAAGTCGTCTCGGCTTAAGGTTTCAGCCGCATATTGAATCCATATCTGATGCACCATTGTCTTCCCAAGAACGACATGACCTGTGCCAAGGACATTGATACGAGGCCATCGCTTCTTGGACGATATCAAAGGGCTTGAAGTGGATCGAGGAGTACAGATGTCGTCACTTTGAATGAGAAAGCCTTCCTTAAACCGAATAGTCGGGTATTCGATCACACTGATTGCACGCATCGATAACAAGTCCTTGGAGAGCCTCCTCTTATGCCATCAATTGCAAGATAAGATGAAGTAGAACTTTTCCATAAAAACTCCCATACATTCCACATCTCCATATCAACAACCCACTAGCCCTACAACCCAGACACGCATGCTTCCTCAAAACCCACCCCATCCATACATCACTCATCATCCACCCTCACAAACCAACCAACTCCTTGGGCACGAAATTAAACGCCGTACTGACCGTCCCCAAAACAGCACTAACGACAATCAACGTCCAATCCAGCGCCTTTTGCCTCTTGCTCAACTCCTTCCCGAAAAGCTTCAGGTGAAAGGCACAAGGCAGAATCAAACACACCGTRAAACATKCCACGGCTCCCAGCAAACTCATAATTCGATCGAAATCCGGCACCAGAATCGCCAGGACCACAAAAACAATGATACACACGATCCGGACGGTAATTTTCAAGATTCCGCGGGTGAGACCTGAGAGACCGTGCGTTGCTGCTCCGTCTCCTAGAGCGCGGGAGTCGAGGCCAAGGAAGAGCTCCAGGGTACTGACAATGGGTCGGGCGTTGAGGGGAACTTTTGTGAGAGGGATGATTGCCACACAGATGACGATGAAGACGCTCAGCCATGGTGGGTAGCCGTCTGTCAGGAGGATGTTCCGGGTGACTTCATCTTTGACTCCATCCCCAAACATCAAGAGTCCGACGACGGCCATCATCAGATCCAAGGCGAACACGAAGGAGTAGGTGATGTTGACTCCCTTGCGGTATTTGTATGGATGACGCATGTCGCGGTAGATGTTTGGGAAGACGCTGTGACCTCCCCAGGGAGACATGAGGATTCCAAAGGAGATGGGTAGGGTTCCCCAGTTTTCGGGCCAGAGGTGAGTTTTGGCCGGTTGACGGAGAGATCCTGGGGAGTCGGGTTTGATGAGACCGTCGATTACAACGGCGGAGACGATGCCGAAACAGGCGAGGATTCCGAGAATGCTGGTGAATGATAGCAAGCGGAGCGGGACGAAGGAGAGTGGGATGAGGATGATCCCGCAGACGATCTTCCATTCGATGAGACCCCAGCCTGGAATCAAGGCGTCGAGAGAGTCGGCGAAGAGGACTACCAGGGCTATGCACGCCGCCAAGAGCTCGAGGGAGAAGAGGATGGATGTTACGATTCGTGCGGATTGGCCAAAGGAGACGTAGGCGAGATCAGCAAAGGTGATGAGGGAGTTGTCCACATCGGCACATTTGGCCAGGATCTTGGCGGTATAGCATGTGCTTGCGCCAGCAAAGGCGAAGAAGATCAAACCAGGTACCCATCCACTGTAGCGAAGGGCCAGAGGCAAGGCGAGCAGACCCACACCGATGAGGACATTAACGGAGTTGAAGATGGTCTGAGGAAGAGTAGACTGGCCAATGACCACATTGACGACTTTGCCGTCGTCTTCCTCCACGCGTTTGACGATCAAAGGTTCCCGCTCCTTATCTGGTGCGGTAGTTCCTTTAATTTGTTGCTGGCGGAATAGTCGTCCGGCATGACGCATGGAAGACTCATTGACGCGCGAAGAGAGCGATCCCCATGTACTGCCATAGCTGCCTCCAAAGGGTGATGCCAAGGAAGGTTCAATGAGGAAGATGGAGTCGTCCGGTGCGGTGCGAGAGTTGACCTTTTGTAGGAGTGGCTGCTCTTCCGTGCCAGGCATGGGCGTGACATCGTCGTAGTCGTCCTCATCATCACCATCCCCGATGGCATCTTCCGAGACGGTGCGGTTGTGCGCGTCGAATTGCTGCCTCAACAATCCTCTTCCTCCATTCGTCGGTGTCCGTTCCTCCCCACCAACATCCTCCTCATCCCGCACTTCATCCTCGTCCGCATCGCTCGCATAGCGGAAACTCGGCCTGACGGGCGTGACTTCATGAAATCCCACCGCTCGCTGCCATGAACGGGCAAAATTGTCCAAACTGTTGACACCACCGGCCTGCCGCAGGGTGTTGATTGCCAAGGAGACCGACGACCTTCTATGTCGCAATTCCTGCTGTCCATTCCCCGCTGCTCCCACGCTGCCCGTGTGCGTATATGCCGAGTGTTCGGACGGACGGTGGACATTTTGCTCGGCGGAATCGTCGAATTGGATGGCCCGCCCCTCACTTTCCGACCCATTCGAATCCGCTCGTCCTCGCTCGTATTGCGCCCAGCTGGCGGGCAGCTGTTGTCGCTGCGCGGGCATCCTGGGATCAATGCTGAAGGATTAATGTCAAACTATCTGCAGGTACCTTACCCTTACCACATCCAATTCCCGCCCCAAGAAAATGGAAGGCAAGGGAAAAAAGTGGAAGCACACGACACGACACCACCGCCACCCAAACGCAGGTCCGACAATGTAGGTATTGTTAAGCTTCTCTTGAAGATTGCAATGCACAGGGGAGTAGGTAATCTGTTGACATGAAAAGAGCGGGCGTGAGAGGCGCGATGAGGCTTGTCTTATCTCCCTCCTTGTTCATCCACTATACAGCGATCCGCGGTCGACCACAATTCGCCCGCCCCCGATCATGAGCTGAGCTTGCAACGTTTGGAGCTCGCAGCAGCTCATATGACCTCTGTAGCGGTGAGCTAGTCGCTTAATTCGCGCACTGGTCGCATCATACACTGGAGAGAGCTTGCAAAAGATGGCAACCCATTGCAAGGCGGATGCTTCAGTGATGGTTGTTATATCTTCGGTTGTGACCAACCGTCTCAAGTAAACTCATGCCGGATGCTTTGTTGGTGGGGCGGTGTGGAGCTGGCTCCGGGGTTTGCCGCTTACCGGGTTGCTTGGCGGCATTGATCGAGGTGAACTCTCTTTGCTGCATACAAACATTGAACTTGCACCTCCTGAGTTTGTACACTTTCTTGCATATTTCGGCAGCCTCGTCGTGAAATTCACGACTCCAAGGGCTAATTCACTAGGTGGATGTGTACACCACGCTTGCACGTCCTACGAGCTACATTTCACTGACATCAGACATTTCAACGCGTAGTGTACACCTCATCAAGAGCATCTTGTGTTGGCTATGCAGTATGATGTCCGCTAAACAGTCATGAATCAAGAATCTCCTACCGCTGTATCTCTGGAAGGGCTTGTGTATCCTCATCCCAACCTGACAGACCACACGCTCGACGACAACGACCTGGAGCGGAATTGTCCTCTGGACCTGGGTCGACACCATGTTCAACCTCGCCACGACCTCGGTGCTCTGGACGGGCTACCTCTGGAAATACTCAGCGCTATCCTCGTTGATACTCCTCTTCGATCCCTGATGGAATTCCGACGCGTGAATCAGCGAGCTATGCAGGTTGTCGACTCCATACCACAATTTCAAACATGCACGCGCTACACACTCGCTCCTCTACGCGGCATCCTCAGTATCAACGCAGGCTCGCATACCACCTGCCAAGACCTCTTCCGTGCATTAATAACCTCCAAGTGCGAAGAATGTGAAGACTTTGCCGGATTTATCTATCTACTCGATTGTACTCGCGTTTGCTTGCTCTGTTTCTCCGAGAAACAGAGATATGTACCCTTATCATCCGCCGAAGTTTTGCGTCACTACGGGCTGAATCGAGGTCGTCTCGCATCCTTGATCGGCATGAGGAGCGTGCCTGGATGCTATTCTCCAAATGAAAAGACAGTACCCGCTCGATTGGAGCTCTTCGACCAAGCCTCAGCCCGACACGCCGGAATACAACTTTATGGATCTGCCGTGGCGATGGAGCAGCACACTTCACAAACTGCAGCGAGAAAGTTTGAAAAGCGTCGGGCGAGTTCGAGCGGGAGGCCGGCAAGTACACCGGCGAGGGGAAATCCTCGTTCGTCGTTTGCGAAACGTTTCATGGCTGTCGTGCGTGCACCCACCGTGGATGTATCGATAGGCTCAGTAGAATGGGGCTTCCATTGCCTCGGTTGCAAAAGGCAGTATCGAAAGCCACCGCTGCACTGGAGGAGGAAGTATACTATCCAGACTTTTGAAGAGCATGTTCGAGAGTGCGGGCCTATCGTTGATGGCGAGCATGTTTTGCCATCAAGAGGTGTAGTTTGAGCCGCCAACAATGATAGAGAAGTCGGACTCTCGGCTAGGTCTTGTATCTTGAGAGGGAGCTCTTCATACCCGGTGGTTGCCGTTCTGAGCATAATGGTGCACTTGTCTACATGTAGGTGATGCTTTAATGAGTGTTGGCTCTGATGTTTTGATTCTCAGCGGACGTGAGCCATATGAATTTAATGCCTCAGGCAGTGTGAGGAAGTGCCGTGACTAATCAGATCAAATGGATAAAAGCCCGGATCGATATGCCCTTGCTCGGATTCTCTCATTACGACATGACGTTGACGTGGGAAAGTACATCGTCCGACTTCAACAATGCGAGCACCGCCGAGATTGTAACTTACTGCAACCAAACGCCTACGGTAACAGGACAATGTGCGAGTATCAAGCGGGTTTCTGAACACGTCACCGTGAAGATAGGCCTCACACTAGAAGAGTCGGAATTCAAAAACCAAGAATTTGCCTGGAGTCTTCTTCTTTCCACCCCGGTACGCGTTCCTGAGCCATACCGTTTCTTTCGGGCAGAAGACGATGACGGTGTCGAATCAGGCTATCTCGTCATGGAACATATTCATGGCCAATCGCTGGCCAGCGAAGCACTTTATCTCGAAAAGGGGATTGTTGACCTGGTTACAAGAGCGCTCTACATTCTCCATTCTAGATCCGCTTCTCAACTTGGCAAACACGCCGCTCCCGGGCCAATCTGTGGGGGTCCTCCTTCAGGTTTTCCATGGGGCGATGGAAAAGCAGATTTGGAGTTCCGCTCAGCGCAGGACCTTGAGCATGCTTTGAATTTGAGGCTCGCCCAATGGAGCCCGCAGAGTTCGAGGGTCAAGGCCAAAACCAAGGCAAGCTTGCTATCTCTTGAAGGCACGCAATTCGGTCTTTGTCACATGGACCTGGCGCCAAGGAATTTCATACTCGCTAACGACGGGAAGATTGCAATGCTCGACTGGTCTACTGCGGGCTACTATCCGACATTCTTTGAAGTGGCAGGTCTGGTATACCTGCAAAGACTTGTCGGACCTCAGGAAAAGGATTATCTCGAAAGCCTTCAACTTCGAATGCAGAGCTGGATACCAGATACGTCTGATAGTGTTGACAAGCTCGAATGTGTCCAGATGTGTAGTACTAGATTCATGCAAGTCGAACAACGTAAAACATGGCCACGAACTAAGTTTTTCCCTAGTTATCCGTCAGAACTTCCGCTCGAATCAGCTACGTCCGGATCTCCTATCATATCTACGATGCCTGCAAGCAAGAGTGTGAAAGCAGATCAAATCGAAACTCGGGGTCTTGCGAACCGCGCATTGCCATCGCCAACCATCCTGCGGGGAATATCGGGGTCATCAGACTCCCCGTCTCCCCTTTCCAGCAGCGAAGTTCACTCGTTAGACACTGAAAAGGTCCGATACAGAGGTGATCTTGATGATAAGTCACTCTATGGAGAGGCCCTACAATAAATTCCGTTTCTAGATCCATCTATCAAGAGGAATTGAGACAGATTCTACCTGGTCCATATTCCATGCAATTGCCGCTGCAACATTGGTCATTGCTAGTACATGGATACCCAGTATAGGGGAAGCATGCTGGTAAATGTTAGCTAGGCTTTGGACAAGAAAGTTATTCTTTTGGTGGCTACGCACCTGGAGCAGTTGGAGTAGTCGCAGATGTAGTCGTGGTCGACGAGTCGGTATTTGAGCTAGAGCTGGTGGTGGTAGTCATGACTTCAGTGACCGTCGTGGTTGAGGAGTCGGTAGTTGAGCTAGAGCTGGTGGTGGTGGTGGTGATGGTAGTCATGACTGACGTGGGCGTCGTGGATGACACAGGAGAGCGGCAAATCACGCCATCAACTTTTGTATTCGCCACTTTATCATTGACCGACATTTTCAAAAAACATCTCAATGTATCCCTACACGCAAGAATCAGCAAATATCTTTCAGTTCAGATGTTCCACCAACATACTTGCGGAGCTCAGCAGTAAGACATTGGGGATTGTTGACGCAGGCTTCTGCACACGACCTCAATGGATTCGGACCCGTGACCTTCAAACTAGTGAGTGCGCCTCCCGGACGATCAACATTACACTCCTGCCGACAGGAAGTTCCTGGAATTAAAGATCCCTGGGCACAGGTGCGGCAGACGACGCCGTTGATATTCTTGTTCGCAACGGGCGCGGTAATGGAGTTTTTCATATAGCAGATTCGATTGTTGATGCGGTATTGAGCGGTCAGACATTTCTTGTCGTCGCTACAGGCACGAGCACAGGCTTGGAAGCCGCTTTGGGTTGTGAGTTCGGTGTAGTCGATGCTTTTGTAGTCGCCGGTTGATCGCTCGATGCCGCATTCTTGGGTGCATGTTGTTCCTGGGAGGATTGTTCCGCTTGTGCAAGTTGGTGGRGCTGTTGGTGAGGTCTGGTTGGGAGTGTTAGTCTGAGTTTCTAACATCCTTGAGCGACTTTCTTACCGAACTCGTGCTGCTTGAGGTTGTTACCGTTAATGAAGAGGTGGTAGTTGTGCTCGGCAATACTACTGGTATCGTGGTGGTGGAGGAGGTTGTCGTTGATGGGGGGATTATAGTTGATGTTGTGGTAGCAGGAAGGGGCAGAGTTCCAGCAGCGACGGATGCTAACTGCGTCGCAAGGATAAGACCTCTGACAAAGAGTGATCTGTTCATCGACATGATGTCCTTCTGCTGGCGATTGAAAAGGAGAATGGGACTGTTGACGGAATTAAATCACATAGAAGTGAGTACTGCAACGCTCTTTATGTCCACGTGGAAAGAGATGTACTAGTCAGCTCAGATTGAACATGGCGTTTTCCAGACCGCCGACTACTCAGTCAATAGCAACGACAAGGGATTATCAGGGAAGAAACGGGCACTCCGTGTGTTGTTGCCAGGACCAAGGTTTGGGGATAGAGGCCCAGACTAAGAATGGCTTGGCTGGATCGTTCCAAGTCCGAATTAGGAAAGAGCATGCTGCAAGACGTACAGCCACAGAACCTTATTCATGTGCCACGTTGTAGCAGTCGCTCAACTCGCAAACCTCAGACGTCGGCGCTCTCCGTAAAGCGTCCATCTTTTGTTGAGCCAGAAGACTCTTTTCACCAAGGAGAAGAAGCAGGCAGTAGCAGGACTTCTATGCTCTTGGCAAATTTCGATGCTGCATACAGTGTTCATATTTTTCTCCAACTCATATATATTCGCTCAATGTTACGACCACGGTTGGCTCGCTCGTTGCAACTACCGGAGTCCGATTTCGGTGGTCTCTTGAAGCAGTTTCTTCGCCTTCTCAATCTGCTCCAAGACCTGCTCACCATGATACCCATGCATGTCCATCGCGCGTGCAACATAGAAAAGTGGCTTTCTGTAGTAAGATCCATCGCCAGCCTTCTTAGGCTTGAACCAGCTGGTGTTTTGCTGAAGTTGACCAACCATGATTTTTCGCACCCTCATATCGGCACCTTCCCGCGTGCGAGGATCCCATGCAGAAATGGGCACTGCTGCGCCTTTCCACAGCTCCAATCTGTTGACAATTTGCATGGCAAGTTCGCATACTTCGAGACGATAAGTCAGCTGAGCGTGAATTCTCGCAAGCTGGTCTGGGTTGTTGAAGTTTCCGGCCTCAAAGCGACGAATCATGTCATACAGCGTGTTGTCCTTGTCAGATTCGAGTGGCAAGCTTCTCTGGTATCGGCGCACGAGTGAATGGGTGGCGGCCTCCAGAGGATTGGCAGTCTGATCGTTAATCGGAGCGCCAAGTGGAGCAAGGATCAAACTATTGGGTTCAACGTATGGTGGGCTCGCGGTGTCCACAAGATCAACATCGTCAAATGCACCTGGCGCGAGAGCCCACTTCCTGTAAGCCTGCGTAGCCTTTTCCATCAACCAGAAATTCGTGTCGAGGTACGTGGTCGCCTGCTCATCGCTCCTGCACAGCGTTTCTTTGCGGAAATACCCCACCAGATATTCCTTTGTGGCCTCGTCCGAGTCGAGCAAATGATAATCATCGTCATCATTGGATTTCTGTTCGAGGAATCTGCGAATGTCGATATGGTCGTCTGCGAGAGGGAACAACTTTGCTTGGATACACTTGGTTACACACTCCAGCTCGTCAAAGTCATCAGCCATTTCTCCAAGGACACTTTCCATGGCGCCAACAAGATCTGTACCAGCTTTGTGGCGCCTGGCATCAGAAGGGTTCAGTCCAGTCAGGAGACAGAATTTGGCAATTTTGCCCTTAGACCGGGAAATCGCAAATACCCGCAGACCGTCTCGAAGCGCCTCCTCTACATCGAAATTGTTTTGAAATACGAGGTCATCGAACCACTTGTTGCAGCATTCCGTAATGAAGAAGAACAACACGCGTTGGGAGACGTTCCGGGTGATCAGCTTTCGTCTCAGTAGATTTCTCAAGTACTTCGTTGCACCGGCCGTCTCGGGTAGTGTGTCTGCGAACTTGCTCGCGTCGACGCCTGTCAGCTCCAGATAGAAACTCAGCAGTACACGGGCAAGGGTTTGATCCGAGATGAGACCAGGGACAGCTTGCTTGAACACAAAATCTCGTAACGCAACATCGAACCGGTACCATGGGAGGGGTTCTACGATGTCACCACCTGCTGCGGTTCTGACGGAAGATTTTGCAGCTTCTTCGATGACTGAATATCTCGTCTTGCTAGCGTCCTTTTCGTCCTTGATTCTCCCTTCTAGACCAAACGCCTTGATCAGCTTGTTGTAGGCTTCTTCGTATGGCCATCCGACGGTGTCGCGGAGCGATAGTCTCTGCAACTCCATGAAGTCTGTTCAAAGGACGATTTGAGTTGATCTGCAGGAGTGTGTTTGAGTGAATGCTTGGTGCAGATGGATTCAAGAAAGTTCCAAGGTAGGTGGACTTGGGTGAAGATTTCGAATGATTGAGTCTGGGCGAATGATCCAGATGACTCGACCGTGATGAAGATAGAAAGTTCCAAGGTAGATGGACTTGGGTGGAGATTTCGAATGACTGGGTCTGGGTGAATGATCCAGATGACTCGACCGTAATGAAGATCCGGGAGTAGATGATTGGGTCTGGATGAATTCTCCAGGTGAGTCGACCTTGATGAAGATCCGGGAGTAGAGTGTGAGCAAGTGAAGGATGGCAAGCGAAATCTTGAGTGCGAAGGTAAAGAGTGAGAAGAGTGTGAAGAAGCAAGATGTCAAGAGGAGCGGGTTCGCAGTATAAGTCGCTGCGGAAATAAGGTTTGAGGACCGACCAAACCAGATCAAACCGAACCAAACCAAACCACAGTTTGTGACGGGACAAAGGTGCAAGCAAACTCCGCAGCGCTCCGCTGCGTGAGTAGAACCTTCTATTTGTGACCAGAAAGAGCTGGGTGGTGGGGAACATTGGTCGCTGTCCTGTGCTCTTCGAAGCGCTCATTGTTTTCAAGGCTGCTGCAACGTTTCCCGTTTRCAGAGTTGCTCTTTTAGTTGTCGAAAGCTTTCGAAGTGGGTGGACCATCGGCATACCAGTCGACGCAAGAGCTCCAGTCTAGAGACTCTGGCCCTCTCGGCGGACTCGTCTTGACGTTCCTGTCATCCTCTAAGCACCGTTTTTATGCAAGAAAATGACACGGCTTGGGCCCGGTCCAGAGTCGAGCTCGTTATTTGCTGGCCATACGCAAAGGAAGGCTGTAGTCCGCAGTACGAAGACGTTCCAGCATCTTCACCGGCATATCAACAGCTTTGACACCTTCTAATCTCTTCACCTGCCGCATCATCTTCCTCGGGCTCTCTAAATGTCCAGCTTTGTCCACGCAAGGACTTCGATCCGATAGGCCCAGGGCATAATTCATGGCGGTCTGCCAATAGCGGGGAGCTTCTGCTGGAGCAGGAGACATTCCTTTGTAGGTTCGACCGTAGGGCTTTGAGGTTTGACATTCGTACCCCATTCGATTGCACATCAACGCCATCTCCAGCAGCTTACTTGCTCTATTAGGCCACTTCCTTCGGCGTCCGAGCYCGTCCTAGTGGTGACGTTTCCAGTCTCTCGCTCATTCTTCTAGATATCTGTCTCGACTCGCTCCATTGCAAATCCGTCCCCGGTAGAATGATGGAGTCTTCGTGTACGAGCTCGTGCATCCGAGGGACTTTCTCCCGGTCACCATGCTTGTGTGAAGAAAGTCTGCGTAGTCGTTTCGCCATTTTCGCATTCGTGGACATACCACTAGGKAGCGGGTAATCATTCGCATTGGTCGGGACTGCGAGTGTGGGTGTGCGGCTCAGAGGTGGCTCCTCGCTACTGGCGAATGTTGAACATGGCCACATCTTGCGGAGATAGTTCCATATTTCGGAGAATCTGGATTGCCACCAGATCAAACCAGCTGTGGAGTTCAGAGATCCGATTAGAATGAAACATGGGAGGCAGATTGCGACGGTCACGGCCGCGAATCTCCACATGGGTTCGTCTGCAGTCTGTCAGCTCATGGAGTAGAGGCAAGGGAGTGGAGATTACTTGCGCTCTGGGAGAATCTCCATCCCAAATACTGAAGTGACAAAGGTCAGCGGCAGAAAGAAGAGATTGACAAGGGTCAGCAATTTGATATTATGGCCTTGCTGGACGGTGATCTCGGCCTGTTGAACAGACTTCCTGGCTTCCATCACACTGGTGCCGGAGAAAAGTTGGTCTCTTAGGCGACTGATCTCCAAGCGCCTCGTCTCGTAACTTTGAATCAGCTTTTTGATGCGTGCAACTTGATATCCGAAGTTTTGTCGCACTCCAGATAGCTTCTTCTTGTAGTACTTGTTCCGAGTAGATTCCGGGTCTAGCAGCGGCCATAGAGTACGGTGTCGTCCGTCCCACACCTCGTCTGTGAATGTATCTTCGTAAGCATCTACCATTGCAGCCATACTATCAATCATGATGCCAAGCGTTTGAAATGCCCAGAAGTAGCGTCGAGAATATGTATATTTGTCGTCTTCAAACAAGAGCTTGTCTCGAAGGTCGGATTGGAACATGAATGCTAGAGGTGGTGTGATGAGTTTGCTGATCTGCTTGTAAATATCTTCAAACCGCTTTTCGGCATCTTTGTACTCGCCTAGAACAGTGACGAGAAAGGCTTCGACTCCATTCACTGCCAGTGAGACAAGTCAGCATGAACCGCGTGGCGAAATCGACATTCAACGATAATGTGACATACCGTAGTGCTCTGTGGGGCTATGCACGTCAAGAGAGCTTTCCCAGTCGGGAAAGCACTGGATGTTGAGAATGTGGTAGGGACTCCATGGGTCATACACGAATCCATGTGTCGTCCCAGCCCTACGATCCGGATTGCGGATCTTCTTGATAGCATCACCTCCTAGAGACAATGCCACGATAGAGCTACATCGAGTGATGGCTATATGACCAGGCTTCCGTGATGCCGGAGCATCAGCGAGCTGCCATGCTAATGGCTGACAGTCTTCTCCAATCAGTGTAAAGTACTCAAACGAGAACACGAAGGAACTTTGCCGCCGCGGATCAGAATCGAATGCACGATCCAAGTCACAACATGTTGATTGTGCTCCGACGAGACATCTGAACAGCTCATCGACGTCGAAATGCTTATGCATTGTGTAGTGAAGAGCACCAAACAAGACTGGAGCCGGCTCCCGGACAATTGTAACCCTTCCAACAGCTTTACGCTGCCTGGAATCTGGATTGACAGTTTTGATAGTTTGCCAAAGAGCAGTTGGACGATTAGTGACATCCTCATGCTTGACCTCAACAAGCATTGGAGCACCATTGTCTCCGATGTCGAATATCTGGAAATGAGTGTGATGGGATTGATCTGGCAGCGGACCCTTCTTGGTCAAGATGAGATCCTGCTGGAGTCTGTACTTATTCCCAGCGAATTCTTGCAGCACTTTCTTGCCGTCGTCGTCCCAGGGATACGTTTGAAGATGCTGTCTGAAATCATCTTCTCCATGAATCTCCTGTGGAAGAGGCTCCCGCACACAAAAGCTTTGATCTGCCTCATCGTCGGACTCATCTCCTGTCAGGCGTGAGCCCGAAGAAGACTCAATAGTGGACAGTCCGGTCAATATCTGCAAGTCCGCTCTGCTATACAGCGACGGAGGCGATAAGGACTGACTTGCATGGGTTCGGTCCAGAGAATAATGTCGCGAAGTTTCTGGTACGATAGACGGGTCGACCGGAAAGGCAGGTGGCAATGCTATGTGTTCCTGTACTCTGCGAATAGCTTCGTCRTAGGCTTCTTTCTGTCGGTCCAAATGCCTCAGAAGCTGCTGTAAATCTGCTTGCTGGGGACTAGTAGCCATGGCATGGTATCTTGTGTCGACTGAAGAGGGGTCCGATACGTATGGAGAAGTGTAGAGTGCGCAGCAATGGAGTGATTTTGGTTAGTTCCGCTTGCTCGCCGTGCATAATGGCGGCCTCGCGAATGCAGCCAAGATGTTCTATACATGATGACCGGTCCGAAGGCACACATTTGTTCTTGGCAATATAGGCGAGAGTTTACGTCGATGAAGATGCAAAGGGCTCCACAATCTCCCGTCCCGTCCTCGGGCATCGCTGGGAAGAGGGAGGAGGTAACGTCGACCTGATGTTTCAGGTCCATATAATAAAGTCGTGGGACAAGAAATGCAGGAGGTACCTCAGGCTTCAATTTCCTTCTGCTAGACACTTCCATTGTAGCACAATCTAAGCACCAACACTTCTATGAAATGTCATGACTTCATCGCTGCACAAGAGACCTCTACGTGAGAATGGGTCTCTATCAGCTGTGGCGAGCCGATGGCCTATATCTTAAAGACGACAAGAACCTCGGCCGCAGTATCTACCGTCATCGAAGGATTGGACATTAGTGGGTCTCACAGTCACCTCACCTRACTTTCCTAGTCGCCGCAGTTTATCTCGTGACGCCAAGACGGTGCACGGTCAGCGATGTGTCACAAGCAAGAGTCAACCTCTTCCTCACGCTAGCCATTATACCCGAGTTTCCGCCTCGCCATTCAGTCCACATTCCATATCTCAGGCTTCTCGAATCCTCAAGCATCTCTCCATCGTAGCCGGAAGTTCACCTCCTCTGGCACCCCTGTTGAGCTCATCCAAGATATATCCAAATCCACGACACATTCTTCTCTCCGCTGCCTGTTCTCCTCTCCTCCAATACCTCAAATACAATGATTCACCTTCTCCCAATAAGTTGTCCATCAGATTGGCCATACTCATCTCGGGAATTCTCAAATATCCACTCTGACCGGTCAACTCGTTCTGCAAGAGAATTCGGATGGAAGCCGTCGGAAAGATGTACAACTCACCCTGCCGTACCCCCGGATGTCCAGCAAAATGAGGATTAAAGTACGTCGGAACGGTAAAGTCTAGAGCACGAAGCGCTCCACCATTGTAAAGATGACGGGCGTTTCTTCTGTTCTGAGCTTGATGTCGCGGTTCTGCGACAACGCCAAAGTCCCATCTCCGCATGAAAGGATCCCAGATACTGCAATCTTGACGTGACGATTCGGACGGCGGGTCCGCAGCGGATGTGTTGCTCAAAGTCTGTACTCCAAGCACATCGCGACAGACACGGCACAGAGTTCGAGAATGCACGCAGCACCTTCCATCTCTCCACCATGTTATCTTTTGGAAGGGGAGAACTCCAGGGCTGTGACTTTGTGACCAATCATTGAAGAGAAATATGTCTTCGCGGTAAGTGCCAGAATCGATGAGGAGATGTCTGGGCCAATTCGCTTGCGTTACATTCGACATTTGGACAATGCTGCTGATGGAAAGCAAAGATTTGAACGATATTGAAGAAGATAGGAACATGGCTTCACAACAGACTTATCATGGCTGGGTACGTTTCTCTCACAGTCCAGAAGTACGTCGTTCCTTGTCTTGGATTTTGGTTGTGTCGCACTTTGACGACATGAACATTCTATCTCATAAACAAACGTACTAGCAGGTTCTATCTTGAGACTGCCGCGCAATACAAAGCGCAGTCCTCCAATTCATCCTTCTTCGCCGGCCTTTGCTAGCATCTTCCAGTTTCTCGACTCCTCTTCTGCGAATGTGCATTTTGYTTCATGAGTGGCACTGAATACGTCTCGTAGACAAGAGTAATAAACCTCCTCACAAAAGACAAGAGACGAACAAAAGGCTGGTCTCACTACAATTCGAACGAAGGTCTTCCACTCACGGACCCTTGGAATGAGAGGCGATACCAAAAAAGGTCAAGTGGACTTCATTCCCTCTTCACATCGAGATTTGAAGCAACAATAAAGGCTTAGGAAGCAATATGACTCTATTGCAGAATACAACATCTCGACTCCTCCTTCTCCACCACCTTCGGCTCCCCCCAAATAGCACGCTCCACCTCATCATCCAACGGTGGTCTCGGATCCGTCTCATAAACAACAAGATACAAACACTTCAACTTCCCCCTCCCAAGCACAGTTTCTTTCTCAATAATCCTGATGATATGCTCAATCGACAACTCAAGACCAGACCCATCATCCGCGCGAATAATTGTACGAGTCGGAAGATCGCAGACTTTCTTGAAAATTTTGGTGAGGTTTTTGTGGATGTTCTTGGTGTTGCAGATTCCTTCCGCGTTCCAGGTTTTGGCGGCACTAGTTCGGTGAAAGAGGGTGAATGGTGCTATGGAAGAGAGGGTTCCATCTGGGGCGAAGGAGACGACGCGGACGTTTGCCATTGTTTCGAAGGCGATTGAGGGACTTGGAGGGGGTGGTTTCTTGATTTTGCGGGGAGTATGTTTTGATTGATGTTGCTTGCTTGTGTGGCGTGTCGATCGATGTGGGTGTGATGGGTTATCAATCGTGTTTGCCCGGTGATCTACTGAGTGGCTCGATGGCGATTGATCCTGTGATCTGATCGGCTGAGTGTAGGATACTGACTGCATTGGGATGGTCAGGTGAATGCGATATTTAGATACACTATTCTGCGAACCAGAGACTGGGTCTATTGACTATACAACCCTGAACAAACTGAGTTATGTCTCCTCACCCCTGAGCTTTGAGCTTGCCTACGCTCGGAAACGACTTCCATAAAGAAGGTACTTCAGAGCCTACACTCTACCCGCATGCGTACTGTTTCCAACCCTAATCTCTGAAGCCCAACGTTCGTTTGTATGAATAGTACACGCCCATATCTCTGCCTCGAACAACCAACCTGATCTCCCAGTCGATTTCATTTCATTTTCAAGAGTCCCTCATTTGATCTTCTCTCCAACTCTGTCCCCACGGTGATCTGGCTTGATAGCTACATTCCGACAGTCCCCCGCCCCCGAAGTTCCCTCTTGTGTAGACAACCACCCAAGCTTGCCCATCTCCACTAAACATTCACCGTACTCGTCACATCCCCTTGACTCCCAGTGCTAACTCCCCATTCCTCATCCCTCACGATTGTGATTCTTCTCGGTAAACTCCTCGCCCTTATCTTTATGGGCTCGGCGACGAGCCCAGAAATCGTGAGATAGCTTTACCGACGTAGACAGTGCAAGTCTCGCCCGAACAGAATCAAAATCTCCTTCGCTACGATATTCCCCTCCACTTTTCATATTGCGGTGGGGAAGCTGATCGTTTCGTTCAAGTTTAGAAGCCTGATTGAATGGATCACTTTGAAGTGAGATCTCTCTTCGCCAATGATGGTAAGCTCTTACAAATAWAGATTCGGAGGGAGGATGGCTAGATTGGTGGGATGGGCTCGAAGATCTGCTGTTCTGTTGGTTTGGGCAGAAGGATGGGCTTTCTGGTGAGTAGGTGGGTAATTTTGGAGTGTAGCCCGGTTTGTTAGTACATACTGATTCATTTGTCCCATAGGCGGGAATTGTAGGGTTGTGGTCTGTGGTATTGGGAGAGCGTGCTTGTATCGCTGGCGAGCGAATTTGACTCATGGTGTCGTAGTTGGAGTATCGATTATCGGTCAACAAGGGAGGATTGATTGGCTGATAGGCCGGGCTGGCGAAACGCTCATGGAAAGGACCATCTGGGCGAGGTTTCGAGTTGCTGTGACGGTCTTTGGTGTGAGAATCTGGTCGATCCATCTTCGATGCAGAGAGGTTTCTGATCAACAACACTGGTGTTCTTTCATCAAACTGCTGAATGATTGTAGGGGAAGCTGTGCAGGTTTGTACAGAAACATTCACTGTGGAAATCATGTTACAATTGCACTCATGATCGAGTCACCGGCCCTGTCCGTGCTAAATGTTCTTGGCAGATGACGATTTAAGGGGTTGTATCATAAGAAGAACTCCCAACACGGAGCATGACATTGTGTGATTCCACTCACATTGGTCGGTTCTTTTTGTGCATCTTCTTGAACTCTCACCCTCTGGAGCAGTATTTGAGCGCCCAAAAGTTTTTCTGTCTACGTAAACAACTAATCTACTCGCTGAAAGACCGCATTCGCTGACATTTCCTGATTTCCTCCACGCTCATACTGAGTACCCTCCGAAGCCCAATTTCTACTCGGTTCCCGCTGTAAAGACCCAAAGACCCTTTGTGCATTTCCGTGTCATCTTAGCATGTGATGATCCACCATTCATACACTATACCCATCCCCAGTACTCCCCAAGTACCGATCAAAACTTCCGCAGTGCCGACCACGCAGCTCTCCCATAACCCCGATGCCTCCTCTGCTGACCCTCGCCGCCGCCGTACCGTTGACCTCGCTCTGGGCTTTGTCCAGCATAGTCTCTCTCCGAACTCCTCTGTCCAGCGTAGTCTCGCCCATACTGCTGCCCACCCGACGACGACTGTTTGAAGCGGTCAAAAAACGAGCGAAACTTCCCCTTCTGACGATCCGAATATTGCTCCCCTCGAGACTCGCGCCGAGGAGACCGCTCCTGCTGCCGACGACCATAGCCGCGAGCCTCATCCCCAACTTCCATACGAGCTCCTGGTCTGCTGTACCATCCCGCGTGGCTCGCCCAAGATCCCTCTCCACGAACTTCCTGACGGGACTGCGGACCTCCTACGGGTCCGAGAGGTCCGTAGTCGAAAGGCGCGCGGCCGTTTCCACTACCGCCGTTGTTGCCGTAACCTTCGCACCAGTTTGATTGACGTTGATTTGGAGGATGATAACCAGTGCGCGCGTCGGACCGGCCGTATAAGTTGCGGCTGTTGGATGCATTGGGTCTGAAGAACCCATCATGGCCGGGATGCTCGTAGTCGCTGCGGTTTGGAGGTGCTCTGCCGTATTGACCACCGCTCGAAATTCCGTAGGTGTCGTAGCGGTTTTGGTAGTCTCGGCGGCTTTGCATTTTGGCTGGTTGTTTTGATTGTTGGGAGAAGAACGGTGAGGGGTAGTATTTTTGGCTGTTGGCGATTGCGCGGCGAGGTGTTTGGTTGTTGTCGGTTGTTGGACAGGATGATGGAAGTAATCGAGGAGATAAGGTACCAAGTGCGGTGATCTGAATTTTTGATCGTTGTTTGTTTGTGGTTGGTACGTTCATGAAGACGTGCAACTTTATAGTCGAAGGAGGTTGAGTTACTTTACGCTAGGGGCCGCGCCATGTGATCTAAGTGAATAGCAAGTCGAGTGAATATCGAAGTCCCGCATAACCTTAGTGAATATAGCGGGTCGAGTCATAGCTAAATATTTGTGCATGTGATCTGTAGATCAGGACCAATATGACATCTTTGAAGATCTGCGGAACTGGTCTTTTTCGAAAGTCAGGGGTCAGGGGCTCCGCTCAAAAGCAAAACATGATGTTCGAGGAGACATCTTCAGAATCACACTTACATTTTTCGATACTAGTATCTTGAAAGGTACAGATGTGGAGTCACATACAAGACTGTAAATAACCCGAAATGGATGGATGATCTCAGGATGGCCACAATTAGGTGGGCTGTCTGACTGAGGAAGAGGTCAAAATGAAGAAGGCACTTGAACGCTTGCTTTATTCCAACTATCTGAGAACTTGACCATTATCTACGGGTCGTTTGCTAGATGCAGTGGTCCTTTGTCCTAATGCAAGGTTCCAGAAACAACTACCCCATTGAATCATGTATTTCGGACCATAACATTCTGTACTGGTCATACAAAGCCCTTTCAAGTGACGAAGGAAGTCTTCGCGGGCCAGAGGCTTGGTGAAGATATCCGCTGATTCCATGTTCGCAACTCGGACGGTGTTGGTATTGAGACGCGCAAAAACTTTTGTCTATCTAAACGCTCAAAACACTTTTCTATCTAAACTACTGCTATCCTCGCCATGGATCGCAGCCTCGTAACGTAAATCTCCAATCCTCATTCGAACCAGCCCGCATAACATCCCACTCATCCTACCCACCCACTCATCCTACCCACCCACTCATCTACCCACCCGCCTCTCGCACACACTTAGTAGTAGCCACCATATCCGCCACCGCTACCGTAGCCACCATAGCCACCACCGTATCCACCGCTGTATCCACCACCATATCCACCATTATATCCGCCATATGCGCCGCCGTATCCACCACCCGATGCTCCGCCATATCCCCCACCAGTACGACCATATCCTCCACCGTAGCCGCCTCCGCTTCCTCCACCGTTGGCACCTCCACTTCCTCCACCATAACCACCACCGGAAGAATAATCGCCACCATAGCTTCGCCCATAACAGCTCCGACCACCGTACGACTGACGCTCTCTCGGCGTCGTAGTGCGCCCCACAGGTCCCAAATCACCGGAGGAGAAAGGTGCGCGGCCATTGCCACCACCGTAGCCCTCGCAATAATCCGACTGACGCTGAGTAGCAGCAGCTTGACGACGATCAGGAGAGGCAGCACGGCCAATGGTACGGCTGGCTCCGCCGGCAGTCATAGTACCGTAGCGGTCGACAGCAGCATAGCTTCCAGCGCGCGCGGCACCGGCAGTCGTGGTTCCATAGCGGTTGGGAGAAGCGACGCGAGTGAGAGCACCGTAAGTTCCAGTGGGTTGAGTACGGCTCGCAGCTGGCTGACGGTTGGGGAGAGTGTAGCGAGTCTCTCTGCCTGTGGCACCTCCGGATCCGATTGGAGATACATCTCCGCGCTGAGAAGCCGCGCCGTTCTAGCTGATGTAGGATCCTGGGCGGGACATGGAGTAGACGTTCTCGAGGTAGTAACGGGAAGGGGCCATTGTCGAGATGTTGTGTCGGTTTTTCGTGAGTGTGATAATGAGATTGATGTTGTTGATTGATTGAATTCTTCAAGGCAAGATGTCGAGAGTGGACTGTTTCGTTCAGATTGGTGCGATGAGGTGATGTGATGTTGATGTAGAATATCAGGTCCTTAGTTGACGAAGGCCGAGTATTTGTGCAGTCGTTAGTGCACCCAACTTGAGACTCCGAGTGAATAGCTGACAGCTGCGAACACGGGGGAGTCCCTGTGCGCAGTGAATGTGGGTTCCTGAAATATTCACTRGTCTAAAGTTAATACCCTTTTTTCAGAAGATGGCGAACGCCTAGCCTAAAGTAGCATGCTCGAGGCTGTCTTTGGCTGATGATTGCATCTGATCAATCTCGACTTACTTGCTGTTTGACGTCACAGGTCTTCTGTTGAGATGGAGTAGAATATTCAGCAAATCTCACAAGTTACAATCGCGGAGTCTTGTAAGTCTCGAGCCGGGACGCTGCTGCAATTTAGTATAGTGAGGATAAACATACGTAGCCAAGTTCCCCATTCGGGGAGCTCACATATTCCTTATTCAAAAATACTGAGTCTGATCAAAAGAGAATCAAAGCCGAGCTAATTGCAATTACCAGCGGCAGAGCTTGCCCACTCAATCCCAGGCRGTCGCCACTCGATGTAACTTTCTTGTTGACGACCTGACAGACCATTGCTGCCGACGCTCCTGAATTCTCGCGCAGCAGAAGAATATTGAGTTGACCCTCGGCTTCGTCGTAGATATCTGACACGTTGCCCGCTTGCACAGTCGGTGAGGTGTCATAGTACACAACATTTCCAGGCTGACTGGAGATGAAGTCCGAGGTGTTCCCAAAAGTGGTTGCTGTGAAGCCATTCCGTCAGTGAAAAACCGCACCCAGTCAGCAGATTCCACAACTCACAAGAAGTCCCACTCCCAGGTCTGCTAATAAGTGTGTCTCTGCACTCGTCGATTCCAGAATTGAGGAAATCGGGCGGCGTGGCACATCCGATGGACCTCGTTGCGGCCAGGAGCTTCTCGTAGCATTCTTTTCCGAGTACGGAGGAGCAATCTCCAGACCCAGTGTAGCGTTTCGTGATGTTCGATGGAGCAAGGATCTCCGCTGCAGAGATACACATCGTTCGATCGGATTTATCGCTGGAACTAGAACTGTTCATGGAAGATATTTCAGTCTCATCACCGAGCCACTGGAGCTCCCATTGATTGTTCACAACATGTTGATCTGGTTTGTTAAAGATCCGTTCCGGTACATTGATATCCGTGATGTTGACACGCCAGGTCCAAGTCGAGTTGCCCGGGAGACTTTTCGGAGCAAAGTTGAAAGATACCGCACTGGTTGCGTTTGGATTACGTCCTGCATCTTCGAACAGTTGCTTAGATAGTACTTCTTTCTCATCGGATAGCTGCGTGTCAAAGGAGCCGGGCTTTAAGAATCCCACGGCGCCGAACAAATGAGGCGGGTCCATGGCTGTGTCTCGGGTTGGGAACCTTGCTGCTGAAGCGGAAGATACCACATATGCGAGGTTGAGAATGATTGACTTCATGATGAACTGCAGGATGATCGGACRCGATAGCGGGTAGCAAGCAATATGGAAGAGTTGCGTTGGGCGAGTGTAGCACCCAGTCGAGGAAAGACATTTCTATATGGCAACAGCTTTGCTGTGACGTAGATTGCCGTAATATCTTTGCTGCAGCACAGACTCCTTGGAGTCGGGCGAAGATGTGGTATCCGCAGGATTGGGGGTTGCGATCCAGTCGATCCTGAATCCTTCTTTGGGGTGCAGTATTCTAGCGACCAATGGTAGCGATTCAACTCGAATAGACTTCAGGCTTCCTCCAGTCAGTCTTGGCATGCACGAGCTGCGCCTGTGGCCCGGCAACTTGTTCCGGGCGCTTTTTGCTGTATATGTACGTTAGGATAGTGTCTGTCACTTTGTTGGCCACAATGTGTATCGGTTGCAGCGTCGCCTTCGTACGGTGCGATTCACTGATTACTTTGAGCTCATGGGTCAGCAAACGGCATACGAAATCATAAAATCATCATGACCCGCAAGGCGATAACGATATCGTTGAGAGTGGATGGAAGAATCCGGATATCGCGACCCGATCAGAACATGTAAGAGTGAAGTTTATAGGGAAAGTGATTCAAATACAGTACTTTTGATATGTAGCTCAGCAGCCCCATGGAGGTGTGTAAGGAACCGTGATCCATTCCTGCAAACGTCCTGGTAGCCGCTCAGCACATTGATCTCTTCCGTGAGATCGTGGAGGCACTCCTTCACGCAGTCGTCGCTGGGTGTGCCTTTTTCGCTTGGATGCATAAGAGTAGGAAAATGATATGCCGGTCGGTATCGCAATATCAAAGCTACCCGACCTGCGCATAGTGACTACCGTGATTCTGTGCCATAGCACAGTCTGTTAGTAAGTAGGAAAAAAAATGCCGGAGGCTTGCCGACACGCTCGCTGGAATCAGGCTCATTCCGTCGGTGGGGTTGACGCCCGACGACGGCTTTGGTTGAGGAACAGTGTCGACTCGTCGGAGTCGTCGGAGTTGTAGCCTTCGTCGTTCGTAGACCGGCCACTGGCGCCAGATCTTCCCGCCGCGGAAGCCGAAGGTGTGGGAGGTGCTACCATCACTGCAGTGTGTACCTGAGTCTGGACGGGGCTTGGTGTAAGAGGTGCCACGATATCGGCAGGAGTCGAGTCAGGAGATCGAACGACCAGCTCCGGGCGTTTTTTATCGCCCTTCATTCTCACTCGGAGGAAGAACTCCACTTCTCCAAACTTTGCGTCTTCGATTTCGGCCTTGTTCTGTCTGACTCTCTCCGGATCGACCACGATGTTCATGGTGGGAGTTCCAACCTTACTCTCGAAGAGTGTGTCGATGCGATTCACTGACCAAGTCGGCTTTGACTGGGGTGGCGTGATCAGCTGTGGAATTGTGCGTAGAGCCCTCTTTCCGGGGTCGGTGTCTTTTGCAAGAGCACTCAGATTGTCGGTAAAGCTCTCGGTAARGCTGTGGTCATCGTCTTCGATCTCTCCGTTGGGTTTTCTCAGCTGTCCACCACGTGCAAAGACGGAGATGTGCCCCTTTGGAGTTGGCAGTTTCTCCAGCCAGAGGGTCGGAATGTCGCAATCCAGAAGGAACATGCAGGCAAGACCAGAGGCTCCGCACAGCCCAAAGATGTCATAGGCATTGAAGTATACATGTTTGGGTCCGTCAAATTTCCTGGGACGTCATTAACTCGGTGACCTTATTGCTTGCGTCAAAAACTTACCAGGAGTACTCTCGATCCTTTGCCCCTGCTTGGCCGTAGTAGTAAAAGATCACCAAGTCGTCCTCCGTCTTGGTTTCCAACTCCTTGTCAATGTAGTCGTAGAGAGCATCGACGTTGTTTGCTTGTTTCAGGCGAACGTTGATGATTTTGCAGTCCGTGTACTTCTCGATTCTGGCTTGCACGTCCCAGACATGCTCATCACGTTTTGAAGGCTTGCGACGCCGCGCTGGGGTGGCATTTCCAGTGGGCACTGGAGGTTTAGCGTCCTTGGGTGCGTCGAGGCAGTAGAAGAAGACGTTGTCAAATGAGTGGAGCCCAGGTTCGGTGAAGCTGACATCAGTTTGTGTCAGTGACTTCTCAATATTCGGAATTTGCGGCCAGATGGACAACGCAGTCACGTTTGCGGATATAGATACCTCGGTCCTTTGATGTTCCTCGTCATCGCTCATGATGGCTGGTGTGGGGGGTGTTGGTCAGGAATATTGTTGTTCGTGAGTCTTTCCAGTGACGGTGGTAGATGAAATGGACAGGATGTTTGGCGGAAGTGGCGGAGGTATAGGTGATGAAGAAAATGGTCAAAGCTTGGTGGTGAGCTCAGCTTGTGATAGGTAGCGCTGCACGTGAAGCTGGCGCTGTTAAAGTGAGACCTGATAAATGAGATAACAGAGATGGGCAGTGTTCAGGTGTGGGCAAGCTTGTGACAGCGCATGCATATCGTAAACAATGGAACGAAGCAGGAAGTTGATGTGAAGGAGGCATATGTAGAAAATACGAGCGATGCTAGCAATACGATATCGACTGGTCGACGAGGGCATTGAAGAGAAATTGCGAGAGCATTAATGTGCCTTGTGGCATGGAGAGTAGATCGATGACCACGGACAGAGAAATCTGGACATGTCAGGCCAGAAGACAGAACAAGACGCCGGAACTCACAGTCTGGGGTGAAGACAATGCTGAGCACATCGAAGACTCCCAATGTCATCCCCTCGTACATGAACGACCCCATCTGCCCGAACATCTTGCATTGGCAAATTGTCGGCGACTGCACTCGTGAGAAATGGCACTTGGCAACGGATTGGCARACACTGTGAGCTCATCGCTCTAGGACTTGCGCTGATAGGAGTGGGAATGGGAATCTGTCATGTGTTCAAGAGTCTGACAAGGTGAGGTGAAAAGAGGACGGACTGGGAGGGTGCGGACCGGACTCAGCTCCGATCAAATATGTCATCCTTCAACAACTTTTATTACGCGACTACGACAGCACAGCGATCACAGCACAATCCCCAACCATGGCGACTCCTGGGAAACAGCAAAAGGCAATGTCCTCGCGACTCGCGGGCATGAAATTCATGCAGCGCGGTGCCGCAGCATCGCCTCCTGCTTCGCCGATGGGGCCTCCGGCCAAAAAGCAGCGACTTTCCACCGGTTCCGTCAACACATCGCCTGCCCAAAGTCCGCGCTCCGACAACGACGCGCTCGAGCAGGCGGTAGCAGCACAGGAGAAGAAACGCGAAGAGGCAGTGGCGCGGGAGGGGGCGATGAAGGGCGAGACAAAATGGTATCTAAGCGTGCAAACACCACAGAAGCCGGTTGTGGAATCTCCTTTGCGAATAGTGTCCGCAGGATTCGCCACATTAGATGCTACAGACCGGAAACGTGAGCTCGATCTAGAGCATGAGGAAGACGACGAGGATCAAAGTCCAAAACCACCACACATGCCGGGACGGATCAGTTTCGGCAAGTTTGGCAGGACGGAGAAGAAGAAGCAAGATGAGAATGACTCCGGCTCAGATGACGATTCAGATGAGGACGTTGATGCTGAAGACGAGAACGGAGAAGACCTGTCGGAGATTGACAGCCTCATCGCCCAAGGACGGAAGGAAGCGACGGCTCGACTCCGTGCGCAGAAGAAAGAAGAGAGGAGAGCTGCCAATGCCGAGGCGGCACGTGCTGCTGAGAAACGAAGAGCACGGGAAGTGGATCTCAATCGTCCAACGAGCATATCCAATGCTGGCAATAAGGACCCGAAGAATCACTATGCGAATATGGAATGTTTTACATGTGGTAAAAAGGGACACCCGAAGGCAGAGTGCCCCAATAAGAGGACACAGAGGCCATCGAAACTGCGGCAGTCGTATTGAACACCTTGTCGATAGGACATTCAGAGTAATGTCTGAGTAGTCTGCCGGTATCACGAACCTAGGGCGCCACGGCCCACAAGACGTTGCATATCTGTATGAGACTCCTGGTCGATTGATGCCACCAAGGTTTGTCGGAAACATCTGTAGCTGTATCTTTGATTCGACGGAGAATCCACAGCACGGCTGTTCTGGGCTTCCCACATGAGAGATACGTTGGCATCGTCAGTTTCATCTCATCTCTATTTCTCGTCTTCGTTAGAGAGCACATGATAGATGGCTGTCCGGTGAGAGTGCTAGTTCTTAAATAGCACGATAGGTAGGTATATGAGAAGCTCTGCTAGGATCAATCATCCAAATGCCAGGGCACTCCTACTTTCTGCTCTTGCTGCCCTCGCCTTCACTTCGGATCCAAAGTAGGTAACTAGATCTGCGAATCAATACGCGACGGCTGCAAGATCGAAAGCGGATCGACGGCGGACTATATGTACTTATATGTAGTCCGCCATCTTGCTCTTGATGACGTGGAATCCATCTGGCCCTGACAACTTTAGAACTCCATACGTTGTGGTCTACAAGACGATATAGTGCGCCATGTTCAACACACCTTCATGCAACAGTTCCTTCCAAGGGTAACAATCTGCTTCAAGCGTACAAGGGTTAGGGTTAGTGTAGCACTCCTTGCTTACACAATTCGCAATCCGCCTCCACATCCTCCTCCACATCCCTACATCCTTGTACCTTGCATGTCACGCGAGCCCACCATTATCCCTCGATATAAATTCCCACCTCGCTTCGCTCAAACCGACAGACGCCGCTTTTCCATAAACCCCTCGGCGCGTTAGGCTAAGCCTCTTCTTCCAGCCTTGCCGACCCTAGCGCCTGGGAAGACCTCTCACATGATTGGAGTCAATGGGCGATTGGCGACGGAATCCCCACACTGCATTCGGCAAGGCGTTGGAAGTGAGGGAACTCGTTAGGTACTCCGCAAACTCGTAGACAATTCCGGGGAGGAGCATCTCGGACATGCAGCCTCTATAGGGCCAAGCCCCGGCTAAGCGTCGTGGCAAGAGGTAGTAGCTAAGCGACGGCAATGATATGCATACTTAAAGTATATATCCACTTTCACATTCCTGGACCTCACCTCTCCCGTCTCCCTGCCATTGTTGTTTTTGACAAGAGACATCCATCATGTTGCTTTCCTCGTGTCTTTTGGCGATCGCTTCCTTTGCCGCGGCAGTACCAACCAGGGACATCAAAGTGCGTGGCAGCAACGCCAATGCATATGCTCCATCTGCTGCGAAGTGTCCAGCGCAGAAATTGGTCCGTGAAGCGACGAGTATTAATTCTCTTGAAGAGGAATACATTCAAAAACGGAGATGTAATGCAGATGCCTCACTAGCGGCTTGGTTGGAGAAGCAGGGTTCGTTTTGTACGACAAATCTCCCGGTTGTTGGGCTTGCGAGCTCGGGTGGTGGGAATCGTGCTCTTCTGGAGACGGCTGGTGTTATTAAAGCGTTTGATGCACGAGATGGAGATGATAGCGTCGGTGGCATATTTCAAGCATTGACTTATGAATCTGGGTTATCGGGTATGTCTACTTGAACGCTACACTGGAAACACAGCTGATGCAGTTTGTCCAGGCGGAGCGTGGTTCCTTTCCTCCCTGGCTGGAAACGACTGGCCTACGGTTTCGTATCTCCAAGAGACGTTGTGGAATGAAGAATTCGAGGACAGTCTTCTTGTTCCAGAGGACATATTCTCGGCTTCTGGGATATCAGACTACAGCGATGTTGTTGCACAGGTAAGAGCAGACTCCTACTGCTTGAAAGGCCTGATTCCTGACTCGAAGCAGGTCAAAGCGAAAGAAGATGCGGGCTTCAACACCACAATCGTCGATCCTTGGGGAAGACTCATCTCGCACGCCCTGCTCGAAGGCCCAGACGGCGGCGTGAGTAAACGTCTCTCGGATATGGTGAAGTATAGCAGCTTCGAAAACCACGACGTTCCATTCCCAATCATGACCGCAATCTCCTTCAACAACTCTCTCAACGGCTGTAGATTACCCAATGCAGCTCTACAATACGAGTTCACCCCCTACGAATATGGAAGCTGGGACGCCGGTGTCAAAGCCTTTGCCAATACCGAATACATGGGCACCGACATGACCAACGGCATCCCAACCGACCCCTCAAAATGCATCACCCAATACGACAACCTGGCCTACGTCCTCGGGGTCAGCAGCGACGTCTGGACCTCCTACTGCACGGATTTCCCACCCACCAACACCTCCCTCTCAGGCGTAATGATCGATATCATAACCCGCGCATCTCCCGACCCCATCGAATTCTCAGATCTAGCAGCATACTTCCCAAACCCATTCCACGACCTCCCAACATCACCCGCCGTCTCCGACCAAGAAACTCTAACCCTCATCGATGGCGGTCTCTCAGGACAAGTCACCCCAATATGGCCTTTCATCCAACATCACCGCACCCTCGACGTCCTAATCGCAACCGACAATTCCGCAGACCTATCCAATAACTGGCCAAACGGCAGTTCCATCCACCAAACATACCTCAGTTCCCTCGAAGCAGGTCTCACAAGAATGCCCTTCGTTCCCCCAGCCGAGACATTCCTCGCAGAAGGCCTAAACAAACGCGCGACATTCTTCGGATGTAATGAGACTTCTGAGAAGATGATGATTGTCTATCTCCCTAATACGGAATTTGTATATCCTTCAAATACAAGCACGTCGAAACTTTCATATACCAAGGAGGAAACTACGGGGATGATTGCGAATGGTGTGGAGATTGCTTTGCAGAGTGGTAAAGAAGATTGGCCGCTTTGTTTGGCGTGTGCGATTATGAGTAAAGAGGAGGGGTTGCCTGAGGGTTGTAAGGCGTGTTTTGAAGAGTATTGCTATTATCCATGATGAGAGGGCTGCCAGATAACTACTGAGCGACAGTTATTATGACGAAGTGAAGTGTAAACGAAAACGAGGAGCATGAAGTTCGATTCAACACCGTCACTTTCCTGTACCATCTCCTTCAAGCAACGAGTCTCTACAACCCAGCATGTCATTCATCATTCCTCATACATCATCTCAGTCWTTCACGCGCCCAAGTCATAGAAGATGCACCGCTGGCTGCGAAAGTTGTAAATGCAAGCCTCGCGGAAGCCATCTYCCGTTTGCCAATCCCTGCGCCACGACTCGAGCATTTCCTTGACTTGGTGGAAATATCCTCCATCGCCCACAGGTACGCTCTGCCCCGCCTTCTTCCAACTCTCCGGATCAGACAGTCGGGTTGACTGTATGACGTCCAACAAATCATCTCTGGTCTCAATCGCCAGAGCAGGAGCATCCTTGATCCTGTCGAGGTACTCCGACCACAGTCGTTTGGTATCGTTGACGATTCCGTACTTGTTGCCCTTCTTGCTCCCGACACGAGCGTACAGCACTTGGACGCTGTGCTGGCTATCATGTTGGCTCGAGTGAGCTCGTAGCAAAGGCTGTCTAACTTTGGTATGCGCCCGATCACGTAGCTCTTGCTGAAGATGAGGGACAAGGGACGGAATGGTGACGTCCGTATCCTCATTCTCATTGTCCGTGGCTGTGACACGGACGGTTGTCGAAGCTTCGTGTCTCAAATGTACCAGAAAGGCGTAGTCTTGATCGCGGAACGTGCCTTCTTCGCTGCACATCTCAGCGCTGATGTTGCTGTCCCACAGCGCCGCCACAATCTTGAATCCTGCAACACGGAGCTCATCTGAACCGCCAMTGGCCACAACAAGCACATCACCACGCTTAGGAAGCTGTGCGTGCTGCTCCAGATCCCGGATGTACGCTTTCTTGGAGCCTGACGTACTGGCCTTTGAGAGGTGTGCGACAAGATTGTCGATTCCGATACACACACCTACAGCTCCTTGTCGAACACCTCCCATGGCGTCTCCAGTCTGAAATGACTGGATCAAACTATCGTACCGTCCGCCAGCAGCAATCACCTGGCGATTCTTCTTTTTCTCGAGAACGGCCTGGAACATCATCCCGGTGGCATAGAACTTGGCGTTGAAACAGCCGAAAGGCGCAATATAGACCTTGCGGGTGACTCCGACCACTCCCATATTCACCACAATCTGTTGCAGCTGAACAATAGCTTCTTCGCTTCTGGATTTCATCGCAGGCTTTCCACGATCGAACAATGTCCGCAAACGCTTGAAGGCTTTGTCAGAGCTCTCGCGCCAGTCAAAAAGCTTGAGATCGTCGAGGGTAGTATCTGAAAGTCCAGTCACCCGAAGCTGAGATCTTGTCTGTGCCCAGTCACAGTTGATGAATCCAAGCTTGCTAAGGACATCTTTGACGGTGTGTTGTAAGGTCAACGGCACACGACAGAAATCGAGTATGGCGTCGATCAGAATGCCATGGCTCATATGGAAGCACACGTTGATTGACGACCCAAACGATGGCAGCTCTGAAAGCAATTCGTCCACAGTTCGTATGACTTCGGCATCATTCCGTGCAAGCTCGGGCGGTCGGTCGCGCGCATCGTTAACAATGTCAAAGTCGACCTCCTCGCTGACCTTTGKACTCAAGCCGTGGAAAGTGTCTCGGGCAGCGCCGCCAAATGTGAAGCTACATCTCACAACCTCCCTCTGCCGGGCCAGACGACGGGCGTGCGGTAAGATCATGTCATACGCCAGCTGCACAAGATTACCGGAGGAGTCTAGCAGCTGCACGACGTTGCCGTTGGTGTAGTGATCCGATCGTGGAAAGACGAAAACCTGTCCACTTTCTTCGCTCTCTGCGGCGCCATGACGTCTGAAGACGGTGTCAACAACGTTTCGCACTGTATTCCTGATGTGCCAACGGGAGGCATCTTTCAAGTTAGGATCTTTGGAGTCCCACGCTAGTGCTCTTGCACGTTGGTAGCTAGAGCTGTCTGTCGAGAACAAAGCCGACAACAATTGCTGGTGGTAGGGAGAATGCGGGTCGGCGATTCCGGTCAGAGCTTCGCGAATCAACACTCCTTCCACCTTTACGGGTAGAAGATCGGAGTGTAACAATTCGGCACTGCTGGGCCGCTCGCTCGATTTATGTACCGTCAGCCGGTCGATAAGCCTGCCTTGGTTTGCTTTATCCCCGCCGACTTGAAATGCGATAGGCAGCGTGTGGCGAGCTTCTCGAATCTTTTGCAATTCCTCCAGTCTTTCCATGGATGTCCCAAACGGTTGAAACATCTCGAAGCATATGATGCCAAGGGAATACATGTCGACTTTCTCGGTATATGCAGAGCCAGACGAAGATCGAAGCTCAGGGGCGACATAAAGCGCGGTGCCAACGCTCCGTGTCATGCTGGCGTCGCCTTTGGATCCGGATGGTCCTTCGGGTGCCTGTTGTTGGGCCATGGTGGAGAGACCAAAGTCGCCAATCTTCGGACTTCCGGAGCTGTCAATGAAGATGTTATCGGGCTTCAAGTCGCGGTGTATTATACCAACGCTATGAATGTGAGCAAGACCCTCAGTGATCTGGCGCAAAATCTTCCAAGCATCGTCGTCTTCGATTCCCTTTTGGATGWGATTCCGTAAAGATCGACGATCGCAAAGCTCCATCTGAATAAACAGAGTCGAAGGCAGGCGTCTAGTATCTGAAGCCTTCTTCTTTGGTCGGGTGTGTGCACGAGGCATGTTTGTTCCATCACTGTCTGTCGATGTGCCATCGGGATCGCCACCACGATCGAAGGGATCCTCACCATCATCTGTGTCGGTCTTGTCATCTTGGTCGTCCTCGGAGTCAGAATCATCCTCGGAGTCGCTTCCAAACACAAAGCCGGCGCCACTGGAGGACACAAAGTCCAGACTAGTGCTCGGTGCCCCAAATTCGATGCTCTGGCTCTCTGTTATGTCATCTTCAGATACACTGATGGCATCCTCTGGATATGTACCATCCGTCTCCACCCACGCTGTGAAGTATCTCACGACGTAGGGGTGAACCAAACGCYCGAGAAGCATCACCTCCGATAGAACCTGATCGAGCATGTCTATTGCTGGCTTGATTTTTTTGATGGCGTACACGCCCTTTCCGACCTTACTTTGAGCCTTGACAACCTCGCCAAACCCACCTCTGCCGAGCTTTTGAAGCTCAGTGAAGTCGTTCAAATAACGAGATGGATGTTCGGGCGCATGTGTTGAGTTGTGTCGTGAGCGACGCCGCAGAGGACTTTCCAGGCCAGCATATGACTTACTGCCACGATGGTGACCGTCGGCCGTACCCGAAAACTCCTTCAGCACGGGACCATCTGTCCGCAGAAATTCGGATGCCATTAAGTCGAAGCTGGTTGATCGCTTCTTACTGTCGATGGCAAAAAACTTGTGAAGAAGAACCTCGAATGCGTCAGAAAAATTGTGCTTGTCGATCATGTCTTCAGGGGACATGTAGTCTGTAGTAGCATCCAGTCCCAAGAACATCTGCACGACCAGCACACCCAGGTCCCACACGTCAGACTTCTTTTTTGAAGTCTGAGATGAGGCTGCGCCGTCCGGTGACTGCCAACTGGCTGACACAATTGGCTGATGCTCTCCTAAAAGCGAGGCATAGCCAAAACCAGCCAGTTTTGGTGATAGAGAAGGCTGACCTGTGAGATAGGTTGTTTTTGCGCTGATACTTCCATGCACCATTCCCTTGCTGTGGAGGTAGTCAAGCGCTCCTAGAAGGTCGGTGGTGCATTGTCGAGCTTTACTCACGTGCAAATTACTCATCGAGAGAAGGTCATACAAATTACCCCTGTCGGAATACTCCCGACACAGGACCAGTTCGGAGCTGTGCTCGTCAAGTTTGTCAACACGATATGCAAGGACATTCAAGAGGTTTGCGTGCGATAGTAGCACTGCAGCCTTCAGGACCGACTCTAGAATGATAATCTCTGATCTGTCCTTCTTCAAGACTCTGCGCTTGACAGCAACAAGAGGCTTGGAGGCAGTGGAGACATGCGGTGTTCCAATATATGTGCGATTCTTCGAGAGAAGCCCTGTGCATGTCACTCTGGTAAAAGACTGAGTCTCGCTACCGACTTGAATCATACCAGCTTCGTCGAATGTGATGGTGCCGGAGTCGGCGTTGATGCTGTTCCTACGTTCCAAGGCAGGTTTGTAGGACTTTCGCTTCTGCCTCTTGACTTCCTCGTCCAGAAGATGCTGGAGCGTACGTGCCTCTTCTTCCTCGGCTTCTCTGCGCCGGATGTCTTCTGCCTCCTTGGCGGCCGCGAACTGTGCCCTGGCAGCTTCCGAAGCATTGGCACGCTCGTCGTCCAGACTGGGGAGAGCGCCTTGCTGACGAGCCAAGATGGCGTCCTCAAGAGCTTCACGCATCTCCTCGGCGATGGTGTTTATCACCGGCTCGTCCGTATCCTGCTTGGTGTAAAGAGCAATCACATTGCGCAAACGCGTCTGTGTGCGTTCATGAAAGCTCTCCAACCCTTGGATTTGGATCTGAGGTGGTGTTCTTGGGTACGTCGCCGTGAACTTGACGGATAACGTGATGAATGCATCGGACTCGGTGTGCGGTCTCAACACAAGTTTGAAAGTGCGCTCGGTGGTTGCACCCCACGCATTGGTAGCGGCATGGTCCTGAAAATCTTCTCCATAGATGGCTTCCAGAACCGCAATCTCATCATTCTGCACAGCGCTATAATCGATGCGATCTGTGTTATTCTGAGATTGGTTTTTCTTGTTTTTCGGCGCCATCCAGTTGCGGTGAAGCCCAGAACAGCTTCTCCAGCGGATAAACAGAAAGTTTTGCAGTCGAAATGAGCGGGTAGGCAGAACAGACCTGTTCTATGTGGGAGAAGTCACAGCCAGGGCTGCAAACTATACAATGGTCAGCATGGATGCACCCGATTGATGTGGGCGCAGTGAAAGCAAGTGATGTTGTTTGCAAAGGGTGCAGAAGCTCGAATGCAGTCAAGTTCGCTCGCGAAATTTAAGGTTCGGCTAGCTTCCTACGCGCTATCGCGACTGTTTACCTCTGATATCAACAGCAGCAACCGAAATCACTACACTCTTTACAATCTATTATGTTGTGACGACAGCTTAGTCGCGTACATAAGGCGAGTCTTCAACATGCTTCATTGGTTCGCAGGTGCGAAAATGCAGGACACGGGAGGTAAAAGCATTGCGACACAATTGACTGACTCTACACAACATCATAGCTGACAATGCTTTTCAGATGTGGACGCAACAGGATACATTGAGCCTCCAGAGACTCCAGCGCCAGTGTTCGCCGTTCGAGCCTTCAAACATGCCATATTCGGCACTCCCGGGACTGTACAGCCCAAAGCTTTGCGCCGGCATTCGAACACTGACAACGGAAAGCCGCGATCGAATGCGCGACCAGCAATGACTCGTCCCAAGAGTTCCAACGACACACATACCTTGGGAATAGACTATGAGGCACCGGAGCCCGCGCCTCTTCCATCTCCAACCAAAGGCATTCTGATGACCCCAGGCACTGCAGCAGCACGGCGAARGACAGTGTCGTTTGGAGCACATGTTCAGGATAACGAAGGYAAAAGGCAGGGGAAAAGTGGCTTACCGGACAGCTGTCCGGGCAAGTTTCCAAGCCCGTTTGTCAGATCGGTGGAGGCCGAAGAGGAGAAGACTGAAACCATTGACAAGGGACGCGGTCGCAACAAGCTCACTGAGAAGCTGGAGCAGGTCCGCGAAGAGTCCGCAAAACGCAAGTCTACTTCGAGCAGACAATATTCTGAGCCAGTGGAGGATACTGGTGTGGTTGTCGGCTCTACAGATGACATGCCAGAGTATTGGAAGATCATGTTTGAGCAGTATAGGGAAAGGTCGGAGCGAGAGTGTAGGAAGCTGCTCTCTAAACAGAGGGCCGCAAAGAGCTTTGCAAGGGAGAAAGACGAGCAGTTGATGGAAACAGTGGACCAGCTGAGACATGAAAAGAAGAAGGTAGATCGGCTGGAGAAACAGGTAGCAGATCTGCAAGCTCAGTTGAAGGAGTATCAGGACAAAATACGGGCTCCCTCCCCAGAAGAGCAGAATATCAAGACCGGGGTCGCGCAGGTAAAGCGCGACTCTGTGATATCTGGGTACCGACGGCATGGCGACCTTACTACATCTGCGAACGCCCAGGCACAGGAGTCCGAGAAGTCCACACGAGACACTGTGTTGAGAAAGCGTGCTTCCAAGGAGCACCTGCTCAACCACATGTCCAAGAGCACTGCCGCAGTCCAGAACGGGCACGCGAGACCGAGAGCGCGGAATCGCAGGCCTCTCAAAAAAGAGACAGAGGATGTATGGGCCCCGTCTGCAGAAGGAACGAGTCTCCTCCCGTCGAAGCCTGCTGCAATTCCTACAGCTTTCTCCCAAGCAGGCGATCATATACCCACGGAAGCCCTCAATCCACTAGAAATCAACACCCTCCCGCAAGAGCCCTTTCGGAGACCTCGTACCAAGCTCACTGAGAACCTTTCCGTGGCAATCCAAGATTCGAGCACTTTCTTGCCAGATGCAGAGAACGAGCGGCCCAACGTATTGAATGGAACTCCGGTCCCCATACGTTCGCCTGTACTCTCCCCAGTACGTTCGCATCTACGCACGGCGCCTTCGACTATGAAGGAGAACGGCCCGCCGACACCGAAGTCTCATCGACGTCCGCAGCGCGACAAACTGGATCCGGAGCCGCACGCTCGGGCTTCAGCCGAAAGGGCCGAGATGGATGATGTGATGGAAGAGGCCCGTCTCCGGCTCGCAGCCATTGGGCGAAAGGTGTCGTAGGGGAGATATATTTGAGCAAGAAGGATGACAGTCATTGTTTTTGAGCGTTTTATGTTTACAAAGGATACCCTGGCGTGAAAGCAGACGGAGAGAGATATCGTTGAATGCAAATAAATCATGAGATGGACCAATACCTCATGCTCCAATCTTGTTACAAAGGTCGGTGAAGCTGAAGCTTGCCGGCTCTCCTAGTGGTGGATTGACGTTAACGCTCGCGAACAGGTAGCTACGAGGACAAAAAGAAGCAGCCTTGTGGAAGGTCGACGTTCTCTCGAATTGCATCTTCTAGCTCGTGTTGTCGTTGTTGCAGAAAGCACGCGGCAGCCATCAATATCACCAGTCCTTGGGTGTACTCGATATCTTCTCAATGTCGGAATTGTGACGTGCTGGCCATTGATGTGTTGGACATAAACGCCGAACAGGGCGCGATGGATTTCTGGACCCAAAGAATGTCATGATTGGAGACTAGCACTGTGCGGCCTGGACGGCGTTGTATCAGGGCATTGTGGTATCTCCCATGACGCGACGAGCGGGTAGACTACAATTTGTTCACGATAGAAGAGGAAACATTGAATCACAGCTAAAAGCATCTTCGATGATAGCTACTGCTGCTGAGTCTCCATACTGCTCAAAGGCAAGCCAATTGAGGACGCAATGCCGGTTTTAGAGCTTCTGAATCTCTTGATGATAAACGCTGCCGGTGACACCTGGTTCGTTGATGCCATCCTTGCTCTGTCCTCCGCACTCAGATGTGTTTGTGCGCCATCGCAAGCCACCGTCAGGAGCCGATCCTTCCTTCAGTGCCGAGTTTGTGTGTTGGTCGCGTGACTGGTTGTTGTCATTGCGGTGGATGATGAGCTTCCTTGATGAGGGGCGAGCTGTTTATTTGCTGGGGAGATGTTAGTCGAGGATCGAGGAAAGTGTCGATGGAGATGATGCTCACGATCTGGCACGAGTCTTTCTTCTCTTCTTCTTCAGCCGGCGAACACGCTTCTTTCTCCACTTCGCTCTCATCTTGACTGTGATGGGTGTTAGTATGGCATTGACAATGGTGATGGCGCATGCTAGATGCCGCTGTGTGGACGAACCTGATTATTGCCTTGATGAGTTGATGTGTGCGTAAGGAAGAAACATCAGGTCGAGCTTGCYCAGAATTGAAGTGGGCAGCTTGGCAAGCACGCTAGCCGGCATCTCTTCGGCACTCACCGTCGGGCTTGCCCCGCACGACATCATCTGTCGGTCGCATCATTCCCGCAGGCACCTGTAACTACGGCGATCGAGGAAGGCAGAGCCAGAGCCGTATCGAGGACAGCTATTCAACATGGCCGTCTCACGAGATGCGACCTCATACCTACAACAAGTATCGGCTCCGGCGCAAGCGTCGCACAGCACACAATGCACGAAACCAGAGGCAAAGCCATTGGATCTGTGCATCCTCCTCCATTGCTCAGCTCGGCCTGGCATTGATGATTGTATGCTTTGATGGGGAGGTTCTTCACGATTTCACTGACAAAGGCCAGATATGATGGATCTCTTCACGAACGTAGAGTTTGACATCGGTCGCATGGACTTTTTTGAAGCTTTCAACATCGAAGACTATTGTTTATCGACTCACCATCTGCGATTTCGGTGCATTTCCTATGTTGACGAGAATGATCAAGTTGATCCCATGATATATATGGCTGTCGTTTCGTCAAGCGCAGTGATTCTCACTCGCTTCGGCATTGATGAGCCTCACGGTGGAATCGAGGTCAAGAGAGGTCAAGGTGATATTCTCTTGAGCCCTGGTGACCACGTGMAAGTGACGAACCAGTTCTCGCTGTCTTTCCACAAGCTGCGATGCTTCAGATCAAACCCGCCACGACTTGACGAAGTTCGGCGACAAGAGGTGACACGCTTCGCGGATCGGTTTCACCTGACGAGCCGAGTGCTAGGCATTGGTAGCTATGCTGCTGTGTATGTCGCAGTAAGAAAAAGCGACAACAAGCAGCTTGCGTGCAAGATCGTCGAGCATCGTCGTCACAGAACGAAAAGCGAAGTGATCAGACTTCGCGAAGAAGCAACAGAAAGGGAGTACACCGTTCTTAAGAATCTCTCACACCCCAATATCGTCTCTCTTGAGAAAGTCTTTCGCACTACACACAACGTGTACATCTTCCAGGAGCTTATCACTGGCGGTGATCTGCTATCTTTCCTCGACACAAGATCATGCCTCACAGAAGCCCAAGCCGCCGCAATCATACGGCAGCTTCTGGAGGCTGTCGATTACTTGCATCGCAATCAAGTTGTTCACAGAGGTATGGGGATTCAAGTGGCATTTGATGATCCAGAGGTATCTAATGTTGTACAGATATCAAGCCTGAGAACATCCTCATGACCTCCTGGCGGGATGGTACCCGAGTGGTCCTCACTGACTTCGGCCAGTCCAGGACCATTGTGGACTTGGAGAATGCAGCAAAGAACGCAGGAATTGGCCGTATGCACTCTCTTGTCGGAACCTACGGGTATACCGCACCGTAAGCTTGACATTCGTCTCTAGTCCTGTGCGATTGACCGCTGACATCTATAGTGAGGTCTACCATCAAATGAAGAGAGATCTACAAGATGGCTCTGGCTACAGCAAAGCAATCGACATGTGGTCAATCGGCTGCGTCACTGCACTGCTCCTCACCAATCAACCCGTCTTCCCAGATGGAAGACAGCTCGCCTCTGGTCTCACAACATTGTCGCAGTTCAGCTCACACCTCGAAGCATTGGACGGAAACAGCGAGATCTGGGCCAACGTAGGYCATCGTGCCAAAGCCTTCCTCCGAGGCTGTCTCGCAACCAAGGAAGACGATCGCTTCACAGCCAGAGATGGCCTCAACCACGCGTGGTTCACGCATCGAAGCTATCATGCCGAGTTCGATGCTGCATATCAACGAGCAATTCAGGACTGGAAGCCGAGACATCACGATGCTGATTTGATAGAGATTATGGACACCAGTGACATTGCAGCTGATGATGAAATCCGCTCGCGCCATTTTAAAGCCTACGAGGACCTTCATGCCAGCCCAGTGGTCCCCGATACTCCTCCGCCACAGGCCTCCTCTCCGCCGTGGAGAACTTCTACCATTCCACATCGCTGAACGAGCTATCTTACTCAGATCTCTCTCAGCCACATGTTGCTTTGCTTGTCATGCTCAACAGGCCCTCGGCGGTCCTTGGCAGTTGCTAATCAAAGAGAAACATTTCCTTTGCTATGAAATAATCCAGAACTCTAATTCCGCACCGTTTCAGTGATCWAGTGTTGTCAGACAATGGTCCTTACGGAGTGGACTGCCTTCTGGGGGTCTATTTAGTTTCGCTGCCTAGCAATACCATCAAGATAATGCAAGGAAAGAACTGCAGGGTTGGTAATACTCGTCGGGCCTTCTGATGGGCAAAGAAAATGTCATTGTAAAGCATGACTGCTCGCTAATTCTATCGCTAATTGCGCTTGATCGCTTTTGATCTGCTCTAATCTAGAAAGGTAAAGAGGTTCGTGTGAWCCACGTTCAAAGCTCTGTCAGCATTCGCCTCCTCAATCACACAACTGATATTGATCTCGCTGGCTCCTTGTGAGATCATCTCGATGTTGATTCCATGTTCGCCCAACGTGCTGAAGAATCGTCCACTTACTCCGACCATCGTCCGCAACTCTCTTCCGACGAGGGAAATGATGGCCATTCCTGGCACCAGGTCAACGTCACCCCACACACTGAGATCGTTCACAGCACCCTGCAGTGCGGCGGATTCGATCTTTAACTCCTCCTCTCCATTCCCAGAAAGCATGCTGATTTCGCTATGCAGCGCCATGCTGACGTGCACCTCGGATGAGGAGATGAGATCGACGGATAAATGGTGCTTGTCGAGGATACTGAAGATGGACATGAGGAAGCCGTGAGAGCGCGTGCGGCGCTTGGAGTGCACATTAAGCACTGTAATTCCGCGCTTCGTTGTCACGGCTGTGGGTCGTTTCGCTTTGTTCTGCCCCAGCAAGTTGGAGCTGGAGCGACCACGGAAAAGACCTGGACCACGGATTTTCACCTTCTCTTCTGGCTCTGGAAGAACAACGGTGCCTTTATTCCGAGGGTTCATGACATTCTTGATACGAATGGGGATGCTGGCCTTGATCACTTGGTCCATGGTGAATGGATGAATCACTTCAGAGCCGTAAAATGTAAGCTCAGCGGCTTCACTCGGCGTGACCGAGTCCAGAAGTCGTGCCGTCGGGCACTTGCGTGGATCGGCGGTGAAAATTCCGTCGACCTCTTTCCAGATTTGCAATTCGCGTGCCTTCAGACCAACTGCTGTCAGTGCAGCACATAGATCCGTGTACCCACGTCCGATTTCCTTTAGCAGACCTCCTGGAACCGATCCAAAGTAGCCAGTAATCACTGGAACCACGTCAGGTCCCAGAGCTTCGATTCGAGCTGCAATGGCCAGGCCAATGTTGAGGTAGAACTGCTCGTCCAGTGCTCCTCCCACGTCAAATTGGATCAAGTCGCTTAGATCGACATATGCCGCCTGCACTCCTCGACTCTGCAGCACTGCTGTCATGTAMAGACAACTGAGCTTCTCACCAAAAGAAATGACCATGTCCTCCGTCTGGTTTGTCACAGCCCGCAGGTATTGAGCGCTCTCCAAGATTCTCAGCAGCTTTTTGCACTCCGCGTTCACCATATGGCTGTACTCGTCCAGCATACTGCTGCTGCTGCCCCATACTCCACACGAATCCTTACCGGCTTGCAAGTGGTCGAGTCGGATCGCTTCCACAATCTCTCTATATTTGCCAGACGTCTGATCCAGCGCGTCAATACTGCAACGGACCAGTCGAGAGGTCGTGCCTTCGTTCTTCGAGGTCGATGTGCGAGCGGAGCAGACGACGGCAATTCGCGTGCCTGGCTCAAGGCCTGCCCTGTTGTACTCAGTACCTCGCCATGGGCGGTGTGGTCACTTCACTTACTGCACAATGTCTTCCGCAATCTTGACAGGAAACTTGCCCACACTCGTACCGCCGAACTTTTGCACCACCCAGTTTCCACCACCAGGTATGCTTTTCTCTGTTTGGTGGGGTCTTCTGTCGGTCACGCCGTTTCCCAGTATGCCATTGATGAAATTGGAGGCGTCTATGGGCGCTCGTTCCCGCCGTATTATGGGGAAATCCATTGTGAGAGAGGGCTAGGGCGAGAGTGGACTGTCGCAAAGTCCAGTATTAAAGGAGTGGGTGTGGTATGCAAACAATCGCTTGAAGAGGGTTGAAGTTGTGACTCTTCATCAAGTCGGGTGGGGGTGGGGGTCGGAGATCCGGCGATATTGCGCGAGATCTTGTTGCCGAGCTTCGCCTTTTGTCGTGATCAGATCTTGAGATGCACACGGTATTGCGCATGCGTGTGCTCCTGCGATGATGTTTGGGAATCATCAAATGACCAGCAAAGCATCTTTCCCGACAAGTAAGGTAATTGATCGCAGGAGACCCTTCCCGATGGTTCTACCAAAAACATGACGGGATGGAAGCCTTCAAAAACTTTTGCCCCGGCATCGGCCTTGGTTTTTCACATGCCACCAATACCATCGGTAATCATCTCACCGCTATAAGCGCTCTAAGCGACATTCATTCGAGACGGTTGACACCGAGGGACGGGCGAGACGAGCATTGCCAGCCCGCCGCGCCATCAATGAACAAATGCCAACGACCACCGAGGCAGGATCACAAAAGTAACGCGACCTGCGGGGAGTTCGTTGTGCCTTCGAGCAGCATCACTTTGGATCGGCACCGAACGACAACGTTCCTGGCTGTATTGTGGAGAGCAGTACCCTTCGACTTCAAACTCCTGCCTATCCTGTATGAGCATGATCAAGTCTTGATTTGACTGTGATCAATACGTGATCATTTCTGTGCTAGAATGTCGACTCAGGTCAAGAATGTATGTCTCTCTTATTGTACCATCGTATCACGGCACCAGCGCGGCGCGGTGACAGGATTACATCTCGCAACAAGTCCTCCCGGCAACTGCACAGCATAATCCGAGTCCCATCTTGTTGACATGCCGTACTGCGGGTAGTCTGTAGACACAATCTGCGCCGCACTCTGAAAGGCATTATCACGCATGGTTGTGTTCYGAGACACGACCGTAGTGATCGGTTCGTCTGCCCGGGTCCTCACAAGATAGCCTTTACGAACCAGCCGTTGTATTTCGGTCACGTTTGGCGAGTTGTATTTGATGAATGCAGCGTCGGCGTCACCCTCCACTGCATTCGTGAARACTGTCCGGTTCTGTAGTGATTCGTGACCATTTGCTCTGTACAAAGGTCGGATGTTGGCGTCCGATTCCGGGTCGTTATCGAAGTAGAACATGAATTTTCCCCGAGATTGCTTAAGTGTTGGCCAGCCATGCTTCAAAACTGATTGCTCCAAAGTCATACCAGGACGACGAAGGTCGTCTGGAACGATGAGCTTCTCGGGCGATAAGATCGAACGTATCTCGGCATCTACGTCGAGAATTTGAGGAAGCGTCCAACTCAATGCCTCTTGCGCACATACACCACCAGCGGAACATGCGGGTGCGTCTGTCTTCAGCTCCAAGTCGATAGTGAGGGGTAGGTGGCTCGGATTGGCCTGCGACCAGGTGTTCAATTGCGACAGACACTCGGTGAAGGTGTGGCAGATCGCATTAGTATCTATGTCCTTTATGTGAAAGACCTTGAGACCTGGCTTGTACATGTTGATGTCATGAAAGGGTGCGGTCTCATTGGTGAGGTTGCTCAGCTTCCAAATCAAGGGGAAAGCATATATGCCTCCCTTGGGATCGGAATGGAGGTCGATCTCGAGGGATCGAACAGACTGGTGATCAAGTTGGTCGGCCCAGCTGGAGTGAGAGTAGTACAGATTCTCCGCATTTGGCACGTATTTTTCGAAGACGTCGCGTTCGGAGCGGTTGATCTCGCGGTGGTACGAGTTGTGAGTTCCGACGACCTGGATCTGGTTCATATGCAGCTTGCTGTCATGACTATGGGGCTTGTTCGCGAGCGCCGTCTGCTCCAAAAGGCCATCTAATCGCTCTCGGTCAACTTCCTTCTTGCTCTGCGACCCCTCTGACTTACGTGTGGCGACCCAAGGCAGGAAAAATTGTGTACGCATAGCTGTCAGCCCAACTGCGATCAACGTGCAAGTTGTAACAGCAGTGAATGCTACGAGCAGCCTAGAAGTTGATCTGACCATCCTTGCGCCCAAGTGACATGTATCTTCACATGTCGTGAGGGGAAGCGCTCATTGGGCGACCTCGGTGTCCGCCGCCTTAAGGAACAACCTTGAAGTGAGTTTAACAAGCAGATGTGTAAGCGTTGTCTCCGTGCTCAGATCGTCTGATCGCTGTGAGATGGCATCTCCACTACATTGTTCCCAACTCACCATCTCTTCCAAATCCGCACCACCTCACAATCACAATCATGACGTTTCTCACGCATTCGCGCGACTCACCATAGTCATGCCGCCCACCCTACTGAAGACTCTCGTAGCGATGCAGTCACCACTGTGGGTCTGCGTAAGTGGCTTGTCGCTCAGGAGATGCGACGGAACGACTGCTCGGAAGGGCTTGGCTGACCGCGTCCGAGCTTTCTTCTTCCGTCCGTCTCGCGTCTTCATTTTTCTGCCCACCTCCCTCGCCAATAATAGAAGTCCGTTGACATCCGAGAGAACTGATCTCTAGGCTGCCACTGGACATTTGGTCCGTTGGGCAGGTATTCTTCACGTTGATGAAGATCTTAACTCGGCCCCGACACCTCCTCGCCTCGCATCGGCACCTTAAGAATTGCTCCGACACCACCTGCATCTTCTAGGAAAAGCTCTACAGGGTCCAGGATGTCCACGCCAGGCGACAACGGCGGCACTATCCCCAAGCGAAGACGGATCGAACGTGTAACGGCGGCTTGCGACTTGTGCAAAGCTCGCAAAGTGAAGTGCGACGGGCAAGTCAGCTCACAGGCGGAAGACATCAAATGCTAACGTGTTCACCCTTGCTAAAGGCAGACGCCCTGTAGCTACTGTGTGAGGAAGAAACGCGCAGACAACTGTGTATTCTCTGGTCCGAGGCCTCGCACGGTGCAGTCGGCGTGCAATACGCCTGGAAATGCCGTGCGAGTCGATCCAACACAGCTACCGGCCCTACAGAGGCGTCGTAGCGAGGAACATTCGCATAGGCCTAGAGAACTTCAAGACCACGGGCTCGGACGATCTATATCTCCCAACGTAAGCAGGGATGATCATCAAGAGGGTACAGCTGTTCCGTTGGAAGCTCGACTACTGCGTGACGCCCAAGGAAAAGTCATATTCATCGGTGATTGCGCACCGCTGTCGTTTCTGCAGACTGTGAGACACCTCATTGCCTCAGAAGTCGATCCAGATGGATTCCCAGTGGCATCTTCAAGGGTGAGTTCGTCCGAAAGCAATGGGAGGGACAAGTTGCCAGATGTCTCTGGATTGTCCCTCTCCGCCACTTATCGAGCCACTCTGCGATTGGAGAGCATCCTGGCGAGTCCAAAATGAACAATTGTCACGAGAGACCGTGCCGAGCTAAGAGAAGCGTTTACTTTGCTTATCGTTGCGGTAAAAGGCTTTTCAATCGCTCTCTCCAGTATTGCCCTGCACTCCATGACGCTGACACGACACAGGACTCTATCGTCGAGGTACCGCGGCCGGAGCTGTCAGACCGGCAATCATCAGCTTTCGGTGCGCCCACTGCACCGCTCGAACTTGCGGGTCTGATCGAAGAGTATTCGATAGCTACCACAGGTCTTGTAGACCTCTTCGAAAAGGGGGAACTGCAGTCATGGATCACAAATGCTCCTAGCACTGCCCCGTACTTTCTTGTACTGGCCATTGGTAAACAGGGGAAAGACGAAGTCAAGGCAGAATCATGGTTTAARCGTGCTCGCGACGATCTGCTCATAAACTTATGTGGCAGCATGAATGTGGCCACAGTACAGGGCTTTGCGTTGGTTTCTTTATACATGCTGAGAGCGTTTCAACCCAATGGAGCTTACCTGTACTTTTGTAAGCTTGAGCAATGGCGTTCTGCCAATGTTTACAGTTTCACTGATCTTTATCATAGCACTGGCTGCTCGTACAGCGTACGCAATCGGTTTGCACCGTACAGAGGTCAACGCTTCTTTTGGATCAGCAAAGCACGCAATGAGAGACCGAATCTGGAAAAGCCTCCGCGTTGTCGACATGCTTATAAGCAACCTTCTGGGCCGACCACCTTCGACATCGGACGTCGACTGCACTGTCAAGTACAACGCTTCGGAGACCAGCCTTCCATTCCTGGTACTGGACTCCAGTGTCCAAATTTTCATGATCATTGAACGAGTGGTCGTTGAGGTCTATTCGCGTAAACGAATCTCTCTTCGCATAGCGACCTACGTCTCTCATCAGCTCAAGTCATGGGCATCAAGGTGGATGAGGCAGTTTGTCAATATTACCAGCCGGACTACTACCAGCGTGACTGGGCGCGACTCCACTGTAAGTAGTGTGACGAAAGAAAGACATTCAAGGCCAGGTTTGAGTTATCATGCCAACGGGCAGGTGTACGCAGGTGGTAAATCGGAACTGTTTCGGGGAACGCTGGGCTTCTATCGTGTGAGACGGTGCTAATTCTTCTTCGTTTTCTTTTCAGGTGGGGGCTTGTCAAGTGTTGTGCTCCTATTACTACGGCATAATGCTTCTCACAAAGCCGTTTCTCCTATACGAGCTTTACGACGTTCTGGGAGCGCCGGTCAAGGCGCCCACCACCCAAGCGGAGAACGATGAGAAGAAGAAGTTCGCTGACGCTGCGCTAGATGCAGCCTCATCGTTCGTGGAGACACTGCAGGCCGTGATCGCCACAGGCAGCATGCCACTTCGCATGCCCCTGATTGTGTACGTGCTCATCCGCGGCTGCAATGAAAGATATTTGACTAACATAACACAGCTCTTGGCTTTTCACGACTTCGCTAGTGCTCGCGATCGGCAATCTTGGTCAGAGCGGGCTTGTGTTTGAGGAGAGCTGCCAAGCCTCCATCCGGTGTCTGGACTATTTCGCCAAAGTCGATCCACATGCTCGTCAATATTCACTCATTGTGCAGTCTCTACTCAAGACAGTGGTCAAGCATGTTCGGGAAAGGGAACTTCTTGTTCGGTCCCGCAGAAAGCAGGCATCTTCTCAACTATTTGGCTTGCTACCTATTGATGATGGAGAGACTGAGGTGCAGCCACCGCAAGCTGAGAGGACAGATCATGACACGCCTCCATTGATGCCTGATCAGGAAATCACATCTGTTGCTGCTGCACCCGCGGACTTGACCATGTACGACGCCGACTTCTTTGCGATGCCGTGGCTCAATGAAACCGACGAAGGTCTGCAAGACTTCCTGCAGCCTGGTCGCCAAACGCTCGACGGCTCTCTTGCGGACATTCCGCTCTTCCCTATGTAAGTCTAACCAAAAACTGAAAGATCTGACTCTGGTGCGTCTCAATGCATCGATTCTTTCACATTTGCCGAACGCTCGGGCCGTCAATCGTCCCCATGTGCGAATGGAAGACTGTCCTCCGAGAGAGAGTTTTTCAGAAAGCCAGCGAGTTTTCCCTCGTTCGAGATCGCTGCTCTCTGGATTATGCTGACGTTCCTTGATTTCCCCTTAGGTATGACCAAATGACTGGCTCGTTTGGGCCTGATCTAGCCAATGGGCTGTGACGAGGTGGGTGCACGCAGAAAGTTCGACCGCGAGACAGGTCATCCAACCGCAACAAACAACGCCGCCTCACCCTACTGTGGCATCCCTGGTCTCATCCCTTGACGTTCTCAAAAATGGAATCAACTTGGTCCCACCTGTGCCGACGAGATCTTCCGTGGCAGGCACTGCTGATGACAGCTTTGTGGAAGCGGACGCGATGCTCACGCGGTCTTTTTCCATGGGCAACCGAGGCATTCTGCTTGGTAGGATGATGTATCTCGTGACTAGTTGGATATGCTTGTCACGGAAGCCGCTGAGTACTGCCACAACGCTGTTGTACGCCGCAAGTAGATCAGAGTTCTCCTGGTGTTCATCGACATAGCCTCGGATGTTTGCAATAGCCTCGATGTCGTCGAGGAATCTGGCATGCGGCCCTGGCATGTATCTTCGCATCTCCTGGTGGAAGTTGCTGCATTTGGTGTGTTCCACACCAAGAACTGCATCGAAGAATTGGATCAAAGAWCTCTGGCCGTTGCTCCCGCCACGTAATTTGCGCCACGACCCTTTTCCGCTKCCTTCGTCATAGAAGATGCCGTCGGGTAAGCCTGCGGTCTCCATGTTCATACTGCCAGCCAGGAAAGGTCGAATCTCGTGGTAGAAATATTGCGGGCGACATTGCTCATCCATGCGTTCTAATAGCGCGCCGATCTCAACAATACTTTGACCAAGACTGTCCAGGCTATCAATGATGATTGCCACATCATCTCGCTCAACAGCTTCCATGGCTTCCAGCATCATCTTGATCAAGGGCCCTGCTCTTGCTTCCATGGCATTTGAAATGATAAAGAACCAAGACTCATCGATCGATCCGGTCTGAGTGTGTATCGATACCAAGTTGTCGGGATTCGAAAAGTCGACAACACCATCTTCGATCGTTGTCCAATTCCAAAGATTGAGTGCTGCATAGGTCGCGATCGGGTGAACCTCGAGGTGCTCGGCTGCTGCAAGAAAAGAGACTGATATAGCCGGTGGTAGCCGCTATCTATTGTCAGCATGTGATCGGTCTCAGACCAGCGTGCTACTGACCTGCGCGGGTTCCGGGCCTTGCCAAACGTATGCTTGAGTCAGGATTGCGAGTACCGAGTACGCCCTCTGCCACTCTGGCTCACTGCTCAGGTGCGATGTGTCTAGGACTGGCAATTCGTCGACTCGTTGCCGAACTTGTCTGGACTCGAGGAGCTCGGGCAACATCTCAACAATGGCTTCCCACGGCTGATAGTAGTCGTCTGGCAGGCGGCTTAATGGCACTTCTGCAGGAAGGAATCCATTCTCGGAAATTTTATATGATGCGAGTGCTGCTGGCGAAGGCAGGGGACTTAGTCTTGCGGGGCTCATGGTGTGTCGATGTTGTTGTTGAACTGAGAATGGCTGCGTAGGTGGAGCAGAGGCTGTGTAGTATGTTCAATGGTGAGGACTACGCTGTTCGGCCATTATATGGCGTGTGATTGTCCAACACACAAGGAAACCTACGGATCGGGGCAGCAATCCGTTCCGCAATGCCGTTCTTTTCTTTCACTCGCTTCACTGGTGGAGTACAGGGGTCAAGGCTGGTATCTACTTAGGATATCCTTTGTGTGAGGTTGCCGGAAATGGTTACATTTGCAAGAAAGAAGTCGTTGACGATTGGCCCCCTTGTCCATRCCTGCACACTCACTTCTCAAATTGACACCTAGAATAATGATCGCAATGCAAGTATCATCAATCCGTGCCATGGCTCTGCCACCGTCCACAAAATGATGTAAACAAATGGCCCGTGTGCCAGTGTCACAATAGAACTCCGTCTTCCGTCAGTTCCTTCCGACAGCATGTGTCGAAGCGATGTGGACATCGTGTGGTTTTGCACATGCACCACACAACTCTTTGTAGAATCCTTCAAATCCACAGCTTGATAGGCCGAGAGCTGTTTGCACGCACCAGCATCCACAATATCTTCCGCTAGCGCGCGTTGCACCTTCCGTACTTTGCCTCCTTCCTCATTGGTGACGGAACTTGATTCGAAATAAGAATGTCGTCGTCGTAGCAGTCCTTTCAGCACTCGCATCATAATCATTCATCAAAACCTTCACTTCACCTTCATCCCTACTTCGAGCACACACATCGACACACAATGGACGTTCATAGTGCCATCGAAACACTTCGCCGTGGCGAAAAGCCCGAGTGGCCAACCCACACGAACTCTCTGGACTTTGCACAATCTCTCGATAATGTCAAGGACCTTCCCAGGTACGCATCACACGGCAATCCCATGATCATCCCTGATTGTTTGTCGAATTGCCATTGACATATGACAGTTTCCGGAGTGAATTCGTGGTGCCGACCAAAGCTCAACTGAAACGAAAGACACTTGCAGATGATGCACAAACAAGCGCAGTTGCATCAGGCCCAGATGACGAGAGCATATACTTCTGCGGAAACTCCTTGGGTCTTCAGCCAAAGGTCTTAACCGAATATATGGCAGCTTACATGAAGACATGGGGCTCCATTGGCGTCGGTGGTCACTTCACAAACTTCGAAGACTCCCCGTTGGCACCTTTCCAAGACATGGCGGCGGATTGCTCCAAGAAGACCGCTGCTCTAGTCGGTGCTTCCCCCGAGGAAGTTGTAATCATGAACACGTTGACTGTCAATCTTCATCTCATGATGGCTGCCTTCTACAAGCCGCAGGGAAAGAAGACCAAGATCATGTGCGAGTGGCGGCCGTTCCCAAGCGATTGGGTATGTATACCACATGAAAGCCTGCTGGTATATTGCTCATACTCTCCCAGTACGCTATTGAATCTCAGATCGAATGGCATGGTCTCAACGCCAAGGAGAACATGTTACTTGTTGAGCCTGATGACGGCTACATCATGACAACCTCCAACATCATTTCTCTCATCGATAAACAYGCCGATGAACTTGCTTTGATCCTTCTCCCTGGCATTCAATACTACAGTGGGCAATTGCTGGACATTGCTACTATTACCAAGCATGCACACTCTCGCGGACTCATCATTGGCTGGGATCTTGCACACGCAGCTGGTAATGTCGAACTCAAGCTACATGAATGGGGTGTTGACTTTGCTTGCTGGTGCAACTACAAGTACATCAACTGCGGAGCTGGTGGTATGGCTGGTGCTTTCGTTCACGAGAAGCACGGCAACAATGGCTCGAACACCGGATTGAAGGGATGGTACGGCGGTGACAAGTCTGTTCGCTTCTTGATGGACAACAGTAAGTTATTCCCCTACCATGATAATGTTCAATCCCGGCTAATTTCTACCAGAATATGTCCCTACTCCAGGTGCCCAGGGATTCCAACTCGCAAACCCATCCGCAGTAGACTTGACCTGCCTATCCGCCTCCCTATCCATCTTCGAAAAGACATCCATGTCAGCCCTTCGATCAAAATCATTACTACTCACTGGCTACGCCGAGCACCTCCTCAACCAAATCTCAGAGCGAGACTCTGCCGAAACGGTACCATTCCAGATCATCACACCCTCAGACCCAAGACAGCGCGGAACACAGCTCAGCGTACTTCTTCGCGAGGGACTGCTAGAGCCGGTCAGCGCCGCTCTGGAACAGGATGGAATCATCTGCGATAAGCGAAAGCCTGGCTGTATTCGCGTCGCTCCTGTTCCGCTTTACAACACGTTCAGCGATGTGTGGCGCTTCATGCAGACTCTGGAGCGGGCTCTGCAACCAAAGGTACAGGAAGATTTGAACGACAAGTCGGGCGCTCTTGTGCAAGACCATGGACAACACCAGGCTGGTGCGGAGGTTGATGCTAGATTGTAGCTCCCAAACTAAGTAACACACGATGTAATGAAATTTAAGCGCAATGTGTCCGGGAAGCTGAGTGGACGCGGTGTTGTGAAATCGGCGTACTGATCTGTTCAATTACGCTCTCTACGCAGCGGTTGATTCGAGTGCTGCTGGAGCTTCACAATGAACATAGTTACAGGCGAGAGTGAAGCAAAGGCAATTCAATTCATGGGGTCTCGTGTCAATAACGCCGCGCTAAAGTGCAGTAAGTGTGAAAATCAGCCCGACGAGATCTTCACGCCGTACAGCTGTAGTCTCGCCGCAACACGACGACGACAGACCGGACAAATTTCGATTCGAGCGGCGCATTCGCGGCAAGCGACGACATGGCCACAGTCGTAGAAGGCGGTGGTCATGTCTTGGTCGTAGCAAATGGTGCAGCGGCTCTTGTCTTCTTCCGTGACGGTACCCTTGAGTGTGAACGAACCGTGCTTCTTGCCCTCAAGCCAGCCGCCCTCAAACACATTCCCCGAGGAGAGCTCGGTGAGTCTGCCCCGACCGTGATGCTTGTCTTCCTGCCACTCGCCCTCGTAAACGTCACCAGTATCAGCATAGATCATCTTTCCAAATCCATGCTTGAGGCCCTTCTCGAAGCTTCCGAGATACTCATCGCCGTTTGTGGCGATGTGGTAGCCGCCACCGTGATACTTTCCATTCTTCCATTGACCCTCGTAGTGGCATCGCCCTAGCCAAGAGAAGGTGCCCTTTTCAAGCGTCGTTCCATCAGTCGGGTCGTCCTCGATGATCGATCCCTCATCAGCGTCGCGCATRATCGCATCTCCAACGTTCATGCCATCCGGCTCCGGGGTGGCGGCACCCGCCGCCCTGGGAACCACAAAATTCTCAATGGGAGCCGCGTTGAATGTGTCGACCGCAACATCGTCGCGCACATACATGACGATTGAAGGAACCTCGTTTTCTTTAGTCTCATGAAAGTTGCTGAACACAGAATCGTAGCCGTCATGCGGACTCCTCGATCTACCTAAAAGAGTGAAGTGGTTAGCAGCTGAGGAAGACACTTTGCAGATTTACTTACCGCGGTCATCGAGATCAGATCCAAAGTAGCGATCACGAGCCTGCTTCTCTGTGAGACGAGTTACGAGCCCGTCATGGTAGCCGTACCATCCCTTTCCGACGCCATTTGGTCTCACATAAGTGTTGTATTTTGAAGACATGAGATGCCCACAGTGAGTGATGAAGGCAAACAGCGTGTATTGAGACCCATTGACTTGAATATGATCATTAAGGCGGACACTGTTAGWGATCTTTTTCCATTTGCGTGTTTTCTTGTCATGCTCCTGGCGTGTAAGTTCCATGGTCAATAGCTGTGGACATACGATGGTCTTCGGGTGGTGGTCCACTGCATCCTGGATGGTCACGTACTCCTTGGTGTTGAGTCGACTCACACCGCATGCCGAGCCTCTCTCCAGGTCGAACACGCCCACAATTTCTTGCCACTGCTGCACAAGTGCAGGGTCGTTTTCAGAGTTGAAAAGAGCRGACATCTTCCACATCATCTCCATCACATCGCCTTCGTGATAAGTTCCGCGCGCGTTATGGGTTGAAGATCGCTGGCGGCTATACATCTTGAGCAACAGCGGTTGCAGCCATTCTGCTAACTGCGTGTCAGCCGGCATTTCATGGACGAGTCTGCGAAAGGGTGCAAAGTGGAGGAGCGGAACCGCGCCAGCAACGTATTGTGACGACTTTCTGAAGGGTCTGAGGCCTGTAACAGAAACGATCTGATCCGAAGCACCACGTTGCGCGCTGTGCTCCCACTTGCTGCCGGTGGGATCCTCAATGATTCGGACATACGCCTTGAATGCAAGCTTGTCGTTGCGTAGTATGGCCTGACGCTGAGTGTGCTGCCTGATGTGGAACTCGCCGCGCGGATACTTGCTGAAGTAGACCCATCCATAGTCGGCTTGCTTCTTGTGGAATTGATGGGCCTCGGATCGGTGTTCATACACCCTGGGCTCCTCGGGGTTGTACATGACGACCAAGAACTGTGCAGCAACTGAGCGGCGCTTGCGGATCTGGCTGGCGTCCTTCAGAAAAGGGAAAGGTGGGTGGTGGAACTCTTCCGTCTCGGCATAGTCTGACTCGAGCATGCTGATGCACTCGAGATACACACTGAGATACTTCGAGCCGTGACCCTTGGGGTGAAACTTGATCTGCCAGTCCAAGCCGCCAACACGGACGACTGGAGAGCGCATGATCTCCTCATTGTTGGGGTTGTCCTCTGTGCCGTTGAAGGCCTCCACAAGCCAATCAATGCGTCCGCTCTCTCCTGGGACCAGCTCTGGATCTTCTACATCGAAGGACATCTCTTTCTCCCAGTATTCGTGGTCGAGCGCGCTCCGCTCCCCCTTGCTAACAAGGAACTCCAGCTCGTCTTCGCACGGCACTGTCAGATCTTCTGTGATCGGCGCCCATGCTCTCGGCGAGTCATCCCCTTCTTGCGTGTCGTACCCGTCACTCCCCGTGTAATCCGAWCCTGCCCTTCCTCTTCCTCCGCCTTCTCCTGTTCCTCCTTCTGCTCCTCCCCAAGAAGCTGGAGCAGCGGGCGGATGTTGCGTGATTGTAGCGTCGGACGTGCGGAGCTCCGGGGGCAGATTGCTGGCAGGAGGCGGCGGTGGTGGGCCCTCCACGGTGGCGTCCATCGTAAGTAGGTGGGCGTCAAAGAGGTGATGTCGAAAGGAGGGTGCTTTGCGGAGAGGTAGATGCACGAGTGCAATGATGTCGATGGCAATCGAAAAGTCGCGAATGTCTCGGTAGCTGGTGGTGCCTTGGAGACTTAGAAATAGCTTCTTGTCATCGGWCAGCCAAATCCCTTTAATCTTTGCTCATGTGCACCCTCCACCGCCGAAGTTTGATCGACACAGATCACTGCTTCGAATGACAGCAGATAAGGACAATTCCTAAATGTTTTCGCGCGTCGGAAGGGAAGCAACTCCGGCGTTCCAGGATGCTTGTGACGGCGAGTGCTCGAATCGGTGCACTGAGAGCGCGGTTGAGGATGGTCCTCCAGGCAGAAGCAGCCTCAAATGTGTCATCGGGATGCTGGTGCTGCACAGCTGCCCAGGATCGGTAGGTAGATCATCAAAGTGGATCGGTGAACGCACGTGAATGCATGCACCTGCATGGACCCTTCCAAGTTCCAACCACAGCCCCGCGTTCTGTCCAAAAACGGCAGGGCTGCGGTACCACCAAGCCACAAAATACAGTGCAGTGAGATATGTATCATCTGCGGCCTGGACACGGGTAGTCAGTTCAATGTACGAAGACTTCCGTTGAGAACAAGTGCAGCAGTTCACATGATAGATGCGTCGACGATTTTTCGGCCCGAAATTTCGAGGCGATCGATAAGGTAACTCTGGTAAGGTAGCTCTGCCGTAGAGTGATCAGATTTAAAAAAACGTCTACAACCACGCCGCTCTACGTACCGTGTCCGTCGATGGAGCCGTTCCTCCCAACGGTTGTAAAGGTGCATTGTCAGCCATCCGCGTCCGCCCGTCTGGTCCTTGCAGACAACTACCCCTGCGGCAAGCGCTGTGTTTCGCTGTCAGGTTACCCGCAGGCCTACCCCCTAGATGCTGATGTACCTTGCAGAAGCGCGGTAAGCTCGAACTTATCCAAGCAGACTCTACCAGTTGGCATCACTTAKGCTCACTCACTTTCGCAAAGGTGGCGGCAACGATCAAGGGAAACACAATTGTTGCTTCAGCATAAACCTGCGATTGCATTAGCGTGACGCCGACGTTTGCAATACCGAGGTCGTAGGGGACATCAGGTGTGATGAAGAGGGACGTGTAGCAGCCGTTGAGCTCTTGCACTGGTTGGGATCTGTTTTTATCCCGTCTGTGCCCAGGAACAACTTGAACGTACCTTCACGCTGGCCGCGTCTGCCTTGATCTTACCCCAACTGACAGCTTCATCTGGTCGGGCACCAGCATCAGAGCCGTCGAACTCCTGACCTGTGTTGATGTAGACGGCACTCTCAGCGCCATTGCGCATGAGGTTCGCGTTAGCGATATGATGTTTGACAAGCCCTCCGCCGAGGATGATCATGCCAGTCCTCTTTGCGCGCACGGCCATCGTGTTGATCCTGCGAATGTCTTCCACAATGTCGACCCGGAGCTGCAAAGGCGAGGTCTTGAATGTGTGGAAATACAACATGTCTCCGAGACTGCCATCGGTAAGAGCTGGACAGAAGACGGGAATGTCGTTCTTGTAGGCCCAATAGTACACTGAGCGCTCATCATTGATCTCTTTCCCTAGCCTCGCGATAATCTTGCTGGGTGTCCAATGCAGAGGCTCTTCCGCAGTCTTTGAGGCTTCCTGCTCTTCCAACATCATGTCCAAAATCGGCATGACCCAATCCTCAAACTTGCAATAATTGTCGTTGGGCACCACAAGGTTCCCGATGCGGTTCATTCCTTTGGCACGCAGAGCAGCACCGGGTGTGGAGAACGCTCCCAGGTAGGTCTCGCCCATGCATTTGATAAAGTCTTCTTCCACACCTCCAGCCGTCGTGACGATGGCAGAGACATGCTTGTGCTGAACAAGCCATCTCAAAGTCTCTCGCAGGCCAGAGGATATCAAATTAGAAGTGTAGCCGAGGAATATCGTCGTCCGGTCGCCCGTTTCCTGGTCACGCCATGTTCGCTATAGCCATGGTCAACAAAAGCGGTCCACAAGAGTGAGACGTGTCGGCGTACCATGCCATTGACTATATCCACAGCCTGGCCTATTGACGTAGCTTGAAACCCCACATTCTTGAGATTTTCCACCAATTCCGCCACGGTAATATTGCGATCCGCAAAGGCATCAAAGTCTAGTCCTTTAACGGGGATTGCTTCCGCCGGGACTGGGTCCGACGGCTTGAGAACTGCATCTGTTACAGCTGCAGGTGCTGCGTCGTTGGCAGGGGACGCCATCGCATGCCCTGTCGGAATGTAAGACGAGACGGATCTTGGACAACAAGAGAAAAAGTCAACAAGTCAGCAGCCGAAATCAGGCTTCACGATCCCTGCACAATGGGCCGGGCCGCGCGAGGTTGCGCATGGCAGTCTCGATTCTCGAGCCGGGGCCGTCGACTCGTGAACCGGAGACCTCCAGCTTAGGGTTGTTCATACACGGTGTATTTAACTTTCGCATTATGTACACGTATATGTACACTACGTACACTACGTGTACGTAGCGGCTGCGCTAACTAAGAAGGGTATAGATATAAGTAAATCTCTATAAGAGGATTAGATCTAATTACGTAACTGCCCTTACTACTTACTACTTATAGCTTACTATTACTAGCTACTAGCTTATCGAATTAGTTATTAACTATTACTTTAAGGAGCTCTAAAAGGCTCGCTAGAGCCGCTTTATTATTATCGGCTTTATTAAGAAGCCGGTTATCTATCTTATATTTAATGCGGAGGTTCTAATAAACGTATACTAGCTTATTTAGAGCGTCGTATAAGAGCTAGTTACGAGTTAAGCTTATAATAAAGCTATACGCAGACTAATTACGCTCTATAATACCGGTAGTTAAATAGATAGATAGCGATAGTAATACGAGCTTAGTTAGCTCCGGATATTGCTTCTAAAAGTTGTTAATCTACTACTATATAGTTAAGCCTCTTAATCTAGAGGCCTATACGATCTTATTATTAAATTAACCGCTCTTATTACGGAGGGCGAATAGGTTACTAAGGAGCGCTTTAGCTCGCATTTTAAGCTCTACGGTAGACTTTAATTTACTAGCTATTCTTAATAATAGTATTAATAGCCGTCGTTAAGCACGGTAATACGTAATAAGGTATAGTAAGAGCGAATGTAGCGTGTCTTAATTAACGATAGTAAACTCGTAATCCTTCGAACTACGATACTTTATATTACCGAGGAAGGCCGGAATCGATAGCTAGTAATATAGCTAGCTATACTAGTAGTTAATTAGATGCTTAATCTCCTACAAAGGTAGTAATATATTAATCTAGCTATAGTTAAGAAGGTAGCGGTAATTACTATAAACGTAAGATAGCTTTAGTTAGTCTACTTCGAGAGTAATAGTTACCTTAAGGAAGGGCTCTAGTATATTAATAAACGCCTTATACTTAGAGAAGAACGAGGGCTTCTCGGCTATACGCTTAAATATTAACTATTATTACTTCTAAGCCCTAGAGGTACTAGTAGGCTCGGTAACTCTATAGCCGTAGTTTAAGTATACCTCTTAGAGCTAGAAGCGGTTATTATATATTAACTTAGCGCATAAAACCTTGCCCTACTAGCGTGTTTCTCCGGCTAGTTAGAACCGGTAGTAACTACCCTTACTAATATTCTATAGAACCTCCTATAGTAGGTTCGTATACTTCTAGTAGCTAGCGAAAAAATATAGTCGTTCGTAGATTGTATTAACGATATCGTAGCCGGTAATAAGGCCTATAAGGATAGTAGTTTAATAAGATATATAGCCGAGTGTTTAAAGTTAAGGGAATTAATTCTTAAGCTACGTTACCGTACGTTAGTTTATTATTAACTATATAGGCAAAACCTCTAGGACTTACCTGCTCTCTTATACTATTTATTACCGGTATATTATCTAATATAACTACTATAACCTTGCTCTAAGGAAACTACTAGATTATAGATATAAGGTGCTTCGCTATATTTATAGCTATAGCGCGTTCCGTACTATATTTCGAAGAATAAAGGAAGTAGGCTGCTTTTAACGATATAGTAAGGAAGTTAGTAGTATAGCGGCTAGCTCTATTAGTCTATTTATTACTAACTAGTATAACTCTCTTAGCCCTCCTTAGCTCTTTATCTATCGCTTCCTTTAGCTCCTTATAAATTAGTAGAAGCTACCTTTTAGTAAGCTGCTTTCTTAGGACCGGCCTATACGCTAGCCTTATCTAATATAGTATCCCTCGAAATAACTAATTATTTATAGTATAAAGCGCTAAGCTAGTACCGAATATTTACGTTATAATCGCCTTATATAGAGCCTCTACCTTAGCCTCCGAGATACGGTCTAGCTAGCTATTAATTGCCGGAGGTTAAGGGATATCCTCTTTACTAGTTAGTTCGTATAGCTTATTATCTACCTTATACTTCTAATATACTAGCTAGAGGGCCTCCGGTAATACCTTATAACGGCTTAGATACTATAATATACGACCTCTCGAATTTAACGTCTATTCGTTACTATAATAACTATAGGTAATAAGCGGATACGGCCGTCTAGCAGATACTCGCTATACTTCCCTCTAGTAAATATTCTTACTTCGCTTTCGCTTACTACTACCGCTACTAGTTAACGAGAAGGATATAGATAGTATTAAAGCTTTAGGGAATAGCGGTTAGTTAGCTATAATACATTCGAATTAAAGCTCTAGATATAGGCCTATATATAGTAGTATACGGATACCGAATAAGATAGCCTTATTTCGTTCGCTAAGCGAACGATAGTTATAATACCCTCGGCGTACGGTAATTATAACACGAAATTACTCCGGCTTGCCTAATGCGGAAGGCCGTTCGGTATACATAAGGACCTCATTTTAGAGACCCTGTATACACCGTATATACACCGTGTGGAGCGCTAGTGTGTAGTACACTAAACATCCCTACTCCAGCTATACGCATCGATAGTCAGTCAGGGCAGACGATGGAACATCCAACTGTCGACAGCATGTGTGTCAACGTGACCAGAACCAGTGGATGCGAGGAATTCTACATTTCACGTCAGAAATCCGGTTCTGCGTTCACGATCTGACGCGCATCCGCCGCGCAGCCACCACACCGAAGCCATGAGATTTAAAGTTTTCCGGCTAAGTCTCCAATTCCCTTTCGTCACGCACAGAACGCTACCTAGTCATGCACTTCTACAGTAGCGTGTGCGTGGGGATTCTCGGGAATGCCAAACGCAAGCTGTCTCGAGCCCAACGGGTGATGTCGTAACAATGTTTGCCAGACTACAAAGTGTAAAGTACGGAGCGAATACGCACAGCCTGTAGGACCGAGTCGCAGACAGGGCAGCTACATTTCTTTGTCGCGATGGTTTTGTGCCATGCTGTGCTGTGTCGGGGAGATCTGGGATCTGAAACGATTTGGGGGTTTGCATCTGCACATTCCCATTGGCTTGTAGTTTAGCGGCTGCGCTTGCCGTGGACCCAGCAAGGCTTGAGGTTCAAGGCTCATCAAGGATTCTGTTTCTTCACCACAACAACATACCCCACGAGTGCAAGCTTATCGACTCCGCACCAAGTCGCCCAAGGAATCACAAACCTGCTCGTCAAGGCTGCATCTTCTGGGACTTTCCGTCCAGGACTCTCCCGCCCGCGCCACGCGAAAAAGCCGACAGGAGTGACGCCTCGACCTCACCTCACCTCGAAGCAGATACCGCTGCAAGCTAGAATTCTCCTAGACCGCCCTGCTGCGGCCGAGGTACACCGCTGTAGTACCTCTGGCTGGTGCGCTGTTGTCATCTGGATCTGCTGGACTTGCTCAGAGCTGAATTTGCGACGTGACCTTGGATGTTTCGCCTTCGCTCTCAGCGTCTTGCAAACCGTGACTAAGCACGGCGTCAAATGTGACGGCATTGACATTTACATCGACATTGACGTTCGACCCACGGTGCATGCTACGCGAAAAGAAACACTAATCCGGTGCTAGCCAATGCGGTAGCTTTTATTTCGTCCGACAAACCGTGGTATCCTTTGGGACTTCGGTCGCATCTCCGGCGACCGATGTCGTATCGTGGTGCTGGATATAGAGGACCGCCGGGAGACCGGTCACGCTCACCACCGCGGTTCGCTGACCGAAGGCCATCTAATGCCATTGTGTACGATGCGAGACACAACAATGGACAGCCTCCGCCGCGTACCGATGCGCCAAGAGGACCCAGATCGCAGTTCGATGGGCCTCCGCTCCGCGGACCACCACCCGGCGGGCTCAATCCTAGCGGGCCCCCTCGCACGCTGAGAGATGCACCGCCGCTGGGCAGTGGTCCCAGACCCTTCAGAGAGCGCGACTTTCCCGATCGTCGCCCGTCGCCACCGCTTCGCGACAGGTCTCCGCCAAGGAAGTTCAACGAACCCCGGGACTTCCCGCCACGCGACATCGATGTTCGCAGTGCCAGAAGATCGAGCAGAGATGGTCCCCCATCTGCAGGTTCGAATTTCTCTGAAAGTTCGCCCTTCTCAGGGCCTTCGTCGGGTTTTAGGGGCGGGTTTGGACGCGGCCGCGGCCGTGGAGATTTCGAGCATCGAGGCGGCATTCGCGGAGGACGACGCCCTTTTGACGACCGACCTGACCTGTTCCGACGCGAGCGTAGTCCGCCGCCACGGTTTGGGCGTGAACCACCGCGTGAGGATCGTGAGCCCGAGCGTAGGGAGGAACGAAGGTTCGAGCGTCGTGAGGACGACCGGAGACCAGAATGGCTAGATCGAGAACGAGAGATAGATCGAGCGAGGAGAGAGCCACCGCCTGTTAGACCAGATACTAGGATTGGCGGCGAAACGGTGTCAAGCCATGCGCCGCCCCCATATCAGGCCCCGCCGGCGCCGCCCATCAACCCTGAGCGTCTTGCCATCATTGAGAGCTCTGGGGCAGATACTTCGATTCGTAGACCGTCCATGGCCCAGCCTCCTCCCGTAGCACGGGAGGCGCGACGTGAGCCTCCTCCGGAAACACCGTCGTACCTCAATGGTCGAGCTGAAAATACTGCAAATCGATATGGATCGCGTGGTTCTTCGCCTCCCACCCAGGCACCACCTGTTCCAGCTTTCAGCTTTCAAGTTGCTCCAACTCCGGGGGCAATCGCACCGCCACAGGCACCCAAGGCCATCACGGAGGCACGGTCTCTCGCAACATCTGAACATGCGAATCACTACCATGATCCCAGACCATATGCGGATGAAAGACCTGCGCCGCCCACCAATGCGCCCACTGCTCCCAAAGCTCCGCCGGTAGCTCCCAAAGCCTTTCACGCCAGCCCCCCACCCATGGCGCCTAAGGCCCCACGTGCGCTTGGTATCGATCCCAACGCAGCGCCTGGCGGCAGACTGCAGGGGGTCCGATCGATGGAAAGTCTTGCGGGATCTCATCCTGCAAACAGACCGGACAGTCATTCTGCACAGTCTGCTACGTTGCCTCCATCGCCGGGCGTCGCTCGTCAATCTTTTCCTCACCAGGGTCAGCCTGTGCCGCCGATACCTCCACAGTCATCACGTCATGCAGACTTGTCGGCTCCTACCGGTCCAAAGGCCACAAGAAACATCGTCGGACAGCCCTCCATCTCGCCGCGGGTGGACACTGGAGGCTTCCAGCCGTTTCAAGATCAAGCTGCCAGCCAGCGAGGCACGACACCACCTCCATCGGCACCATCGGGTCCTAGGAATCGCTCGTTTAGCGTTTCGCCGAAAGCCGCTGCATCTAGCATTCCCGGCATACCCACAGGCCCCAAGGCTGCTCGAGTTCCGTCGATGGGACACAGCAGGGTTCCTGATCGTCCCTTACCACCACCAACTCGAGCACCGGACAGACCTGTGGGAACAGCTCCATTTGCACCGCCACCCGGCCCCCGCTTTCAAGCGCACCGAACGTGGACGCGGCCGGGTGTTCTTCCTTACGGCAACAAGCCCGGCCCTGCGGTACCATCGAAACGAGATGCCAATGGCGACGAAAAGGCGCGAATACATCAGCCATCTGGACAGAATCCCAATCTCGAAACTCGKAGTGCTCAGCTAGATTCTCAGATACGTCCGGATGAACTTCAGCATCAAGGGTTTCAGCCGCAATTGTCAACCTCTTCACGTAGCCGCGATGATCGGATGGACATTGACAGTGATTCCTCACAGCGCAAACCGGTCGCCACAGAAGGCCACTCCGCCAAACAATCCTTCTTCGGCAAGACTCTGGATCGGCCCGAAGATCTGATTGACTCCAGTAGCGAAGAAGACGAACTGGATGAGGATGAAGATGCCACGCTTTTGGAGGCCAAGMACAAAAGAAAGGAGAGAGAGCTCCGGGCGCAGATGATTGACCTCAGCGCGCGCGAGTTTCGAGCAACATCACCATTGGAGTCGATCGCCCGCCTTGCCCGCCTTTCTGTGAAGGACATTCAACGGCACAGCGATCAAAATGAAGACGCCATGGACGTGGATATGCCCGGATCAGATTCATGTCAACCGGTGGCCCCTCCACCAGAGCAGCATGTCGWAAGCGACGATGGGCCAGAAGTCTCCACACCGCAGGGCGAAGATTCTTCTGCTGTCGTCATTGAGGAGTCAGAGCGTCCCCCAGACACAATTCGCCGTTACCGCAGACCGAGTCCAGATGTGATAGACCTGCCGTATCTGTTGAAACGTGAAGATGTTCCACCGTTGGAGAGAACAGCAACTTTTCAAGAAAACGTTGCGCGCTTTGAAGAGTCTCTACCAGACGTCATGGCTCTAGCGGAGGAAGAGCTGCAAGCCAAAGACGACGCGGAAGAGCTAGCGATGGCTTCGTTCGAGCATCATTATCGCACATGGCGTGAAGACTGCGATGCACTGGATCGAGCCAAGGAGCAGCAAGAAAAGCTTGTTCGCCATCAATCAACGGAGCCGGGCCCTGAATTGGACGCCTCTATGGGCCCCTTGGCGAATCCACTTCTGGAAGGAAGAAGGCTTTACAAGAACAGCAGCGAATACGAGATCGAACAAGTGCTCAAGCAGTCGGAAGAGACTGCAAGAATAGAGCAAGAAAAACTTGATCGTGAAGCAAAGAAAGTGCAAGCTGACATGGAGAAAGAAGCTAGACTGCCCGACCAACAGACCGCGAATATCGTTATGCGTACAAGTCTGGTCGATACCAACAGATTACGAGATCCCGATGCGCTCACACTGGTCTTCTCTTACGAGCCACCTGTTGATGATTTCACAGACAGTGAACAGCAGATCTTCGTTGCAGCTTTCAAGGACACGCCCAAGAAGTGGGGCGAGATCGCGTCTCTGTTACCAGGCCGCACTTACAAGGATTGCATCGCCCACTACTACGCCAACAAATGGGACGGACGCTTCAGAGATAATCGGGCGAAGAAATTCAAGGGTGGCCGAAGGGGTGGTCGCGGCAAAGGCCGTCCAACGAGAGGCTCGGCACTCATGGCTGATCTGAATAGAGGTGAAGAACTGATCCAAGCGTCGGCGGACTCGGCCACTGGTAGGCCCAAGAGAGCTGCGGCGCCGACAACATTTGGCGAACGTGAGATGGAAGCCAAGGCGTCTCTTGTTGGCCAATCACCGGCCAGGAAGCTCGGGCCAGGCTCAAAGCAAGATGGTAATGGAGATGCGGGTGCAGAAAAGCCTTCGAAGAAACCCAGGCGAACTGGTGAAGTCAAACCCGGGCGGAAAGGCAAGTCTCAGCTGGCAGCTTTGGCGGCAGCTCCAATCGTGTCTTCTAACAAGCCATTTGCTCAAGGCGTGCACTTGAAAGACGAGCTTCAGAGGAACCAGAAGCTTGAAGAGGCGAATCTGCTCATGAATGTGGGCATTCACCCCAATATGATACATCAAGACGCCCGTGGATATGGCCAGGACGCATACGCCATGCGTGCAAACGTGCAAGCAGCGGAGGACTTTGAGCGCTCCAAGCCAACCGCGCCCTCTTCGAAGCAAGGAGCATCGAGCTACTGGTCCGTGCCTGAGCAAACTGACTTTTTCAAGTACATTGCCCACTTCGGCACAGACTTTGGAGCCATCGCAACGCACATGGGGACTAAAACGCAGACCATGATCAAGAATCACTACCAGCGGCAGGTGGAAGGTGGAAGATCCGAGCTCGAGGACCAAGCTATCCTTGCAAACGCCCGCCGTGACCGTGGAGAGGATGTCGGACCGCCGCCTACGCCCACACCCATAATCAAGCGCAAATACGACAATCCACAGACAAGCAATCCGCGCACAATTGCTCCTCAACATGATGCCATGGAGACGGACGAGTTGTTACCAGGGCCATCGCATTCGGGTGCCCTGCCCAAGCATGCGTCACCGCCGCAATATGTACCCAAGCCGCGCTACACGCCATCGACTCAGGGCACCCCGATCCCGGCACACCGCGCTGCGCCGAGCCCACTGCCAGCATCCTCTACCCCGATAGCCCCTCCGATGTCAGTAGCGTCACTTCCTCGCGGTGGACAGCAGCATCCTTTAGGATCGCGCGTCAACTTCTTATCGGAGGGCCGTTCTGAACCCCGACCGACCGCACAACCGACGTCTGCGTTCCGCATGGCCCATGAATCAAGCACCACGCCGCGCAGTCAGCAACCCACGCCGAAGATCGCTCAACCAATCTCGAATGCGCCCGCGGCCGGATCGTACTTGCAGAATCTGCGAGACGAGCAAGAGAGGGCGATCCGCATACAACAAGCCGGAATACATCAAGAAGGACGCATCGAGGAGGTGTCGTCGCGGCCAGGATCGATGCATCTATCACACCCCCAAGGATCACCTGCAAACCAACACATCTCCAACCCGATGGACAGGAATGTACCAGGAGAGGAGCGTGCGCCTTCGCCGCCCCGCGGCATGTTCATGCCCCCAGGAACTGGGCGTGTGCAGGGATTCCCACCATCTGGAATTCCGTCCATGGGAGGGACGCCTCTATCGACATTTGCGGGACGCGGGCAATACCATCCATCGCCGAAGTCAGACTTCATGCGGCCAGGCTTGGCAGCAACGCCTGGCCCCCCGCAGCATCCCACAATATCCATGTCTGCTGGACCTTCGGCGCCAACAACAACGCCCATGCCTGCAGCAGAGCCCCCGAAGCGATCCACTCTGCTTGACATATTGAACGACGATCCTGAAGAGGCCAAGCCTGTGCCCAAACGGGAAAGTTTGACATCGGCGCCCACAAGAGTCGCCTCTCCTGCGCAATCGTCCTACCATGCTACATCGACACCTCAACCCATGCCTGGCATTATGCCTCCCAGTAGGAGAGAGACCTTTGGACAGCCATCAATGGGTCAAGGCCACTATCAGCGATCGTCCTTTGGACATCAAGGCTCGTCTACACCTGGTCCAATTCTCAAGCACGAGCACCCGTCTGGTGGTGCTTCATCTGCACCACAGGCGCCGCACCAAGATTGGCAGTCTCGAATGGGACAAGGTGGCCAACCCAGTCCTCCAAATGCATCTCCTCTTGACAGAGACATGCGTCCCTCTTACTTGGCTCACCGTAGCAGTATGCTTCAATCGATCAACCCTGCTCGCGTCAGTTCGCCTCCGCCGCATATGATGAGCCATTCGCGAACGCCGTCACTCAACACATCGCAGACTGCGCAGCCTCCTAGAGAACATCGAAATGTCATGGGAGGTCCTCCGCAAAGTCATCATCAGACTCCACAAGGGATCCACTCGAGCCCATACGGCAACCCACCGCAGCCCTCGCCATTCTCACAGCCGCCGCAGCAACATCCCACAAGAGCATTGCATACTCACAGCGGATCTCTTGGTGGTGATCCCTCTCTGCTTCCACGCTATGGCAGCGGTCGTGACAGTCATCGTGACGAGCTCATCAGGCGTGAAGATGAAGCTCGAGCTCAGCAAGATCGCGACGATCAAGTGAAGCAACGAATGAAAGTCGTGGAAGCCGAGAAGCAAGCAGAACGACACCATCAATATCAGAATCAGAGGCAAAGTGAACAGCGGTTCCAGGAGCAGGAAATGGAGCGACAGCGCTTACAGCAGCAGCAAGCATTCCCTCGTGGTCCGCCACAAATGCCCTCAGCCTTCGGCCCTCCTTTTGGTTCTGGTCAGCATCGCTTACAACAGCATCAACAGCCAATGGGCGGAATGGCAGGGATGTCAATGAGAGAGGTCGAAGCACACCACCAGCAAGATGAGCAGCATCGCCGTATGCACCATCACCAGCAGCATGACAATGAACGCCGGCGCCAAGAACAACATCACCAGCAGCAGCATCAGCATCAGCAGCAGCAGCCGCCGCCGCCGCCACCGTTCGCACGGGACCGAGATCCGCAAAGTGATCAGTTTAGGATGCGGACGCCATTTGGAACATACGCTCCACCCCCGCCACAAAGGCGGCTTTAGCTAGAAAATGCATGTACATAACCATTGTTACTTTGTTCGATGTCCAATCATCTTGCCCTGGTGGCGGTGTGCGGTCGAGTTCGTGTTTCCTTGCGGGATCTTTAGCATGAGATACCCCGCCTACAAATCGCGAGGTACGATCGCTTCATTCACTGACATGCTCACATGACGTATTTTCTTGCGAAGCTTAATCACACGGTTTCTCACAATAGGTTGTAAAACAGCATTGACGGAAACCTCACTTCGTACTTCACCTCATGTCTCATTGACCTTCTCATCCAGCCCTTTTTCTTTCCTTCCTGCTGCCACAACATCGACATTCTCTGCCAGCGACAAAAGCCACTGCATAACAGTCTCACATCCATCATTCTCTCACAAACTACCACATCAACCAACATGCCTATCAACTGGGACGCCGCCGCTGAGGCAAAGCTCATGGCCGCCATCTTCACGGTCTGTGAAGTCAAGGTCTCTCAGCCACAGCTGAAGCAACTCGCTACCATGATGGGCTCCGGTAATTTGATACTCTCTCCCCGATTCTTTCTTCACTGCGACTGACTTGAGGCAGATTGTACTCCAAAGGCAATCACCCACCGCCTCGCCAAACTTCGCAAGGCSGGCGGAGAGACGACCCCACAAGCAAAGGAGGACGTTGGCGAGCCCAAGGCCAAAAAAGCCAAGACCACTCCAGTCAAGAAGCCTGCTCGTCAGACCACCAAGAAGGCTCGCGCCGAAACACCCATCGATTCCGACGACGATGAGGAAGCCGGTGTCCAACCCACTCCACCAGCTACACTTGAGCGGCCGCAGCGCAAAAATGGCGTCAAGCGCAGCTACGACGAGACCAGCATCAAAGAAGAAGTCATCGATGACGAAGATGAAGACGACGGCATCACTGTCGGAGAGGACATTGGTCAGGGTGAGTTCTTCTGAGCTCGYTGCTGGTGCTCCCACTGCCCACCACCTTGACATGGGCTTACGCGGTCTAGGTCTCCGGGCAGTTCGTAAAGACTATAAAAGCGAGGCAGAGGACTCTGAGATGTCCGAGGCGCTGGATCTCCCTGAGCCGTAGTGGGTTTTTGTCACAGAGTTCCACTGAGGATGATGAATTTGATGAGGAAATTCCTGCTGCGATTGAAGGAGTCACTAAGTTTGTTATCATACGTATGAATTTGAACTGGCGTCGGAATGCAATTTGTTCATTGTCTCACGCACGTCGCATGATGAGAATACGTAGGGTTAGGGTTGGGGTAGTGGTCATCACTCCAAAACTGCGTCAGCGCACATTTCCATCTTACTGCTGATAAGCATTAGTATCAAAGAGGGCAATACACTCAATTCAATCGGTGAAAGTGGTCAATGGGTGGTCTTCGCTCGCTGTGCACTGGAAAATGTTTTTCAACAGCTCCCGTGGTCAAATCTTAACATGTCTACCCCACGTTCACACGACTCTAGACGTGCTCTCACGACGACGATACCAGAACGACAGCGCCTCTTGGCATCGGAGTTTATTCTTGTTTAATCAAGCATCGCTTTGGCTACGGTTTCGCGAGCACTGATCCGCTGCCAATGCAAGAGCGTCGTGATGTCCTAGAGGACTCTGAGAGTCTGCAAAGGACCCTGAGCTTGACCGAGTCAAAGACAGCATTTACGGAGCGCAAACGATGGACAGAATAGAACAGTTCTGTGTATGGGGGTTCGTCATTACTATCCAGTCCACAGTACTCAAACATCAGCCATCTCTACAAACACCCCCATCAGCCCAAGGACGCCCGCTGTTGACGCTGCGCCAAATCAACCCGCATCCATGAACCATGTGAGCCCAGCCCAGCCGACGCCATCTAAGTAACGCCCATCAAATGATAAAGCTCAGATCGATCCAACAACGCTTCATCACTTACATTACCTCACTGGCGACATCTCCCCATCCTCACTAATACTATCTTCATGCCTCAGACCGAGCCCGATGGCATTTCCATTCWATCCATGTCCGTTGGAAGGAACAGGCCATTGCCCGTCCATGACATCCATACCGTCTTCGTCATGCACTTTGCCCATGCCATTCGCATCGAGCTGCTGCTGCATGACGGCCTGCGCCGAGACAATTTCTGCAAGGCGCTTCAAGCGAGGAGTTTGGAGCCAACTAGGCGTGTAGGTTTCGAGTGCCGTGATCACGCGAGGTTCCGCGATCTCATACGGTCCAGAATCTTCCATGTCCACGGCTTGGAGGAGCAGGACGTCAGATTTGGGGTCTGTGACGCGTGAGGCGACTGCTTTCATGATTTCGCCGTTGATGGGTTGTTCGTAGTCGGCGACGAGGTACTGGTTGAGAAGTTTTTGAATTTGGTTTGGTGAGAGCCTGAGAACTGTGTCAGTATTGAATGTCAATCGGAGAGTGTAGAGAAGACTTACATCCAGCAAATGTCCTGGATGATCTCGATGTCGTTCAGGGTGGCCTTCTTCAACTGTAGCAGCTTGGTAGCTTGCATCAAGTGCTCTAGCTGTAGCGTCCCTTCGGGCATATCATGACTCTTACACCATTCCTCAATCCGGGTGATGTTGTAGTTGATCTGCAGACCTCGCTTCCAAGAGAGGAAATTTCTCCTCATCAATAGATCGTTAAAGGCCGTGACACCCACCAATCGTAAGAGCTCTGTGACAGTCTGCGTGATGATACTATCTTCCAGGTAGAACGCCTTCATTGCTCTAAAAACATTGTTGAGCAGACTGAGCAAGTTGTCCATGCTGAACGCCGGTGCGTTGGACGATTGTAGCAGCTTGCCGAGGAATCGGCTGCTCTCGTTTGTGACGAATCCGGGTAGGGATTGCGATTCAATGATTGCCGGAACGATCATCTTGTGAAGCTTCTTCTTCAAGACCTTCATCCATGTGTGGTAAATGTTGAACTCCAAGCTTTCCAAGTCATGTTTCACAATCTCCAACAAACGATCGTATTCAAAGTTGTCAGTCTTCTGAGCCTCGTACCAGTCCTCAGCCAGGAAGACAAAGGACAGCATTTCATGCACATTGGACAGCCAGAAAGCTCCGGGGTTCACAGCATCGTCACCGTCATGCTGCATCACCTCTTGCTGAATCGATTGCATCACATTGGCCAGGAATCGCTCAGACTCCTTGACGAAACCATTGTTCCACATTTCACTCGTGACCAGGTTGATGAGGTACGCCGGGAAGAGCACCTCCTTATCTGTTGGTGGTGGATTACTGCCAGGTGCGGGGATCTTCAGGTTTCGGATGAGACCCATCGTGACCTCGTCATTGAGGCCATCCTCATCTGCAAGCAGGTTCTCCAGCTCCATCTCCACGTTCTCCAGCCCAGGATTAAACGTGGAGCCAGATAGGTTTTGCGAGTGCCCACCAGCCGCTGCACCAAACGCCATCGAAACAGGCCGCGGGTTGTACGCACCGCTGAACCGTTCCGTTTGGATAGCCTCCATACCGGCGCTTCTCCTCTTTGGCTTCTTCGACGCAACCAGGTTGATAAGCCCCGACGCACCAGCCATTGCGTTCCCGACGAGCTCGCCGTTGCTGATCGGAACTGCTCTTTTGGCCAACTCGAGCTGGTCTTGCAGATCTGCGAGCTGTTGCCGCAGACTCAACTTCTCCGTCTCGCTCGCAGTCTTGCTCTGTCTTGCCGTTTCCAATTCTTGACTGGACACACGAAGGCTCTCGCGGAGGTTCTTCTCCTCTTCTTGCAATCTTCGCATGTTCGCGGTGCTCTCCTCGTAGTTGGATTGCAATCGCGACATTTCTTGCTCCATCTGGCTCAACTTGGCCGCAGTCATGCCTGCTTGATTTGCTTCTCGCTGCAGGTCATTGGCTCTGGCCTCCAGAGCATTGTGCCGCTCGCGAGCGCTCTTGAGTTGATTTTCGTAGTTGGTAACTTGACCCTTCAGCTGCTTGTTCTCACTGCGCATCGTGCCAAGACTCTGCGTGAGCTCGATGACCTTGTTCTCCAACTTGTACGAGATCTGCTTAAGATCTCGTGCCTCCTCTCGGAGCGTCTTGTACGTCTTGCGGGCCGTCTTTCCACGCCAGATACTCTGGACGAGCACTGCCTTCTTCCGGAAATTCCGCCAGCTCTTGAGTTGTTGGTAACTCCTCCAACTTCGCTGGATGATCCGAGCTGCATCGGAGTACTTCTTGTCCATGATCATCTTTCGGGCTAGGTACCCCTTGGCCGCTGCTTCAAAGACGATGATATTGTCGCGGAACTGTAGGAACTTTTTGCGCTCCTTCTGACCTCTCCAAACGCGCTGGATGGTCGTAGCACCCCGTTGGCGGCGGGCTTCATCAGCTTTGACTCGGGCCGTAGTTGCTCGTGCATGGGCCTGAAAGGCTCGAATGCTGTTGATTGCTTCGAGATACCGGCGTCTGTAGTACTTAGCCTTGAGATTCTTCTGAATCATGATCGCGGCATCACTGAGACGGTTGGTCCGCAGATTTTCCAGGAATGCGAGCATACCAGCTCGGAAGAAGATCTTTGTCAGACCCAGCTGGTACTTGTCGGTCTTGTCTTTTTTGCCCTCGCCGAGAGCTTGTCTGAGAATCGCATTCGCCATATCCCTAATCTCGGTGGTCCATTGCTTGGAAGGAATCAACATATAGTAGCGGAGTGCAAATTCCTCGTACGTCCATCGGGTTGGGTAGCCTGCGCAACTTATGCGGACTGTTTCCAATACACCACAAGCTCGCAACTGACTGAGCACCATTGGTCCCTCGAACTTCCAAGCCTCCTTGGCTTCGTTGGGCTTGATACAACGAATGTAGTGCACTTCGGTCGAGTTGATGGTATCCATCAGCTGGATCAATGAACTCTTGAAAATTCCACCAAGCGTCGGTTTCCTTGCAGCAGCAGCACCCTTGCGAACGCCCGTCGTTCCATTCACCTTCGGCATCACAGCCGCATTGTCGCGCTCTCGGACGATCGCGCTGAAGTCGAGCACCTCCTTCAGGAATTCGTTTGAAGTGTTGGAGAGCACTTCCAAGTGTTCATCAGGGACAGTATCCCGGTTCTTCTCGATGAAGCCGTCGCTCTCGTATGTCACGTCAATGGCGTAATGGCAGACCGTGAATGCGCTCTTTCCAAACCGTGGCTTCTTGTAAAACTTGTGCTTGTCGCCGGAGAAGTTGTGATGAAGCTTTGTCACGAAGCTCTCGTCAGATCCCATAGGCAACCTACTCTCTTCGTCCAGCAGTGCCAAAACACCCAACTTGCCCTCGATGAGATCGATGCAAGGCTGGTTGTCACTAAAATCAATAAACTTCCAGTCAATCTCCTCGCGGAGGTACTCTTCTTGCTCGAGCTTGAAGACGTGCTGGTTAAACTCTTGCTGCAGCTTTTCGTTGGCATAGTTGATACAAAACTGCTCGAAACTGTTCTTTGCAAAATGCTCAAAGCCGTAAATATCCAATACACCGATGAATGATTGCATCTGGTCGATGACAACCTCCGGCGCGAGGAAGCCGTTCATAGTCTCCACGAGCCAGTCGAAGAGGGAGGAGTAGATGTACTTGGCAACAGAGTCTCGCACAACAGTTGCCTGTTGTTGGGTCAGATTCGACATGATCTTCTCACCGCGAGTGACCAGCTGCTTCTTGACAGTCCACTTGGCGAACTCTGTGGCGTCGATTCCTAGCAGTTCGCAAGCTTTTTCCAGAGAGGTCTCATTTGCAGCCAGCTGCGAGTCTGTCCTAGTGGCAGTAATCTTAATATTGCCAATGTGCAGTAGCGCAGCCAGTATTTTCCAGAGACTGGCTTGCACGTTTTCCGCGACACCAAGCCTCGTGAGTGATTTTCGGGTGTCCGCAAACTCTTTCGCATCATCCACGCCATCGATGACCGGCGAACCTCCCTGATTGAGGTAGTCAAAGTGCTCCGCTGCAAGCAATCCAAGCTCTTCTCGCTCCGCATCCGACGCACCGGCCACGAGCTGGTAGAAGATGTGGTAGTTTCGCTCCTTGAGCGGCTGGAAGACCAGTCTTGAGCGCTCGAGGAGGTACGTTCGTATCCGCGCGCCGATGATGTCGGTCTGTTTGTTGAACATAATCTCGATGTACTTGCCGRATCGTGAGGAGTTATCGTTTCGGGTAGTCTTTGCGTTGCCAAAGGCTTCCATGATGGGATTCGTGGCCAGAATCTGCTCTTCCGTCTCGCTCATGGTATCTGCGCGGCCACGCACTCGCATGCCAGGTTGTTCTGGTGGTTCTCGGGTTGCGAAGTAGCGCATTATGTATTTGGCACTGACCGTCTTGCCTGCTCCCGACTCTCCCGAGACCACGATAGTCTGGTTCTTCTCATTCCGCAGCATGTCGGCAAACGACTCCTCTCCAATTGCGAACAAATGTGGCGCTTGTGATGCACGATGCTTGCCAGTGTATACCTGCACCATGCCCGGCACATACAGCGAATCGACCCGGGCAAAGGGGTTGGTTGCGATGAGCACAATGCCGGAGTATGTATAAATCTCTTTTTGCGCGTAGCGTAGCTTGATGGCCTGCAGTACAGCCGGCTCGTTGAGATGGGAAAGATTGGTGAGATCGTCGCTGGCCTCGAGCATGGCCGGGTTCATCAGCGGCGGCAGCGTTGAGCTGATGGCATCCTCGGACAACGCTGCCAGCGTCGTCTCTACTGTTTTCTCCTGTAGAATCGTGTTGGTCGGCCATCTCAGGGCATATCATCAAGCACATGTTGTCAAGCTTACCTCACCGCTCTCGAGAGTGAAGATGAGCTTCACCTTGTCGCCATCCACGGACTTGTGGGTGACCTCCGAGGCCACCCAGCCCTCGGTCGCGTCAGGCTGCCACGCCTTGGTGCCGACATCGTACGTATGCGACATGGTGGCGGCGTGTGGCTATGGGGGTGGTCGTCGGGGAGGATAACAAGAGTACAGCGGTCCTCGCTCTCCCGCGCGTTAAAGTTGCGGAGGTGCTGCCGTGTCGTCCAGAGGGTGTTGTATTAGGACCCAACGCCAGCGAAGGTATGGGAACGTGCCGTTGCGTCGTACTGTATTTATTACAGCGGCGAGGTCATCATCGCTAAAGATCAGTGCGAGGGATCAAGAAGTGTTTGGTTCCGCTTTTGGGGAGTGCCGAGCTCTCAAGGGGTTGTCGAGAAGCTAGTATGGCGCACTAAATCGAAAGGCAGCTGGCTGTTTCACGTTCGAGGTTTGTTTCTTCCCTGAATTTATTCTAGAAGAAAATCATCACCGTATACAACACGCACGAGCGGGACAGCGCTGACTTGTTGGGACACGTGCTGGCGAAGTTACGTCCACGTTGTCATTTCCCACGGTGGAGACGAAAACGACACAATCACTGCGAAGTTGCGGCGAACCGCACAAACAGTGCCTCTGCTCTTCATTGGCCAATATTTTCCGGGCCACCGCTCAGCAGCATCGCGCCCGCCGCCGTTGTTATACCGCATTGGAGCGGCCCGCGCGTGTGGAAGGAGACAATTGTGAGTGACACGCGATGATGCGTGCGGGAAAACACAGACTGCCCGAACAGCAACATTATTGAACATTTCGAATCTGTTTGCATGTTTGAGCAGCAGGGCGTCGTCGTTACACGCAAGACCCCGATGTGATGCACTGCTGAAGCCGTAACGGGGAACATCCATGTCGAAACTCGTGCACCCGCGAAGCCGGTACCGATCTCTGATCCTTCGAGAAGCATGCCATGCAATGGTTGGAAGTTGATATCGTAAATTAACAGGTTTACACGAAGAAAAGTTGTAGCAAGCAAACGGCCGACTGACAGCAAAGACCACCACCACCACCACACCTTGGAGTAGAGCATTGTTCGTTTCGTCCTGCATCTGAGACCATGTCGATCGAACCATCTCCGCATGAGAAAGGGATTTCCTGACTTCGGAGTCCGTTCCCGGACTCTGGCATTCTGGCCATGATTCTGCAGAGTAGAGTGTACAAACTCGCCATTCAGCAAAGACTGAGTACTTTGTCCTTCGTGAAAGCAAAGGGCTCCGACAACATGTTCCGAACCGTGGTTCAAAGTGCCAAATCAGGTTCACTATGTCTTCTGATGTGCAGAACTGCGTACACAAGTCGCGGCTCAAAAGGCATCCTTTTCTGTATGCCAGACATGTGTCTATCCATCTACTTCCCATCTTTATTGGGTGCCACTACAGTTAGCGCTTTTCTTTGTCGTAAGCGGGAGTTTATGCTATCTGAGCTGTCCAAGTGAACGCAGMACAAGAAGTACCAGCACGATGTTGAGCACCGTAGATCAGTGACTATTTTGAGGAGAAAAAGGCGGACCATGGAGGAAGGAACGGACAATGGAGAAGTGGATGACCACGCGCGAGACTTAAAAGAATAGGTAGACTGCACTTATGAACGACAACCTCCTTTCACGCCTCCGATCCAAACATCGTTCGCTGAGGATAAGGGCAGCCCAGTATTTTGAAACCAGAGCCAAGGCAAGATCAGTTCTTTCGCTGTGCTATAATGCTGAGCCAAGTGGTTGATTTAAAGCAGCGTGTGATTGACTCTTGAAGCAACGTGCGTCATGCTTATGGAGAGTGAGGGCCAAGCAATGACAAGCATGCGGTTGCTGTCTGTACGGGTCAAGACGTTGCGCATTCATATCTCTTTCACTGCAAAGCGACTGCTCAATTGAACGCAGTCTGGTACGTCGACACGAGGGTTGTCGTACAAGTCCCATTAGGAATCATTGCTGCCGCCCTTCTCCTGCTTACCGCCAAACGCCAGTCTACTCAAGCTGTCCACGGCCCCGCGAATGCCGGCCTTTCCAGCAGCTACCTGACTGGGAGTGCTAGAATGAGATGGGGGAACGTCCATACATGGGTTCGATGTGAAGAAGTTCCTTGGCCGAAGCAGAACAGTCATCGGCTCAGCAGGCATGACTGGGTAGTCCTCCGGGGAGGGAAAGTGTGTCAAACCGAAGGTGTGCCATAGGACGACGTCTGTGTTGTCCAGGCTGGCATCCGGATCAGCGGCGATCCACGCGGGAATGCCTTGAGATGGCTCTCCACTCGTCTGTGGGACGTGACGTCCGGCAGGATGGATCTGTTCGTCCGAATATTTCGTGACATGCACAGCGTGTCGAGCGAAACCAGCTCGCTTCCAGACCAGAGATCCCTCCTTTGGTAAAAGAGGTGGGACCTCTCTGCTCACGAGTTTGTATGAGACAGGCTTCTTGCTGTATGGATTGATCTTATTCGTGTTAGATATATCCCAAGTGCGGCTCGTCTGTCCATTGTAATCGCTCATGCCGCTTCCCATGGTCTCCATCTTGGTCTTCTTGGCGTAGAAAGCATTTCCATAGGGATTCTCTTTGCTACCAACCTCGCCATCGCCTTGAACGGCATCGACCTGGAAGATTGTGTTCTCGGGGCCATCTAGATTCGGGTCGAGTCGCAGGCAAAAGAGGTGCTGATGGTTATGCGCATTGACACCTGGGTACACCTCAGTGCCCCATGGTGCAGCGCTCTCGCCAGGAGCCAGAGCGTAGGTGTTCAGTATTCCAGTGAGCTTAATCTCCAACTGAATGGTGCCATCCATGTGGAAGATCCAGTAAACGCAATACTCGTAGTTAGCTGCGGTGAAAACATGGCTTATAATGAACTTGCGAGCACGCGTCACCGTGCAGGACTCGTCTCTGAAGTCAGTGTGTTTGAACAAGATGCCAGCATCTTCTTCATGGATGCAGATAGCATTCTTGATCGTCTGTGGCTCCCCAGCCCGATTGACAAATGCTGCGTCCATGTAGTGAATGGCACCTTTACAATCACAGCCAAGCGAAAGAGAGTTGGTCATGTAGCCACCACCGTACTCTCCCAGGTCAAATGCGTGTTTGCGCTGATGAGGATGCTCCGGGTTGCCGTATGGTACCACCATCTCCGCGAGAGACATGCGCCAGAACACGGGACGTACATTTCCTTTGTCGTTGAACGTGATGTTTGACAAAACGATACCTTCGCGGTAATTGAACCCAACATGCACGCTCCAATTCTGCCATTTCAGCGTCCTGCCATCTGCCGAAAAGCTAACACCTTCAGGCTGAGTGATGTGTATCGGCTTAAGATCTGTCCTGTAACCKCCTTCCTGCTTGATCGCATCGGCGTGATAATTGATCGGAGGCGCAGTGTTCAAAGGCCGCCGCACCTTTGGTATATCGATGTGGACGATCTCTTGAGTGTCTGCGTTGAAAATTGGGCAGAAGTCCAGAGGGTAGGTGTACTGGCTGTCGTCCACATGAGGTCTGTAATACATGAGAGCCTGCTGGAGTCTGACATTGGACCCAAAACGTTCGTCAAAGCCGATTGTCCATGGATCGCAGTACACTTTGTGCATATCTTGAGGTGGGATTCCAAGGATACCGCATTGCTCGATAACTTTCGCATCCTTTCGCACAACACTCTCCACGATCTGAAGGTCCTCCATGGTAATGAGTGGCTGCACACCCTCTGTGAGCTCCCACTTGACGATCCGCTCCTCTTTCAGGTCGACCAGACCATCGAATACCTTACTGCCTCTTCCAATTGCCACGACATCGGCAACGCGGTGAGGTGTCGGGACAGTGGCCGGACTGCTCAGCCATGCCTGCATTTCTGMCTTTCGTGGCTCCCATAGCGTAACAGCGTTGAAATGAACGGACGGGTATTCTCGTTTGACAATGGCAACTGCGGYCGCGATCTCTTCAGTAGTCAAAGGGTCGAGAGGGTGCGTGTGGGAAGCTTGGCCGGTCAGATGGGAGGCCATCTGCTGTAGTCGTTCGAGCACCATCTTGACCTGTTCTGTGTATTGAGGGGAAAGGGAGTCAGTAAGACGAAAGAAATATTTTTACCATCTGCTAATGCATTGGACCTGCTTGGCCCCGCCGGCGTGTATTCGCTCGTGCTTGTTTCGTACTCCGCAGCTCACAGTTGGACGGCGGGCAAGCTCTTATCAGTTTGTATGATGAGATAAGCCGGCCGCGGCGCGACAAGGCGCGGCTCGTCTTTCTGAGGAGTAATATCCATTACCGATGGCTTGCCAGCTCGCAGTGCGAAACGGAGCTTGGCTTGGAGTATCTTGTGAATGTTCAGTGTAGAACTAAAGGAGCAGAGACGAGAAGCAAAAATGAGACCCGAAACGCAAGTCCGTCTCACAGACACGCGCGCGGCGGAAACATTTGGGGTCTGGCGGGTTGAGATACTGAGGTGAACATCACCTTCCTTCACCTCCACCTCCATATTGAACACGGCGCCCTCAAAATGAAGACGTGGCGTTCGTCGATCTTTGGTGCCATCTATGGCGACAACGATTGCGAGATAGACGTGGAGTGACCTGGATTGCTTGTCCGGCTCTCAAGGCTCAGTCCAAAGGCGTCTCTTGTCAACACAAGTGCAGTGCGTAAACTTTGTAGCAGTAGAACAAGGCCGCACAAGGACTGAGATACATTACCAAGTTTGATACTTCACGAACGGTATGTCTCCCATGTTCCTGCGGCTTTCATGCCGATGGCGCAGAACCAAATGGCGAAGTCTTACTTGCTTGGAGCAAGATCCACTTGGAAAGATAGATTCCATCATATGACACTTAATGATTCTAGTCCAAGGAAATGCTTTTCCGTGTCCCTTTTAGAACCTGGAGTTCCTCAGTTCTCATCTCCATCGTCGCCATCGCTGCTCGCAGCACCATGGCCGTCAGCAATGTCCAATTCCCGGTTCAATTGGTCCAGAGCGAACTGCTCCGCTGCATCGAATTCCTCGTCGACTCCCTCGTCTTCTGGCTCTCCGTCGTCTTCGTCTTCGTTGCCTTCGTCTTCAGACTCCTCGATCTCATCTTCTAGACCGTTGATTTGCTGGCCAAAGAACTGAAACTCTTCCAAGGACCAGACCATTACAGGATCGACGACAAGACGTCGCACTGGTCTGCGATCCTTCTTACGTCGTTTGAGCGTGAACCTGGATCCTTGATTGTGATAAATCGTATGGTCCTTGGCCATGATCTCGGGAATGGACTTTACGGGTGCGGTCCATGAGGCCAACTGAACCTCGCCGTCCATGAACTTGATCATGTTACGGACGAAGGCTTTCGACCAATCTCCTTCGTGGTCGATGACGGTTCCGCCGCTTGTATGCAGCTGTAATGGACTAGTAATGAACTCCATCATGGCGGCAATGTCGAGCTTCCATTTGAGTCCGAAGCTCATTCGAGTGTGGAAGAAGCAGTCCAGGAAGAAGGCGCAATCTGAGTCACCACCATTGATTTCTGTGATGAATTCGTGGGCGTTCACTGACAAGCCTGTTTGGAGTTGCCTGGTCACTGTCCACATCGTCTTTTACGCACAGGCTCTGCCTTTTATCCTCACCATTTGTAGCCTTGGTTGGTTCCCCATGCCTTGCCGTGGAAATGTATCATGATGAGATCGTCTGCATTCTTGGTAGCCAGCTCTGCGTCCCAGTAGAGTGTCCAGTCGGCGGGCGTAGCCCCGCGAGGGAACGCCACGCAAATGACTTCATATGGCGTTCTTGAGTCGAAGAAGTTCGCAATGCGCATGCACCTCTCGTCATGTTGTTGTTGCTTCACGGACCGGTCTGGGACTTGGAGGTAGTTCGGGTCGTGGTCCACGATGTAGACGTAGCCATGCTGATAGGTCTTGATCTCGTATTTCTCCCAGCTGGGGCTGCGTGGAGCTGATACGGACGAGTCAACGCAGGGAATATGATCTGAGAGAGAACAGAGTACTCACGCCTCGGGGACCTTCCCATGTCACGCAGCCTTGCGAGCCTCTTCGCTTGTTTCGGCGTAGGCATGTTGATTGATGGTGGGTGGTTGATGAAATGGGAGACGAACAAAAGGCAAAGAGTGTGGGTGTTGTGAAGAAGTGAAGTGATAGTGAGCGGGTAAGTTGAGAAATACTGAGAATCGGATTCCCCCGTCAGATGAAAAAGGAACCATGATAGCTGACCGCCGGCGTCAGTGTGAAAGTGAGGGAAGAAAACTTCGAAATTGCACTGTTTGGGGTGCACTGGGGCTGAGATATTCTCCAAAGCTCAGGTATCTCAGAAGCCATAGTATGGCGGAAGCCTTGCGAGATTTACTCCCAAATGCTTCATCCTTCTCTAGACCATGGCAGGGCAATAGTGTTTACGAGACATTGAGCCGTTGGTGTAGAGCACACAAGTGGTCTAATCCATTGGGATGTCTGCCGAGATAATGCTACGCCAAAAGTGATCTTCCATGTGGAAAGAGCGCATCAGTCCAAGCATTCATCCGAGTCCCTTCTAAAGATCTGGTAATGGCAGTGATCGCTCCTGTACCCGCTTCGCAGTACTGACAAACAAGGATCTCTCCTCATCCGTCTTGAACTCAATTCTCACTCCACTAACTCGTTTTGCAGGGAGATTTCGAATTTGCTCCATCTTTGGCTGTGTCTCACCAAAGGTAGAAGCACTTCGCAACCGCTGGTTGGTTCCTGGTCTGGCAACTGTGATGTTGATGCCCTTGACTTTTGCGTGTTTGGCACCATCATCTTTGACTTTGAGTTGATGCTGGCTGTTGTTGATCCACCATCGAGCCCCTAGTCACAACATGTTAGCTTTGTCCTAAAGAGGCGAAGAAACATCGAACTTACAGCCCTCWCCAAAGTTCGACGAGATGTGCATCAATGCCATTACGCCGCCAGCTGCGCCGGGTGTGGAAATACCATCATCCTCCCACAGTCGAAGCATTTCGATGTTCGCAAACTGCTCTTCAAAAGCGAAGGCGCCTTTCAAGCCTTCGTGGATGACGGTGGTCTTCGTTGTTCGATAGCTTCCTAACAACAGTCTTCCAAATACAGCAGATTGGAACGATACTGCATCTTGCTCGGAGATGAAACAGTAGTTGACCCAGTTTGTCTTCTTCTCTCCAAGAAGCAGAGTGCCCCATTGGTCATCATGAAATTTAAGAGTGATCGGAGTTTCAGTGTCAGTCGGTTGGAGGGAGACTTTCTCTGGATCAAAATAGGAGCAATAAGGAACTGTCTCCTGCATCTCGGAAAGCTTCTGTTGTAGCCGCGTCTCGCCATCGTCGGACAAGCACCAGATCGAAGTGACGACTTTGGAGCCCTTCAGTTCGCGGTTCTCCCGCTTGCGAATGACACACACGCGGGCTTCCTGACACGCTGGGACCATCTCAACATTGTAACGTGGATCAGGCTCGTCTGGATTCGTCTGCGCGTGCTCCACAAGTTTGCATCTAACATCGCAAAGAATGGCAGCATTACGGAAGAGCTGCTTCTCAAATTCCTGGCCATTAGAAGACTTTTGAGGCATGCTATTCCCAGTGGATAATCTTGGCGAGTTGTGAATTGATTTTGCCGTACGAGGACGATCGACTGTCGTTCCAACGCTGCCATTGCTCTTCACTTTCTGCAGACTCGCGAAGAATGTAGCGGGCGTAGCAGGCGGTGGCGGGCGGTTTTCATGACTGCCAGGAACAAGAGCAGGCGGCGGCAAGATCTCGCTCCCCGTTGATGATCTCCAAGACGTGCGAAGTGCGCGAGGCTCAGGTTGAGGCTGAAGATGCGAGTCCTCTTCGTCGTGACTTTCCTCGTCAAGAGTCTTGAAGAGGCTCGGTAGTGTTTGCGACTCTCGTCTTGCGTGTGATTCTCTCCGGAAAGACGCCAATGGTCCACAGACACTATCGTGTGGCGATGTGGCAAGATTGCTCACATCTAATTCTTTTTCTGCCGCAAACTCCCAACCATCATCGCTCTGGCTTCGACCGCGAGGGCGCGGCTCTAGGTTATAGTCGTCATTAGGCTGCCCACTGTCTTGGCTTCCACTGATCGCAAGGCYAATTGTAGATGGAGAAGGGGAAGGAATTCGTGGACTGCGGCTGGCTTGCCGAGGAAATGCACTGTAACTTGACGATCGTGGTGGCCGTTGTTCGAGCATCCGAGGGGATCTGTCGAATGTCGAAGCGGTACTAATACTGTCTCGCTCGGCCACCGAACTGATTGCCCGATCTCGTGCGACCAATGTTGGTGTTGCATTTGCGATGGCCATGATGATATGATGGAGGTCGTCAATTTTATCGCCCAGATCTCCATTCACACGGTCGTGGATGCTCAAGATGTTCTTAGCCATTGGCATCACAGTCTTCTCGAGCCTCGCCAACGACCGGGATTGCAGCGCTTGCATCGTTAGGTTGATGGAGTTGGTATGCATCTGCAACATGTTCCGCAAGTCATTGATATCGCCGCCCTCTGTTGTCCATTTGAATGTCCTGTAGTTTGCAATGACTACATCACTCCAGCTGCGTTCCACTGCGAAACCACCCCCACTCCTCTGTTTCTTCTTGATGACCTGGTACCTATCCACGAAAGAGTCCAGATCGTCCAATGTCCTCCTCGCACTGTCCAGGATCGCGTCTACAGCCGTGATGGTATCGTCGTCGGCACTGGACAAGACACTACCGTCGTCGTGCAGCGTCTCTGCAACCAACTTGAATGCATCGCTGAGACCATTCGCTTCCCTCTCCACTTCTGCGAACTCGGACGGAGCGCTCTTCTTGCCATGTGCGAATGCTCTTCCAATCTTCCAAGCTGTCTGTGACAGCATAAGAATGTCCCCAATCGACAATGGTTGTAGCGCCATTACAATCTGTCCAGCCTTGTGCTGGGAGCCTGCAGCTTGGTATCTTCTCGTTCCGGCCGGTCTCCAAGCTTTTTATAGGAATTGAGAACGCTCCCAGTCCTGTCCAGTCCAACTTACAGTTCCAGCGGATCGGAGAGGTGAAAAAGCAAAGCAAAGACGAAATTGTGAGGATAGATGCGAGACGTCTGCCTCAAGGAACATACAGTACTCCCCGCGGGTGTCAACAAGGAAGCGTGTTCCATGCAACTCGCTCATTTGTCGGCCTACTACGCGCGCAGTAGAGGCCTCTCATCACGTCCGAATGGCACAGCCGGCTCATGTGGTGCTGATCCTCCAAGCCACGCACATGGCACTGGACTGGCAGGTCGTCTAGACCATGTGCCGATGTTGGGAATGGGGATCTGCATGGAGCTTCAGAAGTTCAGAGTTCAGACGCGTTTGGAGGCTTGATCAGCACGTGCAGACTTCATTGGATCGGATCTTATCTAATCGCATCGGATTAACATGCATCCTCCAATGAGTGGAACGACTACAACGATAAGCGGAATGGGAAAGGGCCCGGCATTAAGAAGAMTCGAGGAAGATGCCGGTGCGTTGATGAGAAGCACATATGTATACTCACGGTGCAACATCGGTCAACTGGTCGTGATGCACATGCCAAGACCAAAGTTCCACCTTCACCTCGACCTCCACCCCCCCTTGCTCTTCATTCTTGCTGGCAGGCGAATCGCAAGGCCATAACATGATAGACAGGGAGTATGAGTATGAGTATGACAGCCCCGTCAACGAGGACTTAATATGCAATAGCTCTACTGTAGTCTTGTTGTAGGTACTCAGGAGACCACCACCAACGTTTGCGCTTGAAGTCTCTCCCGAACCGACAGTCATGAGCGACTGACATTCCTCCAATAAGAGGATCTGCTCTAGTTCCAGTAGCATCTGCATACCACTCGCAAAGGCAGGGGAGCCTGTGAGACAAGGAGAGCAGTAAAACGTTGCCGATTATGAAAGAATCATCCTCTGGATCGCTCGAATTAGACCTGCATGTAGCCCATTAAACAGTACCCGCAATGCTCAGCTCGCGAATCTGTCCTAGGACATCCTCTACACGAGCGTCCAGATCTCCACTCGCGTAACTGTCTCTCGTTCCAGCATCGAGATATTGCTGTACTTGCGCCATCCGACTGTATGCTTCTGCGCAGAATCTCAATTGAATCTTGACAAGCGCTTCGAAGGTTGGGTCGAGGTAAGGTACGCTGGACAGCGTCAGTATTAGCATTCCACTTATGGAGGTTGCGGGGAGTATTTAGAGCGTCATTGAAGACGGAATTTTCATACCGTAGGTCAATAAGTTGTGGCAGCTCATCCGTCAGTTGCTGATTCAACTGCTCATAAGCCGCTTTCGCCTGCGCGCACAAATCAGTCTGCTGCAATACAAACTCCTTCCGCAAAGGAGCCATGATGTCTTCAAGTTCAGAAGGATGAAAGAAAGGTGTGTTTTTCAACTCATGTGCGGCAGTGATGGAGATGCTTGGTGTGGTGTGGATGTTGTCCTGGATCAGAGACGCGCGGTATTTCTCGGACGCTGGTGTATTACGGGTAGGTGTGTCCGGCATGATCAGGCGTGGTGGACGGTGAGTTGGACTCTCATGTGTGGCGTTAATGCGGAGCTGCTTCATGACGGATGGACTGCTAGGGGAACCGATGGGCTTGCGAGGAAGCCGCATCTCAAAGCTACCAGCCTGCGATGATCCGCTCATCTCTCGCACAGGCGGGCTAGGTGGCGGCCGCAGCATTTCGTCCTGTTCAGAATCGSGCGAGCCGATCGATGAGCTTCTTGAAAGCGTGCTGCTAACAAGACTACTCACACAGTTGACATTCCGATACAGACTGGAGCTCCGGCGGAGGTTGTCGGCTCCGACACTGCGGATTGCAGCATCTTCGTTGGCGTCCACATCCACATCCACATCCACCAAGGCAGGCTTCCGGCGGATTCCATCGAGCACTTTTGGCGGCGAAGAAAAAGGGAGAAAGTCCTCCTCTTTTGCAGGAGAAGGGAGATCTTGAAGAAGGAAAGGAGCAATTACCATATCAGCTTCCTTTTCGGTGCGCGGAAGTTTGCTGGGGTCCTTGTCAGGTTTCTCTGTAAGCTTCTTGACTTTGCTGCGCATCGAGWCGTAGTCGAGCATCTTGTGATTGCGCTTCTTGATGCCTGCATAATCGTCAGTGGACTAGTAGATGCCGAGGATGGAGAGGAATCATACTCACACTCGTTGATGTCTGGAAAGTAGGCGCAGAAGCGGTTGATGGGTTCCAGCACGGTGGTCCTGTAGACAAACTCAATGAGCTTCATGGACTCGTCGTAATTTGCATCTCGTGTGAAAGTCCTCTTGTTTCCAGCGGTAAAGTTCAATTCTCCCTCGATTCTCTGCCAATCGACAGAAATAGGCAGACCCTCCTCTTTATCAAACGGAACAACAAATGAATCCTTGCGTACACACCTGTAAGGTCCATCCAGTGCCTTGACAGTCTCGGCGTCGAGGTCCTCAACAGCCTGCTTGTAGCTCCTACTGACACCATCCTGGGCTCCGCTCTCTCCATAAAAGGCGTCAATTGTCTCGGCGATGCGCATTTGCGAGGCCGTCATGGCACGCAGGCTGTCGAGGTAACCCTTGGCTTCTTTTTGCAGACGAAGTGAGGCGGATTCGAGAGTACGGTATCGTCGCTCCTCCACTTCATAGTCACGATTGACAGTCTTCTCAACACGGCCCGTCTTCACCATGACCTGTGTTGTCGCGCGGCCTACATTCTTCTTGAAGCCGGACCACGACATGCTGGCGGCCGATGTGTTGTGTCAATGGGAGGGTGGAGCGGAGATGCAACGGCGGTGGTGACTATCGGTGATGATGCGCTGTCTTCGGCGTGATCTGTTCAGTCAGTTGTGCTTGGTAGGTCAAGAGGCTGGTTGTTGCTTCCGTCTTCTGAACTTCACGTGGCTGAGTAGTTCTACTTAAGGTTGGTCTACGGTGCGCTTTTAGCGACAACTCTGCAACAATCTTTTTTTAGTAGAACTAAGGTACACTACTTACGCCACCTCGGAACATAACCGTTCCGAGAGGTTAGCGGTAATTTTTAGTTATTATACGGGCGCTTCCGATATAGCCTCTTTATCTAGTATGTAGATGTGGTCCTAATCGATAGATTAATCGTAGAAGTAAAGTTGTCTAAAGCCTACATCTATAACTATATATTAGGCACTCCCTTTATATAGTAGACAGATCGAGAAGTGGACATACGCCTATATAATGCGTTTACGACTATTAAAGTAGTACTATATAGATATCTATTAAAGGAACGAACGAAACTACTAAAAACAACTCCTCTCTAAACTTACGAAGCACCTACTATCTTTATTCTTATCGCAACCTTTTAGATTAACGACGCTTCGACCGATTACGCGTATAATTTGCGGGTAGTTTACTCGTGTTCTTAGATAATTGCGAAACCTTCGAGATCGTCCGCTTATAGCTTAAACCTCCTAGGGTAGGATATTATTACTCTACTTCCTCGGTTCCTAGCTCTCCCTTAATTTCTAGCTCTCCCTTAATCTATAATCGAGTAAGTAGCTATCTTTACGATTATATAGGCTAGAAACGTATAAACATCTTACTAAACGAAGGTAGCGACTCGTTATTACTATTATCGGTAGTGTTATACTCTATAGTAGTATTAACCTGCTCTTTACTCTCCTATCGAATTTAGTATTAGACTTTATCTACTAACGTTTATACGGAAAGATAGTATATATACTTCTAAGGTCGGCTCTACTTTAACTACTAGCTTTAACTCTACCTTAACTTCTTRYTTTACCTTCTTCTTCTTCTTCTAAGAGCCCTTACTCTTTAGAGYAGTAGTAGCCTTAGTAAGATTTGCGTTAACCTCGGCCTCGTATAATAGGTTATCCGTAGGCTACGATGTAGAACGTCTCTTAAAGATAAGGAACACCTTATATTGCTTTCGAGATAGCTAGCCCTTTACATTAATATCGTTTAGGAAGATACGACTTAGCTTCCTATCTTTAAAGTCTGTATCTAGAGGTTAAATAGGCCTATCTCGGTTATTATACGACTGCGTAATATACATATAGGTGTTATCCGGATATTCTATCTCCTTAGCAATATACGGTTTATTACCGAAGCTACGAATAGCAGCTGCTATGTCTTTAATATTATAATCCGGTACCGCGATGTCCTTAGACGTTTCTACATCCTATTAGCGATTAATTATACGGCGGTATAGACAAATGCAATAATAGTATATAATATATGTAGTATACTTAGAGAACCCCTTACCTTTCTTTAACCTACTCTACTTTAGTATCTTATCTAGATTATCTAGGGTAATATAGTATCTCGTAATAATAATCGTAATAATAAACCTAACTTATACGGTTGCTATTATAGAGATAGCCTTTATAATACTATCCTTCGACCGTTAGCTAGGGGGTGGATTACCTATATAGTACTTATGCTTCGGTGGATTTATTACCGCTTCCTTTTCGATCTTAATCTATCGTATATAGGTTGCCTTTATACTAGTAAGCTGCGCTTTATCTAGGAGGCTCCTACTAATATGTCCGTTAAGAACCTCGTCGTCTAATATCTCGCTTTTATTAGAGTTAATAATAATTAGCATAGTGCTTAAGGATAGCGTATTCGTCCGTAGCGGCATTAGTGTCGCCCGTATAATCGGTTTATTCGAAGGTACCGGCGGTATTAGGTTATAATCGCCGCAGAAGTAATATTTCTTATTATCTAGTATACACTTTATATAATCGAATTAGGGCCGAGTAGGGCATATACGCTTCTACACTTTCTTTGCTTGCTTCTTAGAACCTATCKGTATAAAGCGGACTCGTAGATATAGCGTCGTATACGTTCGTATAAAGGAAGGAATATCGTCTATAGGAAGGGGGTTAGAGGAGGATTTTAGTAAAGGGGCAACCCTTTATCGCTCTATAGGTATAACTACGTAAAGACGGGGGATAGAGCGTACGCTGCTTAATAAGTATTATATAGATATATAGGCGTATAAATTTATTATATAGTTATTACAGAGTTCTTATAGAGATTATAGCCGGGGCCGCTAATACTAGTAGGGATAGAAGCATATTAGCTATATATCCCCGGTGTATATAGTCCTATTAGAGTATTAGAACGTAACGTAATCCTATTATACCGATAATCTATTCCGACTTATCCGACTAATAATTAACCTCCGATACATCGCTATTACTACTTTCCGAGTTATCCTCTTTTAAAAGCTCTCTATTAATTAAACCCTCTAGTGCCTCCTTAAGCTCTTTACGCGAGCGGTTATTATCGCACTAATCGCGAAACGCCTATATAATATCTTCCGAGTCGACCTAAAATCCTTCCTACTTCCTACCGCCGCGGGGAATTAATATCTTATATAGTATATCCTTAGGAACCTTACGTAGCTCTTCTACGAGGTTCTCGTATGCGATTTAGTGCTACGGCTTTTATACGCTTAGTACAAACTTATATAAGCTTAGTCGACCGAGCGGAAAGCCCTTTGTCTTTAGAATACTTAAGTAGAGCTTAAGCATCTCCTATAGAATATACTCCTTAGAATCTGTATATATTAGCAAATAATTTAAGATCTATTATATGCGTTCGCTAGTACAAACGTACCCCACTTTGCGCAAGCTTCTATAAGACTATTAAAGTAGGCCTTATCGATTAGATACCTAACACTTAGCCTTCCCTCCTTCTCTGCCTAGTTATAGCGATAGCTTAGTATACTACCCCTTACGTACGGTCTATTAGATTGTCTTCGTACGGGGTGCTTATTCTATATATATACGAACGAGGCTAGTTCTTTCCGCATAATAGGTGTGTAGATATACTTTATAGCAATACGGTTAGCCTTCTTTACTTTATAAAACTACCCCTTCTTCTTTAATATTGCAAAGAAGCCCTATAATATTAAGATTAATTAGCCTAACCCGTATAATTAGATTCGGATATAACGGGAGCGTTACTAAAGCATATATAGATAATATGCTCTATATACTTATATACTATGCCTTAAACCTTCCTCGTATAAGCTAGCCCTACTATACCTCGATACGGACATTAGTAGTGCTTGTTCTAAACACAAAGCAGCGGCGAAAGCGTAACTTACGCCTACGAATAATCCTTACGTGTTAGTATTAAGCCTACGCTATAAGGAGTRTCTCTTTACCCTTATCTRTCCGAATAATACGAGGTACTCTCGTAAGCTTTTTATAAGCTTTCGCAAAGTTAGATAGTATAGACACTATTATACGGGCAGAGGGTCTAAGATAGGTGTATAGAATAAACCGTGTATCTGCATTAATAGCAGCATAGATCTAAAAGCTATAGTCCTTAAGTTTATAGTATGCATCTATACTCTAGACTACATTAGGGCTAGGCGTAATATACTTCCTACGGCGACGTATAAACTTCGCAGCCCTATTATACGGGCTAGCGGGATAGACCTCGCGGGCTATCTCGTATAGTCGCTTTCTACGATGTAGTAGCATATTAGCAAACCCCTTTCTACCCTATAGATGTATATTATATAAATATACTAACCTACTAAGCGTAAGCCGCGTACGATCGGTTGTACGGAAGTGTGTTTATAGCAATATTGTTCTATATGCTCTAAGGTTCGAGCGATTAATCTCCTTCTTTATAATCTTTTTGTATTCCTCTTAACGCTTAAGGAACTCTCCTTCTCTTAGTCGTTTCTTAATGCCTATACTCCGCCGAAGCCGTATAAAGGTATAGTACTTAATCGTAAATCCCTCCTCGTTTAATTTGTCTACGATATACGCATCTAGTAGAGCTTTAAGGTAGAAGAGTTCGGCTATTCGGATGCGAAGGAGGGGATTATCGTAAAGACTGTTCTTTAACGACTATCGGGGTTCGCTACCGTTCTCTACGACAATTATACGGATAGTCCGTTCGGAGGTATATAGCTATTATAAATAGAGGAAGATTTAAATGTCGGTAATACTCGTATTATTATTCTAGAGTTTAACGACTTTTAGATAAAGATTAGGGGGGATAGAAGGGGAGCGGCCTATTATATAGAATGTGCGTATAATAGGGTAGAGGGTAGACGGGAAAGGAATTAGCGTAGTAAGAGGTTATAAACCTTAGCGAAACCTTTGCTAAAAACTATAGGGTTAGGGTTAGGGTAGTATATTTCTTTAATATAGAGCAATAGTAATATAAATCGTAGGATATTTATAGGGACAAATTGTACGAACGTATAAAGCAAGGAGGAGTTATATTTTAGGTGTAGAAGCAAGTAATTATAAAATAGAAAATATATTTTAAAAGTAGTTTCTAAGTGCTATAATTAAGGCCCTCGTAACCTATTAGAAACTCCTAACGCTTAAAGCCGCTAGTACAAAGAACTTAAAAGAGATTCCCTCCTCCCCTARATACCCTTAACGCCCTAATTACCTCTCTAAAAACTACCCTCTACCCTAATTAAGCCCTATTACTAGTACTCTACTATCCCTATTCTCTAGCGACTACTAGTACGCCTAGACCTCGTTACTTACGATATACTGCGCTTCGGCCGTACCTAATCTCTATTCTAGCGATTAAGTAAGTCCCTACGGTCGTAGCTATAAGCCTAATTATAAAACTTGTAGTTACTATAGACATTATAGAAGTTCTTCTTCTAGATTATATAGCTCTGTTCCCGTTAGTATCGCACACCTTTATACGGGTAGGAAATATACCTAGAAGTTCCTATCGCTATTCTTCTAACACCGCTCGTACCGCTTATCCGTTCCTATTTCTTCTCTATTACTATCTACTACTATCTCGTCGGGGTATACCGTTCTACTACGATATTATTAGCCGGCATACTTCGACAATTCTCTAATAGGATTATATAGACCGGCTCTRAATTAATAAAGCGTTAACGTAGGAGTAACGGTTATAGATTTTAATAGCTAGATCGAATGTTAGATCTTAAGTTAGGAAGCGACGGCTAGCCTTTAACTCTATTAGCTCCTTCTGCTCCTCGTTAATAGTAAATCCTGCTTACTCGAGCTATTATACGGGTTAGTGCTACTCTTAGAATGTTAAATTCCTAGCTCCTACTCTGTCTGCCCTTACGTCGATAATTCTTCTTTCTCTAATAGGACCTCTATCGATTAAAAGTAGGTTAAAGGCCGGTCTAGTAGTTATCCTCGCGGTCGTTAAGGTAGTAGGTATTTGTATAGGGGAGTAGGAGGAGGGAGGAGGATGTAGGTAGGTAGTAAAGGGGTAGTATAGTAGTAGGAGTAGTAGGTGTTAATATTAGTATTTAGGTATTAATAAGAGTCGCTAAAAGAGCAGCAGGTATTTATCCTACTGCTCTTTTAGAGATCTTACTTACCTATATAAAGAGTTATATAGCTGCCTACGTACCTGCCTTATTACGCTTTTACTTTTATTATGCCTTACTCTTTAKTACCTCTCCTTTATATGCATTTAGATAAGAGTCGCTTAAAGAGCAGTAGGTATTTATCCTGCTGCTCTTTTAAATAAAAGTAGCTAGTATAATAGTCCGCGAGTAGAGTAGATAATAGAATATATAATTTAATAAAAAGAGTAGAAACTTTCCTATTTAGGAAGGAACTATAATATTACTATAATATTATACTAAGCTCCTATTGCGAACTCGTAATAGCTAAAATCGAGATTATATAGAAGAAAGAAGAGCACTAATTCTCTATCCCTTATCCCTTCCGACTTTAAGACTTGCTCCGAGACCTACGAGACTACTTGTCCTTTTCTAAACGTAGACCCTTTAACTAATTATCCGTAGCTATACTCGTAATTATTCCGCGCTTAGGTCGCCGGCGTATATTCTCTAGTCTACTATTATACGCCTTTAGCCTCTYCTAATAGGCTCTYTCGCTAGCTATYCTATCGCTATACTAGTAGGTACTCTTAGTTCCCCGCTAGATATAGTTRCTATAGGCTAAGTTTAAATATCTACGCTAGATTRTGYAGCGCTGTTCTCGTTAGCGTCGAACACCTTTATAYRRGYAGGAAATATACTAGAAATAGCYCTAGGCYWTTAATTACATTRCTATCGTAGTYCTTCCGCTCCTTATAATCTCCGYAAYACTCCTCCTTAGTTAATATTATTCTACTRCGATATTAYTAGCTATTATACTTTAATAATTCTCTAATAGGATTATATAGACCGGCTCGTAACTAGAAAGGCGTCGACGTAGTTCGGACGGTCTCGGATATTATCGATCCTATTAGTAAAGCTATTATAGATCTCGACGTACTTAGTAGTAGGCTTAGCTATTATCTCCCTCTGCTCGCGGTTAAGGGAGAATCCTATTTTCTTAAGCTATTATACGGGTTAGCGCTACTCTTAAAGTGTTAAATTCCTAGCTTATACTCTTATAAAGTTCTACTTAAAATATCCGTATTCGCTATTATTATCCGGATCCTTAGGGAAAGTTCTAGCCCTCTAGTATTTTGTAGTATCGATGCAACCTAGCTATAGGTATAGTAACTTAGGCTTCTTCGCCTTCTTAGGCTTTTATACGGGTAGTATAGAGGAGGGAGGAGGATATAGGTAAGTAGTAAAGGGGTAGTATAGTAGTAGGAGTAGTAGGTGTTAATATTAGTGTTTAGGTGTTAATAAGAGTCGCTAAAAGAGCAGCAGGTCTTTATCCTACTACTCTTTTAGAGATCTTACTTACCTATACAAAGAGTTATGTAGCTACCCGCGTAATGCTATTATACCTTTACTTTATCCTTACTATTATTACTTAGGTATCGTAGACTTAAATAAAGGAGGAAAGCGAGGACATTACACGCGCACATTAAATCACGCTACTTGTTACTTATTATACGGAATACACCTTCAATTACCGAGGTTCTAATACCCTGTGATGCTAGCGTCGCACTATCGCCTAAAAGGATTGTTGCAGAGTTGTTCTTAAAAACGCGCCGTAGTTGGTCGTCACTTCCAAGTCCGTCTCGGCGTTCGCGGAACCCCGCCAAAACCCAGCGCCGGGATCATCTCAAACTACCTATTGCAACACTCGACTTTCACACACTACAATAGGCATTAGTTCCACAATGCCCATCGCTCTGGGCCTCGAGGGATCTGCCAACAAGATTGGCGTTGGCGTCATCCTACACTCCGCCTCCGCCTCCGCCTCGCCGTCCTCACCGCATGACAGCGCGCATCCTGATGATCAGTCCTCCAAGTCCTGCTCTCCTCCTACTCAGATTCTCTCCAATCTCCGACACACTTTCGTCTCGCCACCCGGTACTGGTTTCCTTCCAAAAGATACAGCCGCGCACCACAGAAGATGGGTCGTCCGACTCGTGAAGCAAGCCATCCTCCAGGCCGGCATTGAGATTGACGAGATTGACTGCATCTGCTTCACTCAAGGACCTGGAATGGGTGCTCCTCTTTCAGCTGTAGCAATGGCAGCGCGCACTCTCAGTCTCCTATGGAATAAGCCGCTCGTGGGTGTCAATCACTGTGTAGGTCATATCGAAATGGGAAGAGCAATCACTGGCGCCCAGAACCCCGTGGTGTTGTACGTGAGTGGAGGGAACACTCAGGTTATTGCATACTCTGCACAGAGATACAGAATCTTTGGAGAGGCGTTGGATATTGCCGTTGGAAATTGCCTAGATCGATTTGCGCGAGTTATTGAAATCTCCAACGACCCTGCGCCGGGCTATAACATTGAGCAGTTGGCCAAAAAGGGTAAAGTACTGCTGGATCTCCCGTACGCTGTCAAAGGAATGGACGTTTCTTTCTCGGGAATCCTGGCGAGGGTGGAGGAGATGGCTGGGCGGTTAGGGAAAGACTGGACGGACCCCATAACCGGAGCGCTGGTTACAAAGGAGGACCTATGCTTTACTCTGCAGGAGACGGTATATGCCATGTTGGTCGAGATCACCGAGCGGGCAATGGCACACGTTGGAAGCTCGCAGGTCCTGATTGTGGGTGGAGTTGGATGCAATCTCCGCTTGCAGGAAATGATGGGCCTGATGGCGAGCGAGAGAGGTGGGAGTGTCTTTGCTACAGATGAGCGGTTCTGCATTGACAACGGCATCATGATCGCACATGCAGGTCTGTTGGCATATGGGCAAGGATACCGCACCAATCTGGAGGAAAGTATGTGCACTCAGCGTTTCCGGACGGATGAGGTTCTCATCAATTGGCGGGACTGAGCTTGCCAACGCTGATCGGAAGGACGCTTMACCCTCATCCCCAGCCCCCGTCGTAGAAGCTGCTTTTTTTTTGAGTCTCTGCTCCTTGTATAGCGAGCTTGCAGACACGCTCGCTCTCCTGCTTCACTCCACAGGTACCGTCCTGGTTCATGCCATTTTCTTGGTTACGATGGCATGAACTCGCTAGGCTCCGATCTGGCAATGCCCTTTGGCGGGATTGTGAAGAGGCCGGCATATTCTCACAGAGTTCATCGTCGAATCGATGGATCCACCGAGCATCACAGCACATCGCTGGGTACCTTATCGTCGCTAAAGATCTGTTAGGCGTTCTGACCACGCTGGTCTCGGAATGGAAGGCTCCCGTCAAAAACAACGCGGCAGAGAAATGTTGGAGACGAGTATACTGCTGCGAGCGAGTTGCGACGGCAGGAATGATGGCACTTCAGCAATAGACACGGATGATGGATCCTCGAGGAGCAATGCACTGTACAGTGTGTGCCCGTGGAGCCGTCTTTCCACAGGATGCGCAATCGCTGAAGACATAAATCTCAGCTCAGGCGTGCCGTCGATGCTTTGAAGTACGCCCATTGATATCTGCTTCGCAGATTGCCGCATGGTGTTGGTGTAAGAGCGCCCCGCCAGCAGCAGTCAACTAGACAAGCTCACTACTCCATGTCGGGCTGCGTTCACTCCAAAGTCGATACTCCTATCGTGTGCCATGGATCGAATAGTCTTATTGCGCGTCTGATTCTTTCAAGTGGCATCGTT